ATCTGTCTGGTGTATCCTAGAGGGCAACCGACTTCTGCTTCTGGTAGCCGGTCTCAAGGCCGCGCAACGTGCTCTGTCTCCCTCGTCACGAGAGGTGGCTAGGACCATTGCCCGGCCATCCCAGAGATTGGTGTTAATAGCTCCAGCTTATTATCACCTACTGCGCTTTTATCGACTTTCCTTTGAACGCCTCTCGAAATCCCACATTCTTTTGGCTCCAATCTATCGTGCCCATCTGACATTTTGACTCCATCCCGCGTGGCTCCTCTTTTGTCAGGCACCACCAAGGTCGAATTCGTCCCTTTGCTCTTCTGTCTTTATAACCTCGTGTCCAATCCGCCCATTCTTTTCGATTTCCGTTCTCAGAATCGCAACGCTCTCAACGCTTTCCAATAATCAAAACAAACAAAGTCACTTGTCGACTCATCTTACCTAGCTCTTCAAATGAACACCCCTGGATCCTTCGGAATCGTCGATTACTCCTTCCCAATGTGGTCCAAGAAGCACGTCGGCTCCTGGCTCGATGCCTTCAAGCCTCGCCGCTCCTCCAGCTCCTCCTCTTCTTCGTCGTCAGCCTCTTCGTCGTCCCGATCCTCTTCCTTCTCCCTGTCCTCGCGGGCGGGTGCCAACAGTCGGAGTGGCTCCTTGGCCTCTCTGTCATCAATGGGCACCGTGGAGGAGCAGGAGCACCTCATGGCCGACCAGCCGAAGCGGGCCGCCTACGTGCCTCGACACGCGGCCAAGTCGTTCATGAAGACGACTACCTCCAAGGAGATTCGCAAGCAAAGCGAGATCATTTGAGATACCCATCTTGGATACCCAATTTTTCAAACAAAACCAACATCAAAACTATATTCGATACCCGGAAAGTCACCACTCTTCGACTCAGTCCATCCACAAGCCGCCGCTCGTCAGACTATGACGACCAGAGGGTCCCACCGAGACGGTAGACTGTACCACCCCATTGCCATCTTCTTCCCTTGAGTCAAAACCACATCATTTACTCAATATTCCTATATCGAAACTATCATCGACGCATTCTTATGCAGTCATTCATCACGGCGCTTGCTCGCTCTTGCCGCTTGGCAAGGACAGAAGTTCGGGCGCGGCGAAAGACTTTTTCCAAGAATAGGTCACAAAACGAGCCTGTATTCCTTTTGTAGAAGAAATCACCTACCAGAAAATACCGCCTTGGGGTCATCGTGTCGGAAAACCGGGGATAAGGAGGTTGAGAATCTGGCAGCGCTGCATCGCGCAATTAATAGCAAAGATTAGGCTCGTCAGCCCGATCCAATCAGATGAATATCAATATCTTCCTAACAATCTCTTTGAATGCGACTAGCGTCTGTCCTTACAATAAGCAGCTCAGAGCTAGATTTGGGAGCAGCGCGTAATTGCGTCTCTGACCGGCCGAAAGACGAGGGTCCAACTGGAAACACGACTTTGTTGGCAGTTGGGGGGCATATTACCGCCGCTGCCCACTTCATCATTCATTTGCGACGCCGATCTGTAATACTGTACGTGCGTATACAGTCTCCATATTGGAATTGTTCTAATACTTCTATTGCGGGCCTTCCTCGGCAGGATCGAATCTGTATTGCCCAAAGACTAGAGAGTGCCCTGAGCTGCTGAGCATATCGCCTGATGCCAAGTTGGGGCCCTTGTGTGCGTTTACGTCCGTATGGACTCCACGGGCCACGCGCTGGACAGACGGGGACCCATGAGATACGGACGGACGGCAAGCAATGGATATGGGGTTGACTAGGGCAAAACCCACCGAGACCGACAGGTTTTCTACATGAGATAGAAAAAGAGTCAAAAAAAGCAAGGCTGCCATGGGAGAGAACGAACCACGATGTCTCAGCTCTTCATGCGAACTGAGAACCTCGAGGGGCAATGTAACGCGGGCGGGCGGCAGGGGTTAAGTAGAGGACAGGGGAGGGTTTTGCAGCAAAAGGGCAGAAGCTGCCGGCCCAAGGTGACATTCGTCAGGTCGGAAATAGAATGGCTAGCCTTCTAAGGCTGTCTTGTCTTGGCCTTGGCCTGGCAGAGTTTGGGTGTATTACTCGGTTCCTGAATCTCAAGTCTCAACGTCCTTGTCGGCAAGGTCAATTGAGTCAATGCCTTTTCCAAGAATTGAAGCCTGAAGTGAAGAAGCGATTGCAGTCGTCAGGGGTTAACATTTTGCGGGAACCGCGCCAGATGGGCGATGTGGACCGAGAGGAGAAACAACAGAGATCGAGATCAGCCATGGGTTGTTCAGTGGCTTTAAAGGAGCCAGAAGAAAAGAGCAAACGTTTTCTTTGTCTGAGATTGGATTGCTGGTTGGTTGCTGAGAGTGAACATGGCCAGCGGGTTCGCCTGATTCATCTCAGAACAGCCAGGTTTTCCAACGAGAAATTCATGACCAACTGGTAATAGCAGCCTTCGCGGTCTCCGCGGCCCCCAAAACGAGTTGTTAATAGCTCATAGCACAAATATGAGATCCTGCAGGGGCCAGGAAGGTTGATGATGTCTCTGTGTCTCTCTGTATGTATGTGTGGGTGTTTGTGAGGGTGCTTACCAGCATGTCAAGGACTCCCCTGGGCCCCTTGCCAGTCCCACTCCAGCTCGGTTTGGGCGTCAGCTGGCGGGCAACTGTGGGCGTACCTTGCCTTATGAGCGGCCGCTAAAAACCAAGTCCAACTTGTTCGCAACGCATCTGAACCTTAACCACCACAAGCAGCTGCTGGGCACTGGGCGGCGTCGAACACGAACCCCTTTGCTTCTTCTTCACGGCCTTGGCCGACGAGCCAGCCGACCAACGACGGCATATCATGTATGATGGACGCCACCGGTCGATATTCTGCTCGGCCGTTTACGGCAGCCGGGGAGGGATGTAGGAGGGGAAGCAGCAGTCTTCCGGCCCTCCTCGTCAGCTTGGTCACGCCCTCTTGCCTCTTGGCTTGTCTGACTAACGAACGGGGGATGGAAGACTCTGCAGATTCGAGGACGTCCACATCCACCTCAGCCTGTGGTAGGTGAAGATTCTGCTGTTCTCGATACATGATGCTTCTGAAACATGCCCCTCTCAATACTCGTCCATTCCCACATCGCATCAGCGGGAATACGCAGGAGAGCGTGTCCGGAGCCCATGTCTCTTTCTTCCGAGTCGTATCCCGGCATTGTCGATTCGCGTCCCACCCCTCGTTCGGTACTAGAGGCTCTGCATCTCTCAACCTGCGCCCGGTGGATGCGGGTAATGCCGAATGATTGACACTGGCAAGCCTGGGGGTTGCCTTACCCCGTCAGTTTCCTGCCTGTGTTGTTCGGATCCAGGGTCCTTTGAGGGACCGATTCCCTGCAGTTTGGTCTGGAGAGCTGCATTGCCTGCACCGGCTTGGAAGATACGGCGGGAATAGCCACCCATTGAACGCAGCGAGCTGCTGCTGCTGCCTCGACTGCGTTTTAGCAAGTGCTGACCGCTCGGTGAGAGTGAGGTGAGACTCGGCACTTGAGGAACCCCATCTGGAAGAGCGTCGTCTGTCAGCAGTCACTTGTGACCGCTGACTATTCGTCCTCGAGATCGCGGCATAGTCAATCAACATCAACCCCAGCTGCCCAGGCGACCAGGGCACTGCCAGGTTCAATGGCTTCCCTGGGAGCAAGCTGTCACCGTTTCGACGTTTTCCGCTGGCCATATGTCGTGCTCTCTGGGCACTAGCCGTTTTCTTTGTCAGGACTTTGAACATCTTGCGGTTCTGCTGCTTTCCAGCTCTCGCAAGCCCTCGGTTGTGGCTGGCATGTCGGTGTCAGAGTGACGGGCCGGATTGGATCCAACTGGTTGCTTACCTCTGCACGTCGCCGCCCGTGTCGTCGTACGGCGAGGACTTCCATCAAGTTGCATCTCGCTCGCGACTGCAGCTGACCGATGGTTTGTTGCTTAGTGTGACGACCGGCTCCAATAGTAAGATGGAGCGAATCCTGCCGAATCCCGTCCTCTGCGCCGGCCACGATGTTCCATATTGTCTCGACAGCTTCGCCGTCAATCACTTCATAAGGCTGACTGCACGATACTTGGGGGACTGCGGAGAGAAACTCGGGAGACAAGAGGGCGACGAGGTGTTCCAAACACAACAGCAACGCATTACGGATATGGATTCATCTGTCCGCAACAGTCACATACCTATCCCACGCTGGAAGGGCCGGCAATGAACAGATGCAATACCACCCTCCCTTCGGGGCCGCCCACCACCCCAAGATCCCTCCGGAGAAGTCTCCCGCCCCCCCTCGAGAAAAACAAAAAGGTCCTTTTGAAAGCCACGTAGGCCAGTAATAGCAACCGGCGGACACAGCCAATTGCTGAATACCAAAATAACGGGAGCCGGGCAGCGATCAAACCCCCCGGCCAGACTGACCAGACACGACTCTGCAGCCTCCGCTCTCACGCAGTTTGCCTGCACGACCAGACAGGGGCCAGGTTGGCTTTTTGCACCGCCGCAACATGCATACCCAGCACCGCAATGCACCACACACATACACGACCACTTCCACTACCACCCTCCACCTGTCATTGTCCATGGGTAAGTAGATCTGCCCATCCAGGCTGATAGTCTCCCTGACTAACACCCCCAACTTGACTTGATAGGCACTGTACAGAGAATTGGTACGGCCACAATCATCAGCTGGTCCAATATGGCCCCGACTCGCTTGCTTTTGTTTGTCCTACATGCAGATCCAGAACAACATACATACAGCATCCCCTCGTCCTCTGCCCATGGCTCCAGATGGCATCCATTATTCCTTTCCCCTTTGTCCTTGGGCTCAAACCCCCCGGTCATGGATCTCCTTCTCAGTCACGTCACTCGTTAAGGACCCCAAGATATTCTTCCCCTTCGTATTCTCATATATGTCATGTACTAGACTTGGTGAACCCATACTGTCCTTGAACTGCTGCATGATACACTTTGTACGCCCAAGTCTTCGACAGGATGTCTCGGTCAAGCTTCAGCATACGGAGACTCATCTCACCTCGCCGCTCTCAAACGATCAATGAGCGCCGTCATTCCGGAGACTCCATCGGAAGCGAGGATCTTTCACTGTTCAAATACCGACGCAAGCAACAAAAATCCAAATCTTGGGCCCCGACCAGGCGTCCATCCAACCCTAAATCCAGAAGACCCTCGAGGGAGGAGACCCTCGCACGAAGGACACAAAGCATCAAGAGGATACCGGCAGAGAGCCCATCTTGCCCTCAGGGATCACCAAATTCATCGTCGAGTTCTTTGTGCAGTTGCGAGTGTCATACAGACACCGCCTCGACCAATACCAGCTATGGCACTCTTTGTTCCCCTCGACTCCAAGAGAGGCCCTCTCGATCCACGGCCCCGAAACGTCTCGCGGACCGCCGACACCTCTGCATCTCTCCTCTGTCACCGCCTCCTAGCAGCACGCTTAGACCAAAGTCGACAGAAGCTTACAATAAGGCCCATGAGGCTGGCGACATAGATCTATCAGAACATCCCGCACTCAGAGAGACCATGACCCCTCCCCCTACTCCGGAAGACAATGGCTTGGACCGCTGGTCCCTCAATGTTCAGCAACTCATCCGAGAAACCGATGAAGCCTTCAAAGCCGTAGGAACAGCAATCGAAGAGGCGAAGGTGGCGGTGTCAACTTTTCCACCACATACCGAGGCTCAGGCTCATCACGCGCCTACATCGCTGGCCTCTCTTAAGTTGGCGAAGCCTGACTCACCGAGCCTTCCACTATTGAGACTGCAGTCTAGCAACAGTACCCCAGCGCTGCCTCCTCCACCATCGAGTGCCTCGGTGTCATCTGCATCAAAGCCCAGAAGGAGAACATCCAAGAAGTCCAAACGGGTCAAGATGAGACCTAGGAAGTCTTCCCGGTGGCAGTTGGGAGAGGACGTAGCCGACATCCTTACCGGACAATTCTTCCGCAAAGTGGAAGTTGACGAGCTTCTCACGCCAGATCGCCTACATGCGTTGCGGGTGGAGAGGGAGTCTCAATCACAACCGCGACGATCGACTGATACTCTGAGGACCATCAGCACCGATGGAAGCGAGACGCCTGTTGAACCTTTTCACCTCCAAGACCTCCTTTCTCGGATAGGAGCAGCTGGGGCCAAGACCACTATCACCCCTTCAGAGGCAATGACTCCACCCGAGCTCCTCGACTCAAGCGTACGACGAGACTTGCCGTTCAAAGAAAAGTCGCCGCGTAGGAAGACGCCTGTGACCAAGGATGAATACGAGGCGGACGATCCTACAATGGTAGCCCCTCCTCCCCCTCCTGCGAAGAACCCGGCGAGGTTTCTTCCCAGGCCGCAGGCGCCGCTGTTAGCGACGATTCCCGAGGTCGTAGTTACGACGCCCGACGTTGGAGGTCATTCGGCAGAGAACAGCAACAGCACTGCTGCGCGAACTTTTGCACCCGTGGATGAAGACGACTTTGTCTTTTTATCATCGACACCTTTCACGTTCAACCATCCTGCTTTCCGACACGGACGTATACGGCTTCCCAAGTCAGAAGTGGTCAAGGGACTAACAATCGATCCTGACGATACGCTAGACTGGACCGCCTTCCAGATGGCCATCCTCGGCGGCGCGGGTGACCTCTTCTCAGACCCTGCAGACTTTTCACAGAGATCGGAGACTGAAGAGACTGCCAACCTGGCCGCGTGGTTCGACGGCTTCGGCTTCGATAGCCACGGCCGCCTGCTCACCAGCGACGAGCCGGCGAGCCGTCTGCAACGGTCTCGCGCGTCTACGACGGAGTTGTCGCCCAAGTCGTTCGGTAGAGCGGCGCGGGATAGCGAACTACCCATCCCCGTGAGGGCCGAACACCCTACTGGGTTCTGGAACGAAGGCAATATCAACGCGTCCAAGTTCCTGACGCATGGATGCAACATTAGGCGGTGGACGATGGAGGGGCATCCCAAGCGGCACAACCGCGAGAGCGTCGAGAGCCTGCCGCCCAGTCCCATGATGGACCTGGTCATGATGAGGGGCTCCGATGGAGAGCCTGAGGTGGTGCCCATGGGGTATAATCTGGGACATGATCTCGGGGATTTCCTGCGATGGGAGGCCGAGAATGTCTATGCTACGGGCGCCTACTGAGCGGAACTGGCATGAGTTTAGGATTAGAATAAGAATTGAATACTTGGTAGTATAATACGACAATCAACTCCGATGGCATGTGAATTCAGTCGCTCTCCCTCTCTCTCCCTCTCTCTTTCTCTCTGTGTGTGTGTCCCATGAAACTTGACATATCGCTTTGTCTAGGAAACCCACCAACTGAACGTCTGTCAAACAGGCACCAAAGAGCCAACGTCGCAATGAGATGGATCTTTCAGAATCCCCTAGGGCTGACCTGCATGCATACAGTGCCGTCGTCCGCCAAACTCACACGGCCCCTTCCCAACGCCGGCCCCCGATTACCTTCGGTAGAGAGGCCTGAGCTGGACGGCGGTGGGCCCCGCCCTCCAGCCCGCCGCAGCGAGCCACGGCCCCCATGAGGCACCCACGCATTACCCTTACCACCACCACGGATCGCCCCGGCAAGACCCGCCTGCACCATCCATGTATGTTTTTTTTTTTTGTTCTTACTACGCGCGCGCCGTCGTCGTCTGTTCCGGGGTCGCGCTGAACTCTGACGAAAAGGGAACCAAACGCGCAAAGCACTTAGAACAGGAACGACTCAACTTGCATATCAGCTCAATAACGACCCACGATATTATTTTAAGGCAGAAATCCCCTCCCCCACGACCTGTCGCCTAGCTTAGGTACCTTGCATAGGTAGCATTCGACCCGTTGAAGAAATCCGCCTCGTGCTGCACTGTTCAGGCCGTCGTCGTCTTCAGCTGCCCGTGCCGCGAACTCACTCATCACTCATCACACTCCACTCGAGTTTGAGCTTGCTGCTGTTGGCATCACCTCCCTTCCTCCCGAATACAACGCTCCCGAGCTCTCAGCTCTGGGCTCATCAATCCACTACGCCCTCAAACCAGAGAAAGGATCGAGGCAGATCCCTCCTCGCGCCAGGCTCCAGGCCCCAGCTCCATCCCCCGGCCTCACATCAACTCGTCACACCTCACGCAACGTGAATCACTCTCGCCCCCATAATCCCGCGCTCAATTCAAACAGGTGCCTGTCAATCAGTCCTTCAGTCGCCCCTTTGCCCCCCGCCTCAGCACATCACCGGTCAACATCACCGCCACCAAGGGGAAAAGGCCGCGCAAAATAGAAGCAGAAAAAAGACCACCTAAATCTCACAAACACGATCATGCTCCGCCGCCCCGCGACAACCCTAGCCATAACGGCAGAGGACATTGCATCCTACGAAGACCGCCGCGCCCGCGAGGCCATAGTCCGAGAACGGCAGGTTCTCGTCCAGGCCCAGCAGGCTCAGCAGCAGGCCCAACAACAAGCCGCCTTGGCCACGCAGCAGCAGCGGATTCTTCAGCAACAGCAACAGCAACAGCAGCATCCATTCTCATCGCCTGTACCGCAGCAATCACCGCAGCACCAGCAGCAGAGGTATACGCAGGCACAGATCCATCAGATGCAGCGCCTTCAACAGCAGCAGCAGCAGCAACGGCAACTGCAACTGCAGGGCCTAGACGACGAAAGCATGGTCACGGCGGACTTGGATGTGGACGACGAGAGCTTGGAGTACGACGAGGTCCAGCAGCGGGAGCTGCTCAGGAGGCAGCAGGAGATGATGAGGGCGCAGAGGGGCCAGGGCGGCCGCGGCGCGGTACAGACTACGCCCACGCCGGGGGATGGGGGCCGTGGGGGACGGACGAGGGAAGAGAGGATTGGTGTTGGGCGTCGTGGGAGGTAGGTAGGAGTTCATCGAGACTTTGTGGCATACGGGGTCATGTTGTTGGATGAGGGTAAGGGAGGCCCATGGTTGGCGCTATGGCATGGTATTTCCAAGGACACAATTGCTATGTGGTTCATTGTGTTGGTTGACGCGTCGTCCACTTTGGACCAGAGTGAGGTAACGCCTAGGATGTCACGGTTGGGGTACGTACGTCTTGGGCAGAACAAGTCATCTGTAATTTTCTGAGAAATCTCATTCTTCTGCATGGCATCAAAACGGTCCCCGCATCAAGCTCATGCAAATCATCAAGCCGTGCTCAGTAATCCAAGCCCAACGCTTTCCATCCTAGCCAGACAGCCTAAACCGAGTCGCTTAAAGAGAAAATTTCACAGAAACAGTTCCCACGCTCCCCGCTGCAGCCGGCAATGATATGAACGCAATGAGATGTAAGACGAGCGCTTGATGACTTTACAGAAATAAGAATAGGGAAACCTCATGGCCAAGAAAGACGCAAAAAAAAACAAAAAACAACCCTTTCTCTGTCTTTAACATAAAAAACCCCCAACACCGCGCGAGAGGCGGAGCCTCCAGAGGGCGCCTCTCAGATGATGTATAACCCACCAAATGCACTTGGTCGTCAAAGTCGTATGTAGAAACCGTGAAAAAACCTGTATGATTGAAATCAAGGAATGTCAAATTCGCTGGCGCTGACGCTAGGGAAAATATAAAAATATGTGAGTCGCATAAAGGAGAAGGAGGAAATTTGCTTAATCGCTGATCTCCCCTCCCTGGAAGAAGAAATTGACCAATCCCATGTCGTATGTATATACGTATGCGTGTGTGTGTCTCCGTGATCAGAAGGGCATGCTCAGCAAGTTGTCAGCACCAGAAGACGAGTGGACACCGGACCTGCGATCTCGCTCGATCTCTCGGGATGGAGATGATATGTCGTGCATCTGTCACGTTTATATTAGCAACTTGCAGCCCTGTCGAGACAAGTTCTATTACTCACGTTGTAGAAAATGTTGGCTTGCCTGATCCCCGCGACCTCGGCCAAATACTTGAGGCGGCCTCTTAGGAAACGCCTCTGTCTGGGAGTCGCAAAGTCGCTGCTGCAAGCCGTGACCATGGGCCACAAAACCATCAGGCCAGCGGCACCCTTCAAAGGGTCATCTGGCCTGGTGTTGCCGCACGGGAACTGAGACACGACCACGCCATAGCCGTTCCACCTGCAAAAGAAAGGGGTCGAAGCAATGGTGTCTTCGATACGCAAGATGGCCGAGCGTTTGAGTTCCTCGTACTCCTCGCCCATTCGGTAGTCGTCGGGAGACACGAGCCAGGCCATGCACCGCAGAATGGTGGTGGTTAGCATCAGATGGCAGCACCAGGTGGCCACGTGAAGGATCGCGAGAGGCAAGTTGAAGAATCCGTACACGGGCCCAGCAAAAGTCTGGGCCGTGTCGAGCTCATTGTCGGATCGCTCCATCACCCACTCCACCGTGTCGACCTTCCACTGCGGGCTGGGATCGTTGTTGAGCTTGCGAAATTTGGCCTCCAGTGCTTGAGCACGCTTGAGGGCATCGAGCACCTTCTGAATCGTCTCCGGCTTCCGGTCCCCCGCTCCGAGAATTCGATCAACGTCTTGTCTAATTTGACTGCTCTGGATATCCATGCTCGCGATAGCGTGCTGCATCCGGCCACGGCATTCGTGGTGCAGAAGCCACGTGAATTCAGATACTTCGGGGGAGTTGGGAAGACAGTGAATAGAGAGGCACTGATTTCGGGTAATTGCAAACATCTCTTCGCCTTCGGGTGTTTCGAGACCCTTTTGACCCCTGAGTTTGACAATGATTGCCGCACCCTTCATATGGTTAGTATACTCGGCGATAGAGTCCCGAGAAGACGTCAAAATCTGTCATTCATTAGCCTTAGAAGCCTCGAAAATTCTGCTCAATAGACCAACCTCGTAGAATGCCAGCATCAGCACAGCTCCCAAAGTTTGATCATTCAGCACCTCTGTAGGGTCCATGATGGCTTTGGTGACAGCCCGGACCGCCCGCAGATAGTGACCTTGTGCATGAAACAAAGCAGAACTGGCATTCACCGTACGGAGACTGGCCAGCGAGGCCAGAGAGACTGCCTTGTAAGCTTGAGAGAGGCATTTTGATACATTCGTTCCGCCCAAGAAGCGTGGGAGGAAACGGTAATATCCTCGGGCCGTGGGTGTGAACGGGACAATGGTGAATTCCGAGAGAAAGTAGCAAGAGGCTTGCTCATCCAGTGAGTTAAACACAGATGCCGGAATGTCTCCGTCTTCTTCGGTCGTGTTATCATCATCGTTGTGGTATGGAAAAGCCGATGGATTCGAGTAATCGAACGTCTTGTATTTGGGACCAGCAACCGTCTTTAAGCACTGCTTGTTGCAGACTGGCGCAATTTCCTTGCCTTCCTCGTCGGAACTCTCTTCGCCTCTCGACTTTTTAAATCTCTTGATGGTCGCTTGTGTTTCGTCGCGGATATTGGCCTCGAACGGATCTCGGTAACCAGGACATTGCCGTCGCGATTTTTTGCATCTCATGCAGAATGGCTTCCCCTCATCGCACTTGATTCTCCGGGCTCTGCACAGCTTGCAGCCGCCCGAAGGCTTTCCTGTGTTCACCATGGTCGTACTGGGCAGTATTGGCACTGCAAAGCAGATTTGTCAAGCAAGACGGAGGGGATGGATCCGAAGACCCAGAAGATGTAGGAGGCGGCCGAAGGTTAAAGCTCTTTTTCACAAGTTCTCAGAACAAAAACATCAGGCTCCGAGGCCAACTTTCGAGCCATGACAAAAGACAAATGAGGGCGTACGCGGGATGGAGGGGCAGAAATCCCTATGTCATAGCGATGAACCACATTTTCACCGTTAGATACAGACCTCTAAGGCTGAGTCAACAAGCCATATGCTTGCTCAGAAAAAGATCAACGGAACGGCTGGATCACCGATGGGACGCTCTACGAAACTCTGTGGCAGCAACTCGACGCGTTAGCAAGTAACAAGAGTTCAAAGTGATCGAACGGGACCGCGCCGTTGGTGGAGGGCGATCTCGGTGGTCTTAGCATTGGACAGCTTGTAGCCTATGCTGCCTGGTCTTTCTCAAGGTTTGTTTCATGCGCCACTAAGCCCTGACAATTCGTCGATGGTGGTTATCAAGGGTGGCCCCGTCCGCTCGTGCGCACAATGTTTGAGACGGCAAACGAAATGTACCGTAAGAGGGGAATAACGGCCGGGGTCCTTGTGTCGATCATGGAGGGAACAACCCGGCTCTGTGGCAAGCCGGTCGATGGATGGCATTTCAGACAGGTGTCAGGGACTGCGCGTGCATATGTGTGTTCCATCGTGTTGGTGGCCTTGTAGGGCCTCTCTTCGACTGCCGTGAGAAACTTTTGCATGATGGGCCACTAGAAACCCGTTGGGAGTACTGTCAACCTAAACAATCAAACACATATGGTTCATACCAAGAGGTCGGCAAAGTCTGATCGCAATAACGCGCCGCCGTTGGTACTGAGGTAGCCAGCCACCACTGACAATGATGTAAGGGGTCTTGAACTAACATGATGTACTCGGCTCCAATTCCGGCTCCAGACCGGAGGCAAGTTGAAAAAACAGGCAGATAAGCCGTCAGAATTGAACATAGCGGATCGGTTGGTTCCGCGGGGCTGAGCACGTCCACCTATAGGCGTATAGGTGGTGTTGTACGCCGCGGGTCGCTCGCGGGCTAATTAGCATTTCGACACCAAGGAGCAGGTCGCTTCGGCCAACAGAGTTGCTACTGGTGCTACCGTGTCGGACGGCAGCCGCAAATCAGCTGAATCGCCAATTCCAAGAATCTGGTCGTCGGGTGGCTGTCCACCCACACGCAACACTTGACGGCATGGTGGAAATTTGCTCATTCGTCTTCGTGGCTGATGGGATCGTTTCATCCTGTCATGGCTCCCCGATGAGGAAATCTGGTCGTGGGCGTCGGCTTTTACGGCGTAGACTCGAATCTCTCAATTAAAATCCGGCGATGGAAAACAGGTTCGAACCGGATCAGTAGAGTCCATGGAGCACCACGGAAAGCCGCTCGGCGTCTTGCGCGGTGATCATTGTAGAGTCTGGGCAGTGCCGTAGCAGAACGTCGACGCGTTCACTTTATCCACTCTAGTACGACAACTTGGTCTGGTGATTTCGATTACAACGATGTCCAGAACAGCCTGATTCTCAGTCTCTCAGGGGCCATGAGGGTTTTGGCTTTGGGGTGCTTGATAAATGTCTTGGGCAAGTAGGAGTTCCCAATAGAGTTCCGTCTGGGTAAATATTCTACTTACATGTTTGCTTACATACGCCACACTAGTGGAAGCGAGGACGATCCATTTGTCGCTCCCTCCTCTTTAGTGGGCCACCCAGATGATCTACCCAGTTCTCCACTCTCAACGTCGTGAGCGGCGAGCTTATTTCTGACTTCAACGAACTGTCACCTTTCGTCCATCTCAATGACCACGGGCTTAGCGGTATATCGGGATGGAGTCACAGATTGGCATTTTCCATAGCATGCTTTGAACCAGATCCAGGGCTGCCAAATTGTCCACGCCGTTTGACATCTACCGGTATACTCTCTCAGTTTCTCACTTGAGGGTTCCAGCGCGACTTCGGCGGATCTTCAGTGCGCTGCTTCCTTTGTCGATGAAGTAGGTTCGCTTGGCAATGGAGATTTTGGTAAATAGGTGTCCTACTTGAGCGGCCGCCTACCGAAACACTGAGTGGAAATAAGCGCGATTTCCATGCAAATTCGAACCCCTCTGGCTGCATTACCGCACAAGCCTCGACAGCATCTCAGGGTGTGTCACTGAGGCCCGCCCATCCAGACGGCTCCGACCTGCCAAAGTCAGCGCACTGACAGTACCACGACACCATTCATAAATCCTTTCCGAGTGCTCCGCGAGCGAACGGCGCGCCGACCGGGTCCGATGCCTCTGGGGTCCAAGTTCTTCTTTCAACTGTGTTGTCAATCTGTCAGGGTCATGGAGCTTGACATGGGTGTGCAAGGTTACCAGGACTGCCTGAGCCTAGGGATCCATGGCTACCTAATCCGGCTTTCCACACAACCGCGTCGTGTTGAACCAATATTTCGACACATGTTTCCAATCGAGAACCGCGTCGATGGAATGCGAAGAAAACCGAGCACCTCGGTTCAAATTGTACATTTTCATCGCCTAGCCTGAATTCTGTCGCAGAAAGCCCGCAGTAAGCTCTCAGAGCTTTTCCCTCTCGGAAGTTGAGCTATGGGAGCGTGGCCGGGTCTTTCTTGACTCAAACTTCGGGAGTTGCCTCTTTGACTCGACTTGCTAGAACGCCACCGGCATGCGCGGAGAATATCGCCCTCAGGTAACTCTCTTCCTGACAAGCTTGACAATTGGTTTTCCCTTCTATGTCTATCCAGTCGAATTGCCTTCCATTATGCCTTCCCCGTAGCTGAGATGATCCTACTAGGATCCCGCCACCGAGGCGGCTCAATAATAGACCTGGGGAAAGTTTGCTAGGCCGTCAACAAATCAAACCTGCGGCACCGAGGCTAATGAACCGTCATCTCTTCCAAACGAACAGAAGCCACGCTTATGGCTTCACAAAGCCAAGTTGTCATTTTCGTTTTTCCACCTGACTTCTTGCTCTAAGAACGTGCCACATCAGGTCCAAGGTTGTCAAAAACACCCAGCCAATTAGGAGACTCCGTTCGGAGTTTGGGCAAATTTTCACGGCGGGCGCTCACTATTCAAACCTTTCGGTTAAGCGGCTGTCGTAGCAGGGTGATCCCATTAGCCTTCCGGACAAGCGAGCCCTGGTATCGTCGATGATCACCAAAAGCGCCTCTTTAGTGCTGCTATCATTAAAGCTTGGAGAACTGCAGGTATCTGAGCTAGCGTTGAGGCAGCCACCCAGTCTCTTGCTCGGATACTGATGTATTTGTGAGACGAAAATGAATCACGTTCGATGACTATTTCAACTTTTCGATGCTCGGCCAATTTCTTCTCTCTATAAAGCCCGAGCCGTATCGGAGGCCCATCCGCAGATGCAAATGCCGATTGCTGATCTGGCAGACCAATCATCTCGCACAATTGTGCCGCCTCGGAGATTGCCCCCCACCAACAGGGTGTCTGTTCAACAGGGCGCAGAGATCAGGAGATAAATCTCGATTGGGTCCGTTCAGCACCGACCGCCCTACTCTTCGCTTCAGGCCAAGCAGGATGTGAGAGAACGACTGAGTGAGCCAGGCATACAATGAGACCGGCATCACAATCTCACGTGCTATCCAAGCTGCATCAAGGGGAGGAATGGCATCAGTTATAAATTCCAATTGGGCATTCCGCTAATCGTTTTGCAGATCTTGGCTCGTCCATTCAGGTTTCCAAATTTTAACATCAGAACTTCCCACAGCTCACAATTGGCAAGCCGCCTACCTTTAGCACTTGCTTGGTGCTTACCTGATTGGAGCTCAACTTGGTCAACTGGCGTATGGTGTTGGCCAGTGAGCCGAATCCTTCGGCCGGGTTAGGGCCCACAATATCCCGAACAGGATGCCGATCAGCCTCCCGTTTCCTTCGGCGCGATACTTCGTCCGAGGCACCCGCCGGACCTCGATGGCACGTATGGCCCGACGAGGTTCAAGAAAATGACACAATTTCCGATATCTAAGCCGGTGCATAGTCAGGCCGCAGTTAATATGTCGGACCACGCTCATGGTCTGGCGGACTTGATTCCACGGCGGCGGAGAAGACAACTTTCTCGGACTTTGCGTAGTGGGTGAATCAGCACTTCTCTCATGATAGCCCGGCTCGCACTCGGTCATCCATGATGCCATTCACGGCCCCTCTATCGACGTGGCTCGACGGTGGCCGAGCCGCACAGCGGCATAAGGCTTACCAACCAACCATGCGGGCTTGTTGGGTGAAGTGGCTCTCTGACCTAGCCTTGGCTTGGGTCATATAAGGCTTTGGAATTTGCCATTCACTCATTCACATCGTGACTTGAGGGATTCATCTCATCACCACACTCCAAAATAAGTAACTCCACGGCTGGCGAAACAAAAGTTGAAGTCGGTTACCAATCTTTTGACCTCCTCTCATCAACAAACTCACACCTTTACAAATGTCCACCATACGAACAGACACAGAAACACCAGCGGTGGTGCTCGAGAAGCAAACTACCCAAATCGACCAGAATGGCAAAGTCATCTTCAAACCCTCGCGGGAGTTCCTCCTCGCCTTCGGCGCCCTTTGCGCCGTTGCGCTAGCCGTCGCCTTTGACGCCACGACGCTCTCGGTCGCCCTCCCGACAATGAGCGTCGCCCTCGGCGGAACAGCCCTCGAGGCCTTCTGGTCCGGCACGAGCTTTCTTCTCGCGAGCACAGTCCTGCAACCCACCGTCGCCGGGCTCAGCGGCATCTTTGGGCGGAAGTACCTCGTGTACGTCTCGGCCCTGCTGTTCGCCGTGGGCTCGATAGTCGGGGCCGTCGCCAACAACTTCCACATTGTGATTGCGGGGCGGACCATTCAAGGCATAGGCGGCGGCGGTATACTCGCCCTCACCGAAGTCATCATCACCGACCTCGTCCCGCTTTCTGTGCGAGGCCAGTGGTTTTCGCTGCTGTCGGCAGTCTGGTCCGTCGGCACGGTCACGGGGCCCCTCATTGGCGCCGGCTTCGCACAGAACGTCTCCTGGCGGTGGATCTTCTGGATCAATCTCCCCATCATCGCCATCGGCGCGGTGATGATCTTCTTCTTCCTCAAGCAGGTCAAGGTCCCCGGCCACATTGGGGCCAAGCTCAAGAGGTTCGACTGGCTTGGTAGCTTCTTGTTCACGGCCGGCTCGACGAGTTTCCTGTTTGGAATCTCGACGGGTGGTGTCATGTACGAGTGGACCTCTTTCAGGTGTCTGCTGCCGTTGATCTTGGGCGTCTTCATCATCGTGGCCTTTGGGTTCTGGGAACTTCGATTTGCTCCGGAGCCCATGATCGACAAGGGCATCTTCAACAACTGGACCATGATCGCCAACTATATCATGACCGTCTTCCACGGCATGATCCTCTGGTCGATTCTCTACTTCCTTGGTCAGCCTTCCTCCCACTACCTTGATACCACCTTGTAGAAAGCCCGCAGCTGATTATTCTTCGCAGTCCTCTACTACCAAGCCGTCAAAGACTACTCCGTCGTAGTCTCGGCCGTCGCCGCCCTCCCAGAAAGCTTAACAGTCGCACCTTCCGCCATGGCCGTCGGTCTCATCGCCGGCATCACGGGCAGATACCGCTGGTCTCTCTGGGCCGGCTGGGCCATAACGACCTTTGGTGCCGGCCTCATGTGCCTCATGCGTCCCGACACCACCATCCCGCAGTGGATCTGGCTCAACATCCCTATCGGCATTGGCACGGGCATGATCTTCCCCGCCATGGCGCTCTCGATCCAGGCGGCCTGCGAGCCGGCCCTCAACGGCCAGGCCGCCGCCTTTTACTCCTTTTTGCGCACCTTTGGGCAGTCTGTCGGCGTCGCCGTCTCGGGCGTCATATTCCAAAACGCCTTCCGGACGAGGTTGCTCGATATTCCATCGCTGGCGCACGCCGCGGAGGAGTACTCGCGCGATGCGACCATTGTGGTCGAGGTCATCAAGCGGATGCCGGCGGGCGACGCCACGAGGGCAAAGCTAGTGGAGGCATACTGCGATGCGCTGCGGGCGATTTGGATCAGCTTGATTGCGTTTGCCGGGTTCTGCATGCTCATCAGCGTCACGGTGAAGAAGTACAGCTTGGACCAGGAGCATGTCACGCAGCAGGGGTTGGCCACGAGCGATGATACGAGTAAGGAGGACGAGGAAGGTCAAGCAGGGGATTTGGAAAGGGGGCAGAAGGTATAATCATGAGGTGGGTTGATACCGAGCAGAAAGAGATGCGAGATAGCAGGTGGGTGGTTTCTATCACTTACGGGTCCAACATTCGCTTCTCCTTTCACTAATAATTTTCCTCAAAGATCAGGCATTAGACTTGACCAAAGTTGGGTCGTGGGGTATTAAAGTTCCTGACATTTGTGTGTAACCTCCCTCGATAGCTCTGGAAAGGAGGGAATTATATCTTTCTCCTATTTCTACATAATGTGCAAGAATAGCATGAGGAGAAACATCTCACTTCATCCAGGGCCAAAATATCACGTTCCAAGTCTTTGACTGCCTTCTTCGACGCCATGGTCCCGAGCCTCTCGATCGTGAGAAGTGTCTCAAGATCGCACCAAGGGGTCGGCCGTGTCAACTTTGTGCCATACTTCCTTCCTCCTGCCAGTCTCCTCTCTCTCTCCCTCTCTCAGATTTCTATTCTTCTTTTGTTTTGGCCATTCACCAATATCCTGTTCACCTGGAAAGAGAAAGAAAAAAGAGTCAGTGTGATCCAAACAACAACTGGAGCAGGACTTACTTCAAGGGCAGAACAAACAACTGTGATTCGGTTCTGCCTTTTCCCTTGTCTTGAATCAACCAGACTCAACTAGATTCAAGGTGGGGATTTCCAGATGTATTTTCTTGAGAGGGAAGCAACTGACATCTTGTAGGCCTTGCCAGCCCTGCCCTGGTTTGCCCACGATAGCTTTACCTTGTCCACTTCAGCAAACGAAACACATCGACTACTTTGCGAAACAAAACCTCCAAAGGAAACGCCAAAAAAAAAACGAAACGAAACGACAGGAGAGAGGTCAGAATACAAACTTTTCACACAAGAAAGGGAGCGAGGGAAAAAGGTCCCTTCTTCATATATACGCCTATCCTCCTTGACGAAGAGTACTCCAGCGGTACTACCAGCAGCCCAAAAAAATGTGTCTACGTATTTATAAACACTACACAACCTGTGGCTGCCTCCTCGCCGACCCCTCCCTCCGCGAGTGCTCCCACGGCCCGACCTCGCCCCTCTGCGGCCACCAGCACCATGTCGGCATCGTCACCCGCCACGGTGAGAAGTGCGCCTACCACCGCCGCATTGCCCGTGACCGGGACCGGACCCGCGGGCTGCGGGACTCCAGACAAACCCGCAGCTCAATCGAAGATCCTGTTCCCGCCCCCCTTGACCACACGCGCGAAGAGGTCGCCGGGGAGCCCAAGTACTCGCACGAGATGACCGACTTCCAAATCTTCATCAAGGATCTCGAGCGTTTCCTGGACAGGATCAAGATCCCAGTGTCAGAGCCAAAGCTGAAGCCGTTTGGAACCGAGGAACAGGGCATGATGAAGAAGAAGGTGGGCGTGCTGCCTCCCCTCGACGGATGTTCGGACTGGACTGAAGACGACGAAAATGACAACGCCCTGGCTCGCCGCAAGAGACGCGAGCGCCTCCGGGATGACTTCCTCTCCATCGCCCGCGATCAGGAGTTCCCTTTCGACATGAGCGATAGGTTCCTGAAATCCGCGTGGGACGATGACAATGACAACGACAGCGACAGCGACATCATCTCCAAGGAAAGCAGCGAGGCGGACCAGGATGATGTGGGGTCTAGTGACGACGACAGCGCCGCCAATGAAGCCGTGGCTGGGGAGGAACGAGTCGATGTGGTGGGTGACGATGAAGACTTGGAGGACGACGATGAGGAGCAAGATGACATGAATGATGATGATGAGGAAGAAGAAGATGATGATATCTGGCGGCCGGAGGAAACCTGGCCACCTACCGGAGTAGAGTGGACTGCCAAGCTCAAGTTCATGACTGGAATCCGCCGCAACTAGGTTTGATGATGGCTGCTGGGGGTTATCTGATGTGAAGGACTATGAAGGGAGAGATTGAAATTGCTCGGAGATTAGGAGAGTGATGATGATGAAATGATGGAGTTGGGAAGGTAATGGAATTCGCGTCAGAGTAGTCTGCGCCTCTTGTATGTGTACTCAATTCAGCACCGTATTCAGTATCAAAAAGTATTACATAACTCAAAGCGATGTAATAGTTTCATGTCTCATTGCCCAGTGTGCACTCTTCCGACTTTCAGTCTGTAGAGAAGCAAGTTTGACGTATGTTGAAGCGGAAATGCCATCATGCCCCAGCTACATTATCTGTCCAAAATCCAAATCTCTCCAAATCGCTCGAAAACAGCCCGCTAAATTCGTACGTCTCATGATGGGATTAGTTCCGAATCGGCGGAGCTGGGTATTGTCGCCCCCCAACGCCAGATATGACCGGGCTCCCCCCGCGTTCTCTCCAACGCTTTCTATCTCTATCATCTCTCAAGTCCCGATCGCGAGGATCCCGAGGGTCCCATGGGGGCTCTGGCCGTCCTCGCATGCGGTCCACGTCTGCATGACTACTCGTTCGGCGTGTCGCTTCGGGGCGCACGACCGGTCGTTCTCTTCGCTTGCGAGCCTCGATATCCTCTTCTCTCTCCCAGTTCACGACGCGATCACGCTCACGCTCACGTTCTGGGTCTCTGTCACGGTCCCTCTCTCTTTCTCTTTCGCGTCTACGGTCGCGGTCTCGACCGCGATCTCTCTCTCTGGCCCTTTCCCTCTCCCGCTGCTCTCGTTCTTCCATATCTCTACGGTCTCGGGCTTTCAATCGACGTCGGCGCTCTGCTTCCGAGTCCGAAGCTTCGGAGTCTTCCGACGCAATATCAGGCCAACTGCGGTTGAGCCTGGAAGAAGGCAGGTGCTCTCGGCTGCGGCGAGATGGGGGATCGCTTCGGCGACCGGAGGTACTTCGATGTCTTTCTGGTGATCGACCAGTGGGAAGAATAGACGCCACTTTCTCGCTGATTTTCTCCCTGATGCCATCTACGACTGGTATACTGCGACGTCGTGCATCTTCTGGTCTTAGTTCCGCACGATGTACACGAGTTACTGGTGGCGGCTGGGGTACTGAGGGAGCACCCATACGTCGGAAACCAGGCGGCGGCGGTTCATTCGAATGATGTGTGTGAGGCCGACGTTTAGATCGCGGACTCGCCGGGTCGTCGGAATCAGACGTCGAGGACGAAGAATAGTGTCGAGGTTGGCTGTGCCGGCGGGGTTGCATGGGCGGCCGACTGGGATGTATATGCTCGGAGTTGGCGTGCAGGGGATCCTGGGGAGGGGATGGGTAGTCAGAGAAGCTACGCCGCCGACGGTCGCCGGGAGAATTTTGTCCTCTGAATCGATCTTGCTCCGGGGTCCTCTGAGGGATATTGAGGCGAGATGGGGGGTATCGATTCGCGGCGTGACCCCCAGGAACATGACTATAAGCAACTGGCCGGGTTGGCGGAACAAAGTAGTCTGCCTGGGAACCACGAGGCGGAGGCGAGGGTTTCGGTGATCCCTTGGGAGGATAGGGATTCCGGACGTGCACGTATGCTGCCTTCACTCTCGGCTCGTCTCTTTCTGCTGGGCGACTAGGAGCAGTCTTTGGTGATGCCGGCTCCTCCTCTGGCACTGCGGCCTTCCTCAATTTCTCAGCGCATTTTTTGTGCCATTTCTCGATTCCGGCGTCTGGTTCGCTGGGGAGAGCATCTGCAGGTAGATCGGGGGGGAAAGATTCGCCCGTCTCAGGATGCTTCAAGTTCCAACTCTTGACGGCCTGCTGAATGAACGGTACATGCTCTTCCGGGCTCAGCAGTATCTCAATCGACTCCCACCGAACGAAGCCACGAAGGGTCAAGGCCGGGACGGAAGGGGCGTCGAAATCGTTTTCGGAGGGCTGCATGGAGTGCTGGCACCCGGTAACCTGCCAAATGTAGGATATGGCGGGATACGGCATATCGACGAATAGGGCTACGATGATGAGCCGTCAGCATGGATTGCGTTGCGCGCGGGATGAGCATCTGGGCTTACAGTCATAGTCACCACCGACGGCCTTGTAGAAGGCGGCCAGCTTTTGAGGGGTCAAGGCTTGAACATGTCTATCGCCAACGTCGCGAATCTAGATATTGGCGGGGTTCGGTTAGTACTTGGCTATGGGTGGGTGGAAGCGGGGTGGAGGAAGCCAGGGTTTGAAGTGTCGGGGAAGGCTGGCGCGGACGTACAATGTGTAGGGCGATGGCGCGAAGGAGAGCATCGAATATCGGCGTTGGCGCCTTGTCTGGGCCGAACAGATAACCATAAAAGGTAGGAGGTTTTGGGCCGGGGTTCTGGGACTGTGCCGGATGAGCCTGCGGTTGTTGAGGTTGAGGAGGAGCATGAGGATGAGCAGAGGACTCTTCGGAGTCGGCCTCTGCGGTCGCGGTCGCCATTCGGGGCCGAAGTCTACATCAACGGTGCGTTTTTGTGGGCAGGAATGTCCCGGGACAAAAGTGTGGAGATGGGATGGGATGGAGAAATATAACGGTTGGTGGCGTGTGCTGCTGCTGACAAGCAAAGAGCGTTTTGCGCAGCGGGCGTACGCTTCGCAGGCACTGACTGGAACGGACGAGCTGGAGGGGTTTCAAAGGCGCGGCGTTCGAATATCAACGTCTTGGAGCGAAAGGCGTCGTTCAGTTGGGTTGGGTTGGTTTGTTGAATGGCTTGGTAAGGGTTCAGCTTGCTAGTGTTGGACTGCTAGCACGGGTGAGGTTGAGTTGAGGGTACAACGACTACTAATAACTCAAGGTACTTTGTGTGCGGGCCGCCGCCACAGCATCGTCATACGAGAGAGACGTGAGGCAGACGTAGGCTGAAGCCAAGCCGTGAGTCAAGGCTGGATGGATACGTGCGGGTGCAAGTCGAGGTGGGCGCGGGAGCAGAAGCAGGAGCAGGAGCAGGACTCGGGCAGTGTGCGCGCCAATGTAGCAAGAGGGTGCGCGTGAAGAAGCCGGTGGGTGGGAGGGAGGTATCCGGGTCGATGTCTAGTGGCTGTGAGGCGTAGATGGGAGGAGTGTGTGAGAAACAGAATCAAAGGTCGAGAGTTGAGAAGCGACGACGGCAGAGAGCTAGCTGATGATGTAACTAATGTACTCGGACTGCAGCTCGACGTGGACAGGGTACTTGGGCCTTGTTGTTGCTGGGGGTTGGAGGGGTCAAAGACGCATGATGGGATGGATGGGCATTTGGGGGTTCAAGGTCGCGGCGGCCCCGGCACTGGGGCTCTGATTGTTTTTGTGGTGAGGTGGACGGCCGTCAGGCAGAACTGCGCTGCGGAAGTCTGGGAGAGCAATTAATTACCTACCTAGGTACTCACTCACCTTTACCTTGGATAGCACCCGACAGCACCTCAGCTTCGATATATGCAGCACAGACAGGGAAAACGTTTGGCTCTTGGGCTGACACGTGCACCCTGGCGCAGCTTCCCTTGCGGGGACAAATTGGGTCGGACCGTCGGCTGCTTTGCGAGGCTACATGTGGTTTCTGCTTGGATATATTGTCTCTGTAAGTACCAAATAGAATCATTGTCAACCGCTAGGCCAGTACGTACCTCTTTAGGCTAGGTACTCTCGTTGCTGCCATTCTCACCATGTACATTTCTCCCCGAGTCCCCATGGCAGTCCCACCTCTTCCGACTTCACGACCGTTAGCTGGGAATATCACTGCCCCCCCTTCTGACTTGCAGACAGGTTCCAACTTGAATACCTTACCTCACACACTCTCTCACCACCACCACCACCACCACCAACCCCCTACGGCATCTCGATGAGCCCGTACTCGGCTTTTCAGACCTTGACCTATCGTCGTTTTGGGTTCGACTCCCGAGGTTACGCCTAATATCTCGGCCATTGCGTCCCGCCAGCTGATCAACATGATTTGGCATTCGGGTCCTCCACGAAATAAGGCAAAGTGATGCTGGGCAGCAAAAAAAGACCCAACTATCCAGATAACCAAGGAGGCCCGTCGAAAGCGATGGATGCCCAGTTCCCTCGGCCCCCAGGATGTAGCCTGAAAGTCTGCCCAGGTGAGCCGTCTGCTGGACACGACCAGCTGCGATGTGCCTTGTTGCGGAGGCTGGTGCCCGCTCAGCCGCCTACCGGCCCTAGCCACGCAACCCTCTCTCCTTGAGGCAACCCGTCCAAGCCGACAGGCTGTCACGTCTGGTCCTGTATGCGCACGTCAAGACAATCAGAGGCCAAATGGAACCAGCAGACGCTCAAGAGGAACTGCCCAACCACACGCCGTTGCGCAGGTCGAGTTCTGCTCATCTCATCTTTTTCCCCGGCCATCCACCACACGAGATCCAGGAAGCTACGGATACTTTTCCCAGAGTCACTAAACACAAGACGGCGTCACCATGTCCACCTAAGCCGTGGGCATTTACTTCCCCGGCAGGCTGGAACCCGGCGAGAGCATTTGCAAAACACCAGAGACCCGGTTCAACAATCCACCCGATCTTTTCGTTACTCCCGCCCCATCTTCCAGACTTCCAGAAACACTGCTAGCAACCGGGACATGATCCGCGGCGGCGCATCGCACATCCTTACGAATACATGGCACAATGTCCCTGCTTACCATGGCGACTCCGCGTACCCGTTTAAATCTAATCGTTGCGACACCAATGTTTGATGCAGGTGCAGCCAAGGTTTTGGGACATACTCATATGGCGGTGAGCGGAAGAGCAGCGGTTACGAACATGGCTTGCAGGGACCTGCTGTTGTACACTGCGTTGGCCATGTACCATTTCTACCACTCCCTGACACTGCAACAGCCAGAGAGATGACAATCCGTTGCTGCACTGGCCGCCGACCAACCGCCTGGCCGGGTCACCTTGAGCGCTATCTTTATCTTTACATGAATATGTCGCCGTTCAGTCGCCTCGATTCCCTGACTTTATAGAAACGATCGACATGACTTGAGAGAATCAAATCATCTCACGCTCATTGGAAAGCGGTATACCACAACGCGATTGCGGCGCCCGCAAGGGATATGACGCTCCTAATGGCGTTGAGTGCCTGCCACCTCTTTAACAGCTCCCTGGTCTCGGACAGACCCAGCGTCGTGATGCCCCGTGCACCGGCCATGAGTGCATTGTTCGTTGACAACATGAAGATGATGGTATAGGGCACGATGGCGAGACTAAGAAGCCCGGCTGCAACAAACGGCTTCCACGCAACACCCTGGCTGTAGCGATCGTAGGCCGAGTAGACCAACGACAGCGTAATGGCGAGCGCTACTTTTGGGCCGGTCGACGCGCCGTTCAAATATATGTGTTGCCACAGCTTCAGTGCATGACCTGGCTCTGCGCTGGTATGGATTATGGCGGGGATGCTAAACATGGATAACGATGCCGCTGCGCCTGGACTAAGAGTCAGCAATTGACGTCGACCCCGCCGACGGCAGAGAGAGAGAGAGACAGCAAGTGAAGGGGGAAGAGCTGGCTTACCCGCCCACCATGCACACCCGAGGATGCCAGTGGCAGTGGCGATTGTGTTGGCTATCCCGAGTTGCAACATGTTGGTTTTGGCGGCCTTTTTTGGGGTAGAACTTGGTGTGGTAAGTGGTGACGACAGCGACTTTGTCGCAATAGTAAAACTCAAGACCAGGTTGGTTGAAATGAGGCAGTGTATGATGTCGTCTGTTGAGTGTATCTCTATATTTCTAAGTTAGGATGAGATCTATCTGACTCCTTGGCATCATCTGTTCTCTTATATGTTCGAGAATGGTCTAGCAAATATCGGCGGTGCTAACTAATTCCCGATGAGATCGGGGGAATCACGGACGACACAATAGTCCGACCCTACCCCGAATCTGCGTGCCGGTGCCGTCCTCGTTGCGTCCTCCGCGCCGTACTACATAGGCCCTATCGCACCGCCCTCTTAGATTGTCCAAGAGCCAGAGAATTCGAGTGTGCGCCTGTTGCCGTGGTTGGCCAAATTCAATCAGGCAGGCCGACAAGGTTCCAACAAGGTTCCGATAACGCGATGGAGCCGACGCCGCAAGAGCCCGGGATGAACGGTCGGTCATTCGAACGACGTATGGTCAGTGTAATTTCTCCACCCTCGCCTCTTTCACTACAGCATCAAGCTATTGTCGTGTTGGTTCGACGCTGTGGCTCCTCGATGCCGTAGCCGACGAGTGTCGTCTTTTCCTGTGTATCCTCATCGCGTTCTGTCCAGACCTTGAATTTCTGAAAGCCCGTTTTGCTCAGGACCCTCTGGCTGGGCAAGTTGTCCAGCTCCGTCACGGCGGTGATGATCTCCGCCGTCGTCTCGGAATCGAGTGTCTCCTGGAACCTCTCGCCGATGACGCTCTTCTCGACGCGGAGCTCGCACCCGGAGCGGGGCAGAGACCACCAGGCCCCGAGGAAGCCCCGCAGGAACTCGGTGGCGTAGCCTTTCCCCCAGGCCTCCTCCCGCAGCAGGTACCCGATCTCGGGCCAGCCCAGCTCGCCGCCGGGGCCGTCGCCGCTGCGGTTGGGCCCCGGCACGCGCTTGCACCCGCCGAGACCGATGAACTCGCCCGTAGACCGCAGGCAGATGGTGAAGTTGTAGTTGTGGGCGTCGTTGGGCGGCAGGTTGTCGGCCAGCCAAGCCTGGGTCTCTTCGATGTTCGCGTCGATGCGGCCGGCGACTGTCCACTTCATCACCTCTGGCTGCGTCCGCATGGCGTGGAGTGAGAGGAGATCATCCTGGCTGACGGGCTTTAGGATGAGACGCTCGGTGAGGATGGGCGGTCGCGAGGCTAGGGGGGGAAGGGGCAGTGTTGGCAGGGTGGTATGCACCGTGACGAAGTCGAGTGGCTCGTCCATTTTCCGTCCTTTTATGGCTTCTTCGTGTGGTTTCCCTTACTCCTCCTGTGGTTGTTTTTCAATTCTTGTCCCGGGTTGTAAACCGCCAAAGTGTCTGTATGTTGTTCCTCTCATGCGGTTTTTTTTTCATCTGCGACATTATCACGAAGGATTTTTTTAAGGGGAGGGAGTTGAGTCATCCCGGACCAGAAACCTTGAACGGTTGATGACTCCTGAATCCTGATTGTGAGGGTCCCCAGCGCTATTACTATTCCAGCATCGTCGTTTGGATTGACCCTTCTTTGCAAATACGGCGAGGCCTAATGGGGGGAGGGGGCTCCGCAATTTGTTGACTCGCTCGGGGTACTCCCGAGCGCCGCGCCGACGATGTCTTTGTTCGTCCATTTCTTCGCCCGCTCTCACACCGTCAGAACACCAAGGAAACCCCAGCTGCGCGGTTCACGGCGTTTGATCCGGTCGAACCTTTCCCGCGGCTAGATAAGCAAAGACAAACCACATGCCGGCCGCCGTCTCGAGCGAGACCGAGCAATGTCACCGTTCGAATGAAGGCGTGCTGACATATGAGTCTCGGACGAATAGCACACTTGGTCCTTGGGGCTTAAGGTTTTTACGGGTGCCGTAGTGGGGTGGTTTCGGGCACCCCTGGGCATTTCCACATCTGAATGCAGATCTTGGGCGTGCGCTACAGCCCATCAGGTATCCCCCGCAGCCTGCTTCGTTCCTCTGGTGCCACCCTTGCCCAGAACCAGAGCAACATCAGCAGCAAACTCAGATTTCTTATTGGACTTGGGTTCGAAAGAGTTATTCTCCCATCCTTGCTCTTCTTGGCAGCTCCACGTCTTTAAATCTGGATGGAAACCTAATTACCTCCTCGATGTGCAAGTAGCGAAGGAAGCCGACATCAGCCGGGCTTAGGAGATAGTTACCTGGAGTGATCGCCCGTTCGCTCTTAACTCAGAAGGAATGCAAGCGCGAGCTACCTTGGCGGGGAACACTCAAAATCGTCAACGTCAGCAAACTACGTCTCACACCCTGAGCTAGCTTCACTCAAGCCTCACTCACTCAGGTCGCTCATCCTTCACTCGACTCTCACTCATCATCGAGTATCCCACAACTCACCAAACAATGACGCCGCCTGCATCATCGGCGACCGCAGCCCGACACCAAGCCGATCAAAACAGTACCGCCACTGGCACCGGCGGCGGCGGCAGCAAACAACAGCTTAGCTGCGCAAACTGTCGCCATCGCAAGATCAAATGCGATAAAATACAACCCCGGTGCAAGCAGTGCGAGCGCTCCGACCTCGACTGCGTGTTCCCCTCCCGGAAGCGGAACCGCAAGCCGCGTCAGGTGAGGCAGAACGAGCTGCTCAACCGCATCACCCGTCTGGAGAGTATCGTCAGCAAAGTCGACTCTGGTAACGTCGATGGAGTCGTCAAGAATGGTACCGCTGCCGGCTCGGCGGCAGCCCCAACGGCCTCCCTCGTGGCAGCCGCGGCCGCCTCATCGACGCTGCATTCTATATCGGCGGCAGGCCAAAGGGGTGGCGGCGACCCAGTCTCCGGCATGAACGACGCGGAGCCGTCGCCGCCCGGCGCGGGGTGGGACCCTCAGCCCGCCCCGCCAACCAACTACATGAGCGCCGAGTTCTGGGACAACCTGTGTCAGGAGGTCGAGGGCATGAGGCAGGCCCTGGACCAACCCTCCGATAGCGAGGGGTCCGACGAGGAGGAGGGGGGAGGCCAGCAACAACACAGCACGACGAGCCCTGAGTCGTCCGTCGCCAACAAGGGCCAGACACCGCCCGCGTTGTCCGGGCTCATCTCCAGCTTCGCCACCGGCGGGGACGAGCCGCTGCGGCACCCGCCGAGGGATCACATCATGTACATGTGCGGCATCTTCTTTTCGAACGTCGATCCCGCGTTCAAGGTCATTCACCGGCCCACCATCTCGGTCGAGCTCGAGGGCTTCGCGAATGCTACGAACAAGCACATTGACGACGCCACGGAGGCTTTATTCTTTTCCATGTACTTTGGCGCCATCACGAGCTTGACGAATGAGGCTTGTCTGAGGAATCTGGGGGAGGAGAGGAGTGTGCTTGCGCAGAGGTACCGGGAGGGCGTTGAGAGGGCTCTCCATAAGGCGGACTATCTCAACAGCACTGAGATTAGAACCCTTCAGGCGCTGACCTACTACGTGGTGAGTCTTGTTTCATTTTCATTCACTGCATATGAAAACCATTCGATCTAACTATCGTGCAGTGCTTCCTCCGCTCACACAACGCCAGCCGCGCCTCGTGGGCTCTCATCCCCCTGGTTGTCCGTCTCGCCCAGGCCCTCCACCTCCACCGGGACGGCGTCTCGCCTCCCTTCCCGCCCTTTGAGGCCGAGATGCGCCGCCGGCTGTGGTGGATGATTGTGGTTCTCGACATTCGCGCCGCCGAGGACCGCGGCACCGACGCCGCCATCCCGCGACAGTCGTACAGCACACGGTTGCCCTTCAACCTCGACGACGACGACTTTGGCCCCGCGACGACGAACCCGCTCGAGGACAGGACAGGCCCGACGGAGATGACCTTTTGCCTGTGCACGAGCATGTCCTCGGGCATTTTTGGGAACCTGCGGCCACGGCACCCGCAGCTCGCGCTGGATAACGACGGCACGCCGGAGTCGACGACGTCGGAGGAGGAGATCATGGCGCATGCGCAGCGCCTCGAGGCCCTTTTCGGCACGGCACCGCCTAAAACCCCGGCGGCCGACGGCGACGGCGACGACGGCGACGGGGACCAGGATACGCGGCACCTGCCCGCCAGCCACGCCGCCGTGACGGTGCGCATCATTATTTTGAAATTGTGGCTCTCGGCGCAGTACCCCTTTACGCCGCGTGCGTCAACGGCGACGGCAAAGCCGCGCGTGGCGCGGGAGACGATGCTCCGCACCGCGGTGAACACAATCGAGCTCGTCGAGTACAGCTCGGCCACGTACCGCGAGCGGTTCGGGTGGTGGATTGATAGCTATGTGCAGTGGCACCCGCTCGCCGTCGCGCTGGCGGAGCTGTGCGTGCAAACGCGCGGGGAGCTGGTGGAGAGGGCGTGGCGGGTGGTGGACCGCAACTTTCACGGGATGCGGGAGCGGATCGCGGACACGAGGAGGGGGACGCTGTGGAGGCCACTAAAGAAGCTTTTAAGGCGGGCGAGGGCTGCGAGGGCGGAGGCGATGATGGGGGCATTGAAGTTGGAGGATCATGGTCACGGCAGCAGGGCGTCTGCTGGCGCGGCGACGACGACGACGATAACGACGGAGCGGTGGGAGCCTGCCAGGAGGACGGTGAAGGTGCAGCAGGACGAGGAAGAGGAGGATGATGACGGCGATGATGATGATGACCAGGAGGGGTATGGGGATGTTGTTGTCACGGACGTTCATGATGCAGCGGAGAGTCAGGGGCTGAATATGGAGACGCTGCACCCGGCTTTTAGGCCGGATCGTCTTGGCCGTGTTTCTTCTTCTGCTGGTGCTGGTGCTGCTGGAGGGCACGGCGGCACCGCGCCTCCCCCGGGTGCACATTTCGCGACCACCAACATCGTCGGATTGGGAGGCTCGCCGATGATGGTCGATCCGGCGGCGGGGGCGTCTATGTCCACGACATCATTGCCGCCGCCGCCGACGTCGACGCCAATGAACCCGCCGTTCGGGCTGACGCCAGAGGATATGGCCATGTTTGGGAGCACGCCGCTGTTCAGCAACCCGCAGGACCTGATGGTGCATTTCGGGATCCAGATGGACTCTGGGGAATTTGGATGGGATCCGAGCACGTGGGACGAGTTCGTCGTTGATGCGAATATGGAGAGGTCACCTGGGGATGACGGGTGATTCTAACGAGGGGGGGGGGGGGGGGGGGGGGGGGGGGGTGGGGGGGGGGGGGGGGGGGGGGGGTGGGGGGGTGGGGGGAGGGGTGGGGGAGTGGGTGGGGGGGGGCGGGGGGGGGGGGGGGGGGGGGGGGGGGGGACGCGTGGTATATAGTATGGAAACGAAAGGAAGAAGCGAGTGGTAATGCTGTACGATAGGTATGACGAATCACGCCGATCAGTCTTTTGAGAATCCAACTGAATAGGAAGTCTTGACTCTCATATGATGAGCATTTGTAAGTGATATGTAACTACGGTAGGTAGGATTGTCAACAGCTGGATTTAATTGGCTCCTCGAGAAACCGTCGTTCCTCCAATTGCGACTTGAAACCCGTCAAACGAGAGCGAGAGACCACCCGATGTAAGAAGCATAGTACCATACGAGGCATTTGATAATGACTACGGCATGGAAGTCGCCGGGGAATGAAATCGACTCAGATTTGGACCCTACACCGGGAGGACTATAAATAACCTCTGAGGTGGGTAACTCATGTTAACATCACTTTAAAAGCGACTAGAAATGGTTTCAACAACCGATGCAGGGTGAGTTGGCATTTGTCTACATAGACGAAGCCGGACGTCAAACATCCCTCTTCTGGCCGAGCAGATCTAAGGTACCGCATCGTCTCATCAAGAAGTCGTAATTCACAGCTTCGTACTCAGGTATCATTCGTCCATCTATCAAAAGGGTGGTTCGTGGTGGTTTGCCTCCCTCCCCGCTGCTTTTGGCCATGCTCGCGAAAAGATGATGTTTTGAATTGATTTCATTTCTTTTGGTGGCCCCCGCCTTTAGAGGGCAAATGCACGTGATAGTTCCATAGACCTAGTGAACACCTGCCAAGTAGTAGTAGCCCGCCCCTCCATTTGTCGAAAACCAGAGAAACAACGCCGCACAACAGCCAACACTTTATGCGAAGGTGGTGGGACGCTTCGCGCTGAAGATCTTCTGGTTGTTGAGCTTGGAGACGCGGTGGGGGAGGGGGAAGCTGAGGCCCTTGGTGATGAGCTGCTTGATGTAAGGGCGCTTGACATCGTCGCCCTTCTCGAGCTCGACGACCTTGAGGATCTGTTCCGGAAGTTGTTAGCGGGAAGTGTTCGAATTTCCATGGGAGGGACTGCCAAGTCTTCGGCGCGAGGCGCACGTACGTGGATGGACCTGAAGCGGGCGCGGTGGCGGGCGGCCATGTCGGAGTAGAGAGCCTCGACGGCGTCGGTGCGGGACATCTCGCGGTACTCCTTGTACATGTTGTGGGTGCCGGAGCGAGAGTCGTAGCGGAGCCAGACACCGAAGTTCTTGACCTTGAGGGGGTGCTTCTCCTGGATCTGTGTGACGTAGAGAGTCAGTTTCTGACTGGGACACTTTTGACGGTCCTCTGGTTGGGTGACGTACCTCCTTGACGCTGACGATCTCACCGGTGGCCTTCTTGACCTTCTTCAGGCCACGCAAGAAGTACCAGTAACGGGACTTCGCAACCGTGACATTGGGAGCGAAGATGGTCATGCGGTACAGCGCGGGAGTCGGGTTGGACTCGGTGGGCAAGTGGCGCCCGATGACCTCGTATTCCGTGAGACGACCTGTTGCAGAGATAGTTAGTTATGCGTCGCCCTTGTGCCATAAATTTCAGGATCCAAGGATGCGAATCGCTGTGTCGTTCCGGGCTGCTGCTGAATTTTTTCCTTTTGGGCGAACGTCGAGTTCGGGCGGAAGGCCGAGGAAATCGCATTACGTCGAAGTGGAAGATGTAGGATTCGTTTTCCCCCTTCGTGAACCAAGTAACCCTCAAAAACCCAACACTGCCGTTCGCCTTCTGAGGAAGGCTAGTGCTGTCTCGCTCGGCATCCAAGCTACTGAAGTTCGTTCATGTCTTATCCAGGAAGCAGTCGAGTCGTTGTTGGTCGGATACAGTAACATCGTCGAGATGTCTTAAGTGGCCTTGAAAAAGTTTCTTCGTCGCGGTCGGGATTCGTAAAATTCGCAGCAGGCATTCGCATCCAAGATCCAGGGGAGGAGAGAGGAATTGTGCTTACCCATCTTGAATGACTTGTTAGAAACTGAAGATCCTCCGTGTGCTTGAGTAATTGGTGACTTACTTTGAAGAGCTGGCCGATGGTCGTCGATTATCCGATATCGTGGTGATTGCTGCTGGGTCTGAAGCCGAATGGGAAAACAAAAAAGTTGGGTAAATGCAAAAAAGGGCGAGAACCCTATGTGTCAACGCCACACTTTCCTAAGCGACTGTGCCCCACCCTTCTGCGGCTGGTGAAGATCCACTTCAAACCGCAGATTTCGAGAAGGTCTGTTAATGCATGGTTGCCTTAGATGCCAGGCTCAATATTTCCGAACCATCAGAGGGAGGAGCTGCCTTTGGTGTGTCCCAAGGTCGTAGGATTTCAACCAATCACAGCGCAGGCTGCCCTCCGTAGACCATCAGCGTCACAAAGGCAACCACACATGCTGGTAGACGGTAGACGGGAACAGCTTTGATCATAAGTCACAAAGGTGATTTGCCTTTCGAATATATTTCGGCAGGATTACTTTGATGAAAGTCATATCGCCTTCCCGCACCGAACTCTAGAGCGCTTGCTGTTCAGCTCTGCCATCACTCAACGCAATCACCCTTCAACGTCTGTCTGCCGGCAAGGGCTTAGAGAGACAGGATGGAGCCTCTCTTTGAGGAGTTTCGCAATGCCTACAAGACTCGGTCTGGATACTCCCTTGCGCAGACACTCCAGCCATTCAACCCTGTCAACAAACCAGAGAAGCTACGGTCCATCTATCAGAGCACGAATGTCCAAGAAGCTAAGAGCGATATCAAGTACATGCTCCTCGGTCGGGGCCCAGGGTCTAAGAAATTCAAGCTGGACCATGAGGAGACTACAGGCTGGGTTGAAGTCTATACGGCGTACTGGAAAGCCATTGGTGAGATCCTCAAAGTGGAGGGCGACTCCGGTGCTGGAGGTAGGGTGAGCATATGCCTCTCGGTCCCCCTCTTTCGGCTTCATCACTAACACTGACAATAGGCTTCATCATGGACCAAGGTCTATGAGTCTTGGAAAGAACTCACCACCGCTCTCATCCGAGGCTATACGAATCATGGATTCGAGGCCTGGACAATTCCGTGTCTCTACCTTGCTGGCAAGCATCTGCGACTTTTCGCCATCAGCTCAGACGAGGAGCGGAACACCACCGAAGCCACTGCTGACGCAATGGAGCTTGCTGACGACTACGATCCGGATCTAGAGAAGCAAAAGCAGCTGCGCGATTGTGAACAGCAGCTCAAGCGTATTTTTACACTGTGTTTGAGCGACAGGTATGTCGACGCCACCCCAAAGCCTTTTAGCCTCTCCTGATTGTGTACAGAGCACCCCTCGAAGAATCAAGAAAGTGGGCCATTTACTACATCATCAACCTGCTATTCAAGACCTACTTCAAGCTCAATTCTGCAAGTTTGAGTAGGACAATCCTGAAAGCGTTGTCCACGAACCGTGGAGACATGCCTCCCCTGGAAGCATTCCCCAAGTCACAGCGGGTGACTTTCAAGTACTATGAAGGCGTGCTCTTCTTCTTGGAGGAGAACTACGTCGAGGTAAGATGGCCGAGTGATTGCCGTCCTACTTTGCCAATCTGACCAAGTCCAGGCCGAAAAACACCTCACTGAGGCATGGTCACTGTGTCACAAGGACGCAAAAAGCAACCAAGAGTATGTCTTCTCGAAATGCCCCGCAATCACAGGCCTAACCACTCACAACCATCGTAGGAGAATCCTCACCTACCTGATTCCATGCCACCTTCTCACCACCCACACTCTTCCCAGCAGCAAACTCCTCGAGCCCTTCCCGCGGCTACAGAAGCTCTTCCTCCCACTGTCGCAATGCATTCGCAAGGGCGATTTGCGGAACTTTGACCTAGCTCTGCAAGAAGGCGAGGAGGAGTTCGTCCGCCGCAGGATCTACCTCACGTTGGAGCGCGGTCGCGATATCGCCCTGCGCAACCTCTTGCGTAAGGTCTTTGTCGCCGGCGGCTTCGAGGAGGCAAAGGAAGCCGGCGCCGCTCCCGTTCGTCGGACCAGAGTCCCAGTCGCCGAGTTCACCGCCGCTATCAGCCTCGGAAGCCAGGAGACTGTTGATCCGGACGAGGTTGAGTGCCTGCTGGCCAACATGATCTACAAGGTACGTGGCAACTTCCTTCTCGTCGTGTTTCTGGTCTTCTGGTTGCTTGAAGGGTGGCAGCCTGCATCCATAGTCCAGACCTGCTTCTATCTTTCGATCAGCCGGGCCGGAAATGTGTTGGAATTTCGCCGCGCGTTTCTCCGTCTTCCCTAGCCTGCTTTATCACTCCCCAGGACAGTTGCATCATAGGCAAAACTATCCCAAGAACGGCGTTGTGTACCCCAGGCTGCCCAGCGTCGTGATGTCTTCTACACAAGCCCGCTTGATCAACATCACTCCATATTTCTCCTTATTCTCTAGCTACATGGCTAACGGCACACATCTGTGCAGAATCTCATGAAGGGCTACATCGCCCGCGAGCGCGGCATCGTCGTCCTCTCCAAGAACGGGGCGTTCCCCGGAACAGGGGTTTAGACGGTGATGGTGGTGTGGGGACGCCAACCGCATGAGACGTCGAACGGCCCAAAGACGGAGATACGGCCTTGATACCACAGCTTCATACATGTTACAAGCAGCGAGAAAGCTGCCCAAATCGGCATCGGCGACCACAACCTTGCTAGATTTATTGGCCTCATGTAGTGTGTGAATACATTTGGACGATGGGCATGGGTGCGAGGAAGGATGCATTGTCACCCTACCGGTGATGGTGGGCAGTTATAAAAAGCAAAGTCTATCTCGACGCAGTTTGTTGGGACTGGCAGATACAATACATTGATACCTCGTACCCGTTTGCGACGGCCGAGAGCGTGAAGACAGCGTCCAAGCAACGGGCAATACCGAGTTTTAATCAGAATGGTCCAACATATTAAGAAGATGGCAGCGGTTTTCGGTACGCAGGCTATCCACCCTCTGTGCACTTATGTACTTTTTTTCGGTCAATTTTCTCGCCAGGTTTTCTCCTAAGACGGTAGAAGCCGTTGTGATTTCCACAAATTTATCATTCACATGAGACCACACACGATAACCTCTCCACACGTGGGAAATATTGTTAGCTACAACGTTTACACTCACACATCTCAGAATATCAATCCAAAAATACCTCTGCCGCATCCATTCTCCCGTCCTAGCCTTCGTGATATTTCCCTCCAATGGTGACCCAAACAAAACACGGGCACGGGATAGGCCTTGACTAAGGTCTCACCAAGAAACATCAGCATCACAGCCTGAGAGCAGGGGGGTAGCTAGTCTAAGTGCTTGCATCAGTAGCGTCCAGTCAGGAGAAAGAAGAAAATGGCCGGGGATGGAAGGTGTGTTCCCACAGCAGGTGGAGTTAGCTGGCTGAGGATTGCGTGAATTGGTGATAGTGTTGCGAAGAGTCAGCCTCGGTGATGTTAGCAATATGACTCACAGCCTACGCCAGGCAAGGGGGAGCGGACAAACACGGCCGCTGCGCTAGGCGGGCGGACCAGGAACCGGGAGACTGTACCGCGGGGCGGCGAACGGGGTCAGGTAGAGATCGGCAGGGATGGTTCGCCTGGATCGGGCTGTGAACTCGGGTGCCTTGGGCATTCACGATTATGCACGTAGGACTTTTTCGACCGAAGTCATCGGTAGGTACAGAATTTTGACATATTGGCCCTTTTTCAGATCATCAGGAGGAGGAAGCGGAGTCGGCAAGAAGCAGTCCATAACCATCGCTGTTGGATATCGGGAATGTCCCAACGACGCGGATGGCTTCATTTTATAGGGCTTCTTAGAAAGAAGCCAAAAGATTACGGCAGCAACTCCTGTAGATTTCAGAAATAGGAAGCGAGTGTGAAGAATAATAGTTGTACAGTAATGATCCGATCTCTTCGCGAAAGACACAATCTGTCCCGTTTCCTGTGCATTTTCCCCGTCTCTTTTCGTTCTACTACAGCCAGAAAGGTTGTGTTTGTTTTCTCAGTCGTCTTTACATGGGCGACATTCCGGGAGAAGTCCTCCAGTCATCAAATAAATTGCCTCTCAGAATCCTCCTCCTTCTTTGGGAGAGTCGTCATCGCGGTTAATCTCACAATAAGAAAAAATACAGGTACAAGGATTTCTCGTGAGAAGTCAAGAAGACTGAGCTAGAAAGAAAAAATGGCAGATAAATGCAGAACTGACGACAGAAATAATGAAAATATATTTCCTCAAACGCCGCGGTCATCCCTATCCAGTGGGAGTTCCAAACGCCCTCATGTTTATGGTATTTTGCGGATTTTGTAAATCGAACAGGCTCAGTTTAGCCCCGCTTAGTAGCAACCGGCGGCGAACTTGAAAAAGGAATAGACGAGAAAATGAGGACAAGATTGCGTGAGAACGTCAAGTCATTAGTATGATGAGCCGGGTATTGGTTCGTCCTTGGCTGAGTTGAGGGTGATTCGATGGATAGGAAATGGAAATGCAAATGTAATCCAGCAGTCGATGCCCCTTAGAAGGGACGACCTGCACGAGGCGTGCGAGGAGAGTTTCTATATAACGATGAGCACCGAAGGCGTGGCTTGACACTTTTTGAGGGCTACTTACACGGTGGAGATGTCGTCGACGTGGTTGCAGAGTGCGACAAAGAGGTCAAAGAAGAGCGGGGTGCCGCCGTTGTACATCTCCAGCTGCATCGTCCCGCTTCGCTTGAAGGTGCTCCGGCTGCGGATGATGAGGGCGAGGTAGTGAGCCCGCAGCTTCGAGTCGCTGTCGGGGGTATTTGCGTAGGCGTACCGGGCCGACGCCAGAATGGTGCTGCACTGGATGCCGGACTCTGGACACCAAAAAGTCAGAAAATGCGCAAAAAAGTGAAGAAGCGGAAGACACCAAAAAAGACTTACGGAGGCCCTGTTTCCTCAGCGAAACCCTCTTTAATTCTTCGAGGCCGTACTTCTCCGCGGCGCAGTAAATCACCGTGTCCTTGAGCAAATCGCCGTCGACGCCGTGGTGGTAGACCGTCGATTCGACGCCGCCGCCTCTGCCGTTATCGGCGGCGCTGAGAGCTTCAATCTCCCACGAGTTCCGGCGCTTGTTATGCACCAGGCGCGGGTAGTAGTCGCCCTTATAGAGATACTCGAGTACGGACGAGAAGATCTCGGGTTCCTCATCGGGGAGGGCGATGCGCTTCGTCGGCGCTGATGACGGGGAGCTGGCGTCGGGACTGTTGTACAGGTTCGAGCGTAGGGCGTTTTGGAAGAAGGGTGATGCGCAGAGGACATCTTCGTGGGCGGCGAAGAGACGTTGCTCTGTACCAACGACGAGGGTGACGATTGCAGAGGTGAGGTTGCTGTGTTTGGGTGGTCCTGTTAGTGTCTTCACACCTTTTCTTTCTGGATGCGACTTAAATGGATTTGATGAAGGGTGTAGGGAAATCTTTTCGAAGACTTACTTGCTCATGGCGGTATCTTCGGTCGAATTGCTCGTGGTGGTGGTGGCGGTCGTGGGCCGTCGGCTGTGGCGGGACTCATGGCGATGCTTCGAAACGCCGCTGGATTTGCTAAATGACGAGCTGGATTTGGACGCCTTGTGACTTTTGGGGAAGCTCTTGTTCACGACCTGCGGCGGCTCGAAGCGTCTGCTGAACATTTTTAAGGTTGCGTCGGGACCGTTCGGGATGATTTGTGGAGTAAAAAACGAATGCACACAGCAGATTTCAGACCTCGGATGCCCAAGGAAAGTGGTCGGGGAAAACTCAAATGATGGAAAGAAGAGGGTGAACGGAGTGATTGATTATCGATGCTACGGTTGGATGAAATGATTGTTTCCGATGGAAAATGGTTGACCTACCTAAGGCGCCGTTCCCGAGATGCGTGAGTAAAGAAGGGAGAGAGTTCAAGAAAATCCTATTGGGGATGGGCGGCCAGATTCTATATATACAGCCTGATTCCTGGCACGGTCCCTCGGAGATCCCTCCCCTGAAGTGAAGTACGTTGCAGTGATTGCCTTGCATGGGCAGCTCTTCCATTGAACAGGATGAGACTCGTGTGCCTGGGGGGGCGGACTGATAAAAAAAAAGTGGTGAGAACGTCCTAATTGGACGCGTCGAGGGATCAAGGGGACGCGACTATGGGCCCGAGGCACACACGCCTGTGAGGTGCGATATCACGTGCATTTCAACAGGGTACTTCGTTGAAGCGAAGTGGGTGTGCGCCGGCTGCTTGGCTGCCTCCAGCAGTGCTTTTGGTGGCATGGGTGTGGAAAGCTGGCGTGCACTGGCACGCACTGGGAACCAGGCCGAACCCGGTTCTAAAACCGCACTTGTCCAAGCCCATCCGCAGGGGGTTACCAAAACTCAGCAAGGAGCCGAGGACGGATAAATTGTCACTGATTGTGCTGGTGCAGTTGGTTTGGTGCCACACTGCTCATGTCAGGGGGGGTTGGATGATTTCTCGCTCCCGTCGAGAGGTCACTCCGCAGTGACTCAACGGTGCAAAGGTTACCTCTAGCCGGGAGTTTGCGGACTGGTGAGCATACAGCGGTAGTGCTCCGACGGTTCACACTCCACAAGAAGAAAGCTGCCTGGAAAGGACTGGTCCACGGTAAGGCGGCGTGGCCGCGTCCAAGCTTCTGTGCCCGTCACTTCGCCGGAATAAGAAATGTTAGGAAGGGAGATTCGATCTGGCTGCATTTCATTCACACAAGAGGCGAATAGGTTCGGTAAAATTCTAGGATTCATCAAGGAAATCAGAGGAATCTATTCGTAGCAAAATGTGTCAATTCGGAGACAGGATGAGCTCCTTGAAATGCAAAGCATTGTCACCCTTTATCGTGAAAGCTCGACATCGAGAGAGAGGTTTTGGCGATGGCGCACATGGCGTTGGACCGTTATGGATGGTACCATCGACCAGGCTCGGTTTCCAGCAAAAAGAGGCAAGGCAATTTAAGCAGCCCCTGACCATCACCTATCTCACCAATAAATAAACCCTGCACTGGTTTGCCGGGGAGTAATTCCTAGCTTCCCAGTCCGAAATCCAAACCGAAGTCGAACGCCGAGGCAGCTCCCTCGGCATAGCCATGAAACCCTTCAATTCACCAATTAAATTTACCCACTTCAGGATGACCAAGACTACAGCATTGTGACAGTCATCGTGACACCTTCATGTGAATTTGCAGTTCAGAAAAACCTCACTTGATGTCATCATTAATATCATTAGATTTTAGCAGCGACCTGCTCAATGCAGTCAACGACAGCTCTGCGTCCCTCTAGCCTGATGACGGCATCGTTGTGGAACGCGCCCTGCACCGTCTTCTTCTCTACCTCGAGCCCGACCTCCTCACAGCGCCGGACCAGCTTCGCGCCGTGCTCGGCCGGCACTAGCTCGTCCCTGCCAGCTTCTACGATTGTGACACGAGGCCTCTCGTGGGCCCTCGACCGGGACCAGTTCCCGGCGATCGCGGCTAGGTTCGTCCAGCTGTCCAGGTGATTTCGGAGGAACGGCCAGAGGTGACGGTACGGCACCCATTTCTGGGGGTACAGCGTCGCCAGCATGTCCTTGACGGATGTAAAAGGTGTCTCGAGGATCAGCGACCTTAGCCGCAACGTGGGCGGGAACGCCTCCCACGCAGCGAGGTTCGTGGCGACCCCAGCGCCGATGCTCTGACCCCAGAGTATGACCTCCGGAGTCGTTGGTTGGTGGTGCACATAGACGTCTTGCTCGCTGTGCATCCGCCCAATCCAGTGCAGAGCCGCCTGCGCGTCCAGGTTGATGCCCTTCTCGGAGGGACGACCCCTCGACGTCCAGTACCCGCGGTAGCTCAGACACACCATTGTGTATCGCGCGGGCCGTTTGCTCTGCTGCAATGAGCGCAATACCCATGATAGGTCTGGCAACCGTGGGGGAATGGACGAGGCGTTTCCTGTTTTCCCCAAAGCAATGAGTCTTTGTTCATGTCTGACAACACAGGGGAATGAATTCTATGCGCCTGCCGGGGTATGGGGACGGGGCGGACCCTGAAAGTAGAGGATATAGATGGACGGCACCGATGGAGTGTCATCGAGCAACGTGGTCTTCCTCCCACCAGTCGATGTCGTCGAGGCCACGCAGAGGGCCAGATTCGTCCCGTCGGCGGCGCGGATCCTCTTCTCCTCCCACTGCACCCCCCAGCACTGCTTCGCATAGTCCTGGATGCGCTCCCTGCGCGCGTTAGGTGGCAGGCCGGGCATATATACGATCTTGTTCTGGAAGACGATCATTGCGAGACACTTTTGCGTCCACAGGGCGACCAGAAGGCCGGTGAAGACGAGCGGCGGCAGATAGAGCGCCTCAGCTTGGAATTGCCGCTTGTGAGCGAGGCCGAGGTGCGGCGTCAGAGGCTCCCGCTGAGACGTGGCTCGCCATGGTGCTGTGATGGGAAGGGCTTGCAGACGGCGGGAACGACGTAGGAGCTGCCCAATCGAGGAGGCGCGGATAGCATGCATCACAGTCGTTCGCGAGACATGGAAGCGCGTGTCGGGCGTGGGGCGAGATGTTGTGGTGTTGGGTTTAACGTAGCGGAAGAAGACCATGGGAAGCGGGTTACTTGAAAGAGAAGCGCCAGGTACTTGGGAGAGAGGGTCGGTTCCTGGCTGCTTGCGCAAAAGGGAAATGGAGACGTTCAGTCGGGGTAAGTATCGTGCACTCTAAAGTGACCACCTCATTGACAGGTCATGACATGGCGCGCATATATGGTCGTGTTCGAACGCGACTGGGTTCGATGTGGCCGGCATGCAGGCGGGCCTATTCCGTCCAGAGGGCCTCCGTGGGCAACGTTTGGATTCGGCGTGGGCAGCAAACGAAAACGGACTATTAAGCATATGTACCTCCCTAGGGATAGCAGGTCCCAAGATTCCAGCCCAATGGCCGACGGTCCGCATTCGTCTATCAATTGCAACGGCGATTCCTTCCCTTCTCGCGATTGGGGACGTCTCTGGACCCTGTAACAGGACCGAGGAGGAAGAGACAATAGGTGGGCTTCCGCCATTGACATGAGGTGGTGTTTGGTGTCCTGCTGCGTACCGTGTAAGATGCGGTAGAGACACGCTCAGAGACAAGGCCACTCTGTAACACCAGACCAGACAGACCCCAAGCTGGCAGCCAGCAACAATGGCTTTCTCGTGGGGTGGCTCGATCCATGTGGTAAGGCAATCATTAAAGACTGTCTGGCGCTGCTCCATCTGCCGCTTCGATTTCCATTGCATCCAAGAGGCTCATCATCTCATTCCACGGCATGATTCTCGCTCTCTCGGTCCATCCAGCCCCGTGCTGGAGAAGACCTGCTGCCCCCGCCCTCACTGCTAGGCTGCTTCCTGCTTCCTGGTCCATTGGGACGTCATACTCTAGCGCCAAACGGCCCTCCATGGATTGCTGGAACCAGCCCGCCAATCCTACGCACATGAAAGGTCGAAAGGGAAGGGAGGGGGGATAACCGTATACGACAAGACCATCCACGCCCAGCCATCCCGTCACTTCTCACCTTGCCTCATTGCAGGTGTTCCCCAGGGGCATGTGCCGCTGCCGCCTGTGTGAGGAAGTGTGCTGTTCCCCCTTCCACCCACCCCCGCCCAGCACCAGCACCAGCACCAGGCAGTCGGGGCAACCGCATCCACATGTGAGGTTTGCAAGAGAGCGGGCGTGATTGACAAATAAATAATCAGCCGTCCTCTAGTTTGACATTACCTCCTCGCCTTACACCGCGAAATCGCACATTCTCCCCCCCCACCATATCCCAGCATGTGCGACACTGGATCTTGATTTTGATCCCTCAGTAAACAACCCCTCCATTTTCCAATTTCACCCGACTTCTCTCTGTGCCCATTTTCTCCTCCAAGCATCCCACTTTCTTAACCAGATCCTCCCACACCGCCCCGCCGAGAATTCACCGCAGACTTCAACGATTGTCTTTTTCCCCGATTGCTCTTTTCCCTCGCCGCTAGTGAAATTCGCAACTTCGAACCCAGAGCCGCGGCAGAAATAAGAACCACCGACCTCCCCAATCGCCGCCACCAGACCGCGAGAATCCCAGCCTCACCCGCCCACTATGCCCGGTCCCGTAGATCCTACGACGCCGACAGAACCGTCATCACCGAGGCACTCCCCGCGCATCGAGCTCCCCGAGGAAGATGCTGGAGCCTCCCCGCGGACGGATGGCCAGACTAGCCCCGGGCTAAGGAACAGCAAAGGATGGGACGGTAAGCTCAGGGTCCAGCGGACTGCCGTCCTCGCCAACCCCGAGGTTCTCTCCGACCCAGAATCAGACGACGAGAACGTCCTTCCGGGTGAAGAACTGCCCGCCGACGAAGGCAAGCCCCCCGTTTATTCCACCTTCTCTGGCGCGCAGTCCCTTTGAACTACATATCGAGACAAGGAGCCATAATGACTAACATGCGCCTCCCACAGATCTCCTCGACGGTGAAGACCCAGAAACAGACGAGCTCATCGTCTCCCACGCCCGCGTCTCCTCCATCCCTGCCCTCCGCCTCGACCGCTTCCGCAAGGTCGTCCGCCTCTGCCTCCGCCAGAACTCGATCCAGTCCATCGATGGCCTCGCCGCCCTCGCGCCCACCCTCGAGGACCTCGACTTTTACGACAACCTCATTTCCCACGTCCGTGGCCTTGAAGACCTCGTCAACCTCACCTCCCTCGACCTTAGCTTCAACAAGATCAAGCACATCAAGCGCATAAACCACCTCACCAAACTCAAGGAGCTCTTCCTCGTCGCCAACAAAATTTCCACCATCGAGAACCTCGAGGGCCTCGACAACCTCACCTCCCTCGAGCTCGGCTCCAACCGCATCCGCGTCCTCCAGAACCTCGACCCCCTCAAGGCCCTCGAGGAGCTTTGGGTCGCGAAAAACAAAATCACCGAGCTCACAGGGCTAGGCGGCCTCGCCAACCTTCGCCTCCTTAGCATCCAGTCGAACCGCATCCGCGATCTGGCGCCCCTGGCCGAGGTGCCCGGCCTTGAGGAGCTCTACATCTCACACAACGCTCTCACCTTCCTCGCCGGCATCGAGAAGAACGAGAAGCTGCGCGTGCTCGACATCTCCAACAACGCCGTCGCGAGCATCAAAGGTCTCGCACCCCTCAAGAACCTCGAGGAGCTCTGGGCCAGCTACAATCAGATTGGCGACTTCAACGAGGTCGAGAAGGAGCTAAGGGACAAGGAGCACCTGACGACGGTGTACTTTGAGGGTAACCCGCTACAACTTAGGGGACCCGCGGTGTATCGCAACAAAGTCCGTCTGGCGTTGCCCCAACTATCCCAGATCGACGCAAGTGAGTACATTTATAAATCTCCATATCACGGAAACGTTTGCTGACAAATCGTTATAGCCTTTGTCAAGACATCATGATGTTCAGACACAGCATTCTAGCATGAGACTTACGGGGCTGGCGTGGCGTTACAATGGCGTTTAATTAGAGATCTGGATGCGAGGCAGAAATTAGTGGACATATAAGGGCCTCTCTTCACTACACGAGATACCTCTCGGTGCACACGGCCGCGTTGTTTGGCGAAGCATGGTGCATATTACCATGTGATGCATTGTTCATGGGCGGGCGAGCATTCTGAAATTGGGCGCGGAAACGCTGCATGTCAGCGGCGATCGGGATTGATAACCTGGCTTGATCATGACTTTCGTTGTATTTTAGAGGCAGATCATAGTCTTGCTGAGGGAGAGGGTATCTAAGTACAATCGACGCACGTTGTACGTGGTTTGACACATTTTGGACAGCTCCCAAATCACCGCCAGTTGCGGACTACTGGAAAGCCGCTCTCATAGGGGGTGTTGGTGGCTTTGAGGTACGATAAATCAGGCAAGATAGATGGCAAGTCATACGCGTCCATTTAGCCAAAGATCCAAAGCTTCTCAGTGGGGAAGTACTGATGTAAATTAGCTGGCAGTCTCCATAAACAAGCGACTGGATATGTTGGACTCACGTTTGCGGGCTGGTTGAAGCGGGTCTTCCTGTCAAGGGAGCTGATCTTGTCGATCTCGGACTGCTCGAGGTCGAAGTCGGTGACGGAAAGGTTCTGGGCGAGGACATGCTTGCGGCTGGTCTTGGGAATGACGGCAAGACCGCGTTGGGTAGCCCAGCGGAGAAGGACCTGGGAAGGCTCCTTGTTGTGCTTCTTGGCAATGGCCGTGACGGTGGGTTCCTCGAAGAGGGGAACGAAGTCGGTGGCGTGCTCCATGTTGAATTCTTTGAAGGAGGCAGGGCCGAATGAAGAGTAGGCAGTGACGGCAATGCCCTCGTTGGCAGCCAGCTTAATCAGATCTGGCTGGACGAGGTAGGGGTGGTGCTCGATCTGCAGAGTAGCAGGAGGGATCTTGGCGTAGCGAAGGAGATCGTAGAGGAGCTGGCCCTGGAAGTTGGAGACCCCAATGCTCTTGGAGAGCTTGTTCTCCACGAGGCTCTCCAAGGCAGTCCAGGTCTCCTGAATTGAGGCCTTGGAGGGGCGGATCTCGGACTTGCCATCGTAGTGCCAGCCAGGGGGGTATCTGACGGAGGGGTCGACGTACTCGAGGGCGACGGGGAAGTGGATGAGGTAGAGGTCGAAGTAGTCGACGCCCCAGTCGGCGAGCTGCTTCTTGACGATGGGCTCTACGCGCTCACCATCGTGGAAGGTGTTCCAGAGCTTGGAGACAATGAAGAGCTCCTCACGCTTAACGAGGCCCTCCTTGATGGCACGGGCAACACCCTGACCACACTCGACTTCATTGCCGTAATCTGGGAGTTTGCAACGTCAGTGACATGTTTTTCGTGTGGCAGTATGCCTTGTCATGGCGAATCAATGTGTGCCTGATTTGTCCATGTGAAGTTCGGGGAATGCGGGAGCGTAGCCCCGAGTGTAAGTGGGTAAGTAACGAGGGACAGGGGAGGTCGAGGGGAGGGGTGCGAATCCCGGATGAAGTGGCAGGGGTGTCTGCGGAGAGCTTTCCGGGTGAACTTGTAGCGCATGGGGAAAATCCACGTCGGTGCTCTGCAGAAATTCGCACCGGTCATCCATGGTGGGGTTGAGGAGGGGTAGTTCAGGGCTTCCCAAGAATTTGGGAGGGGGAGAGATGAGGCAGAGGCAGACCACCAACACCAGCGTCAATGGCAGCGCGCAACGCGTTTTTCGAAAGTAGTTCCTGTCCAATTGACTCTTTGGAATCGCATGATTTCTGCCATTGCCGCTATTTTCGTTGCGCTGCGGTATTACTGCTGCTCGCGCTCTCGCCATACGCAGCATCATGTATGCATGTGCTTGGAGTGTTCGCTTACCGCAGGCGCCGTCAAACAGGCGGTAGCCGGCCTTGATGGCCTCGTAGACAGTGTCGGCTGCAATGGCGTTGTCAACCTTCCATAGACCGAAGCCCACTTGTGGCATGTCAAAGCCGCTGTTCAGCTTGATGTTGGGAACGGCCATGATGAAGGGTGGGTGTCGTTCTTCGGGGAATTGAGGTAGGACGACGGCAAGAGGATAAGTTTGAGGGTATCAAGATCAATGAAGCGTGGCTGAACTTGGGAGACGAGAGGAGAGAAGGAGGAAAGGGGGAGAGGGCCAGCGCTCCGGGAGTAGAAAGAGGGACGATGTACGTATTTATAACCACCTCATCATAATCATATGTCAGGTGCTCTGTTGCACGGTTGCCAGGCAAGCCGCAAAGTAGAGCACTCGCCTGACTGGGAAGGCAAGCTTGGTGAATCCCAAGGTAGATAGACCAGTTACAACTTCCAGGCTCTCGCCTGCACACGTCGATAACCTCCACCTGTCCCCGGCCGGCTGCTCGCTTTCAGACACCCCATGGTGCCGTCACCGTACAGGTTCGGGGTGATATCTAGGGCATGAGAGGCTGGCGGGGTGAAAAGGGACCGATAGGATAAAAGTGACACACAGATCGCCAACCCCAAAGCCAACCAACCAGCCAGGGGGAGGGGGCGCCATAGTGTAAAAAGTGAGCTGCTCGTTCCTGAGCCCGTGACACGTCGATATTGGACGACATGAGATATCCATAGAGTACGGAGGTAGTGACCGGGTAATATTACAGGCAGGAAGAGGCGGACAGAGGCGTGGATGAGCCGGTCGGGCCCTATGTGGAGATGGGGGTAGCCGGTGCTACAGAACGACCCGCGCCCATTTGTGCGTTTAAATCACTTGGGAGCGACCCAGGAGACGACCAACTTGGGGTAAATTAGAGTTCAAGCTTCCCGCTGCTGGCTGTCAAGGTCAGGTCAGGGTTACACTTGCAAAGTTTGGCGGGATGGAAGCCAACGTTCGCAGCAGCCATCCTCTGGCCGTCTGGGTGATGGGTTGGGCCAGGGCGGCTTTCCTGCTCTGCCACTGGCTCCCCTTCTAGGAACCGCGACCAGCTGATGCTGTGCCTCCATTTCACCCAGGGCCTTGCGGAAGTTGGCCTGGGGTACGGGGTACGAAGTAGGCATTTTAGTACAGCATCGAATTCTGACAGACTTTTCGTACGTGAAATTCGCCCCTCCAGATGTCTCTTGAACCACAAAAAAAAGGTAAATTACTTTTGTTTTTTCCTCTTCCTTCCTGATTTCCGTCGCAAGCGTAGGTCTACCTAGTATCGGCTTGTTCCTGGTCTGGCCCCAAGGGCCCACAGGAGGTGCTATTGTGGAGAGTCGATTTCGCCGAGACCCGTTTTCTTTGCATTTAGCCTGAATGCTGTCTGGCGCGGCTAATTGGCCTCTTTCTTCCATCGTCAACGACTTCCATGCTGGACTTCTGTCCGCAGAACTTCACCCACAGACCGGCACAGACAACGCCGCCCTGCTCCCAAGTCCCGAATAATATACACTACCAACAATGAGCCGTCGCTATCTCAATGCTAGCCACGCCAATCACATTTCTTCTTGGACGCCACCCAGGTGCCAAATCTCTGGTTTGCACGGTCGCTGATGTCAGATAACACTACGGATACACCAGACGCGATCCGAATCTTCACGCGGAATGTCGCACATCCCGTCGCCTCCTTCAATGCATCGTCGGCCCATTTGCCGAAGCAACCTGTATCCACGTGGGCGGGTGCGTGGGGCCATTTCGGACATGGGACCCGCTTAAAGTAGCTTCGTACTTCATCCGGGTGGAGCCCGTCACAAGATGAATCTGAGCCTCATCCCGCCACTCTCTTGTCGACTCTTGCCGAGTTGCCATTGCGCTCGAGTAGTGATGAAACAGAATACCTCAAAGCCTGCTTCTTTTGGATTGAGCTCTGCTCGTACAACCCTTTTTCAATCCTATGACGAGGATAATTACGGCCTGCACAATGGTCTTTGTGCCATAGCCTCGAGTGAGTGTCTGCGTCCAAGATGTTTTCTCGACTGAGAGGGCCGGCAAAGCGTTCTTGTTCACTCTATCAATACTTTGAAGGCAGCTGAGAGAACACAATAATCCGAAACCTTTCAAACGCTGCTATATCAAGTGACAAGGCACAATGATGCATTGACTCTGAAAGATCTCGCGACCCCAAAGCTGCAGTCTCGCGGATATGTGCTACACTTTGTTCTCGAACATAGCCATTGTAATAGCCATTATAATAATCTTCTTGCATTTCATGCACACCAGAGTCCTTTCTTGAACGAATCAAGAAGAACTATTGAGGAAAAAGCACATATACAGTCGGCTGCCACTAGCATCTTATTGCAAAAAAAGCTACCAACACAGTCGTATTTATCAAACACACCAGTACATTCAGCCGCACATTCTATTTAAATACATCGAAGCACATCGGGTGAGTGTACTCGCGAAATTCCAGCTGTTCAAGAATCATCGTCATGTCTCAGAATCCCAGAATAATCGACCAGACTCAGATGGTCGTGAACAAATATGCGCCCCAAACTGCAGAAGAACCCCAGCCGGGTTCGATTCAAGAATCCGAAGAAGAAAAGAAGAACCGTAGGCGAAAATTGGTGAATGCAATCACGGCAAAGATGGCTAACGTGAGGGGTGAGCAATTCCCACAATACGACGAGGATGGTCTTGTCCTCCCTCACCCCTTCGGCAGGGCAGCCCAGCACGTGCAAGGACCAACGCACAAGTTCGCTTCCCGCTACTTTGACTCGTCCGCTGTTGATGATGCCCAGGCAAAGTACGGGGGCCAAAAGAACCCAAAAGGCTACAACATACGCCTGCAAAAAGTCCTGGGAGCAGGGGGCTATGGAATAGCGGCTTACATCTCCCATACAAATCCCGTCAACAAGTTCAAGACTGACTGCGTGATCAAAGTGGAAAAGTATCGACACAATGACCGTGCGACATTGGCACGGGAGGAGAAGGCACTCTGGGTAAGAACTTCCCCACTGTGACTCAAATTCAAGAACCTTTCTCTGACATGTAGTAGAAATTCAAAGGGGCAAAGCATATTCTGCAAATATTGGATATCTCCCACGAGATCAAAACACAAAGGGCTGCTGACTTTGCCGCGTGGCAGCAAGGCCGGCCGGAACGCCCAAAGGGAGCCAGAGTGCCCAACCCAGAGAATCAAGACAAGAATTGGAGCCTCAAGAACTTTCAAAACCAGCCCGTTCGCAACTTTGTCATCGTTGAGCACGCGAACAGGGGTGACTTGAGCATATGGCTCGGCAAGTCTAGCCGTCTCGGACAGCGTTGGCCTCAGAGAGCGATCTGGATGCTCTTACAGAACCGTAAGTCTTGAATCCGTTCTGCGCCATGAATTTTGGATTGTGTTGCTAATGCCGTCTTCATAGTTATTTCCGGTCTAGTTGGCATGGGCTATCCTCTCAGAGAACATTACCAAGAATCGCATCCAGATTGGGATATTAACAACCCCATTGATGAGCAGTTTCCCGACGACCCAAACTTCGAACTACAAGAAACCGTCCATTTTGATCTTGACCCCAAAAACGGTAAGTCTTTCGGACCCACGACTTCTGATTGTAGAGAACTAACCATCGCAGTCTTTTTGGCGAATAGAAGTATGGCTTACGGCAACATGCCCACCTTCAAGGTATTTATGGCTCCTTATTCCTTCTTATAGTGTATGCTGACGTTGTGCAGATTGCCGATTTCGGGATGGTCGAGTTCTTTAGTGAGCAAGCGACAGACCCTGAACACTTTAAGTAAGTTGACGCCCAAACCACTGGGATAATTTCAACGTAGCTGACGTCTTTCTCTCTCTCTCTCTTATTAGCAAGGAGTTCTTCTGGAAGAGTCGTATCAAAGGGAAGCCCTCTTGCTACGCACCCGTAAGTTATCCGTCTTAAAACATATGCTTGCCAGTGATGTTCACTAACGCATGCTATCTAGGAACAATTCACTGGCGATTGGGAACTCATGAATGACTTCATCAACGACAACGGCATCAACCCGTTCGTGGTTAAAGATGCGACGAAGCCGCCGGTTGCTGGCAACTACGGAATGCATACAAATGTCTATCAGGTGGGCGTTATTGTAAGTTGATCACTATCGACCACCTTCCCATGCTACCCGAGACTAACACGCTTGATAGATTTGGTGCGCTACTACCCTCTGCTCATTCCACACACCTGTCATTCGCATGACACACAAGGACGCTTGGGGGCGGGAGATTGACACCTATGGAGGCGCCCTGCAGAATGAACGATTCAACGACGTCGATCCCGAGCTCAAAGATCTGGTACAGCGCTGTATGGCCCATAACCCCTCTGATCGTCCTTCTCTTAGAGAACTAATGGGCACTATCAGTGCGCGGCTGGGCAGGGACGACCTGGAGTCGGACGAGGCTCTGAGTGAGTGGTCACGGGAGTTCTTCTCCAATCACCGGACGCCTGGTGATGAACCACCTCCGTTGGCAAAGCGTGAACGTGAAGACGATGAAGGTGACGATGGAGATCACGCTGAAAGGAAAGCAACCCGGCGTAAGGTAGTAGACGGCAATGGTAACGTCATCCGGCAGAATATACCGAGGGGTGAGCCGCTGCTTTTTAGCTCTTTCCAGCCACCGAACCACCACCCTTCTATGCAGGTAAACAATCGACTCGGGTCAAAATTCAATAACAGTCCTAACGTTCAGGGCTTTCCGCCCCGAATGCCAGCTTCCGGTGTGGTGCAGAGACCTCTGTCTGGTGCGGCTGGTCCTGCCGTCTTCAACTGGGACGATCCGCCTCCCCCCTTTGACGCAAGAATATACCAGGGACCACCGGCGAACTGGCAGCCGCGGATGCCAGTCGCGCAGTTCAACAATAGCAACACGTACAACAAGTACAATAGCACCGCGATGAATCCCGCAGCACCGTCCAATCTGCCAGTGTTTTATGGGGAGAACCAGGGCGCGGGAATGATTCCGGGGAACGGTTATTACCCGCCAGGTGAGTTTGGGCCGGTTGCATCTCAGCCACTTCTGAACATCCATCCCCCTCCGCCTCAGAACATGCAGTCTATGTATCCGCAGCCTGGTTCCCAACGTGCACAGGAACAATATGCTCCAGCTAGCCAGCCCCAGCCTCTGCAGTCCCTCTACCCCCTGGAGCCGCAGCCGCAGCCGCAACACCAACAGCAACAACAGCAAAACCATTACTATCCGGAGGTTGATCCTGCACAGCGTCCTCAATTTGGGATTCAGTCTCCCAACCAGGAGTCTCGGCATCAGCACCTCTCACAGCAGCAACAAGAGGAGGTGCCCCAGAACATGAATAACTTCTTCGACTTTGACAATGCCGGCGCTGATGGTTTTCAGTTTGATGCCATGGACCAGGGTGCTTGAGGTAAACAAGCAGTGAGTTCTATGACTACAGTCATGTGGGTTTGTAACTTTCTCGCCGCTTGTGAAAAGTTGTAACGAAGCTGGAGTGCCGTGGGACGCATGTCCTGGGCGATGATCAAGAACGGCTAAGCCCGTTTTATTAGATGGATATATACCCACAATTGAAGGACGGTAATATGGAATGATGCATATAGAAATATTGGTTCTTTGTAATGAAAAGGAGTTTATGGATGGTGTAATATTGGACTTAGATTATCTGTTTTTGGCGCGTTTTGGCTTTGTTTCGGACCGGCGTCTGACGGTAGACAACCTGCATAGGTGAGAAGTAAATACAAACCGCGCAACGTTGTACGAGAAGCACATCTGCGGCTGTCCTTACTCACAAACTATTCATCGGACTGGCGAGACTGGAAGAAGTAGCACTGACCAAAAGGCTAAACCTATCATCGCAAGGGAAACTACGGTAAGATTTGCAAGCTGAACGTATTATTCATCTCAGTAACGACTCACCTCATACCATACTTGGTTATTTTGACGAATACCTTGAGATGAGGGCACACATTCTCTCTTCGAATTACGGAACGCTCAAATAAACTGTGTCAGGAAAGCGTTGTATCTTTTCAATGTGGGGTATCTTTTCCAAAGTCTTTTAAAGTAATAATGCCGATGCCACGCCAACTCCCAGAGCCATCGAAAACCCCACGCACTATATCCATTGCACTGTTCTTGTAACCTGAACGCCAAAACTCCAGAGACTTCCATCAGAATACTGTCAATTTTTTCTCACGCCTGCCAATCTCTCCTCGTCTTCTGCTGTGATTCCAAGTCGTAGTTGGCATACCGGCACTTACATTGATCACGCCCCGCCGCGACGGTAACGGCGTTGCCTGCTTTGTCCTGGCACGCGGGCCCTCCCTTCTTGACCTGCACAACCTCAACCTGGCCAGGCCAGGGCGCCCACTTGACGTTGGGGTCAGAGGTAGTCGCGTTCGTGCCGGAAGCGATGGTCCCGAGCGGCGTGGTGGTGTTGCGTCTCGTCCAGACCGTCGCGCGGAACGCGGTGTCGGGGAAAGTGCAAGTCGCGGCGCGGCCGTCGTCGGTGATAGCCTCGGACGGGACCACGGTCTTGGGGAGGGAGAAGTTGAAGACGAGGCGCTCGTTGATGGTGTTTCCTTCGAGCAGCACCATGGTCTGGTTGGTGAATTGCGGAGCAAATGGGTTGGAGGAGGACGAGATTTGATAGGTGTATGAGTTTTTCGGGGTGATTGTCCAGAAAAAGGATGCGAGAGAGCCGCTTGAGGATTGAGAGTAGTTTTGGTAGGGGAAGCAACGCCACGTCGATGGGTTGGCGGTGCATCCTGTGTTGGACTCCAACAGAGCCGTATTGAAGGAGAAAGAGCCCGAGGGGAAGAGTTCCGTTGTGTTAGTGGTAGTCGGAGTTACTGGAGGAGGTCTTGTCAAGTGTTAGTGGTGGTGTAAGTGGGATAGAAACGGGAGTGGTATACATACGGTCTGCGCATTCCGACGGTAAGTCCAGCCGACAAGCCAACAATCAGACCAATGCCGAGGGTAATGGCAACCAGCATGCGGTATCTGTTGCCGCGGCGGGCGATCCACGACGCCTTCTTGGCCTTCTCCGCAACCGACGGTGGCCCTACAGGCGTAGTGATGGGAAGAAGCTGAGACTTGTCCTTGAGAGAGCTCCTGGGAGTGGACGTACCCGAGCTCGGACGGCTGCCGTTGCTGCCCGCGCTAAGGAGGCTGCGTGTGCTCAGAGTACTAAGGGTGCTGTCGCGAGACGAGCTGCGAGAGTAGGCCGGGGGAGGGTAGGACGGGTGCGAGTTGATAGCCCGTGGTACTGGCGAGCGGCCGTAGTATTTCGGCTTCGTGCTACGGCATGGCGGTGGAGGAGGGAGGGCGGCGATTTTTGGATGTGTGACGCCCGGGAGTGAGTCGTCTTCCGCGATGACGGGCATACGGCCAACGGATGAGTATGCAGTACGGCTTGAGCCCGGTGAGAAGGGTGATTTGGGCATGGTGTCGTCAAGTCTAGGTAGATGATACAGCGAGGATGTACTATTGGTCGCAATGTGCAATAGCCTCTCTCCTGAAATGAGATTGATGATCGAGACAAGATTGCTCTCAACTAGCCGAGCCGGATGTCTAGCAACGGAGTGATTGGATTGTCGTCACTTTCGGTCTCTACTGTGTTGCCGTTGTCGAGCGCAGATGGCGTCAAATCTCAAATACGTAAAGCGAGCGTAGTGAGTGATTCGAGTCGCGATACTAAGATCGAATGGGAGTACACGGACTCAAGACTACCCCCAATTCAAAAATCGAGGTGGTAATATGTCAAGACGTGTGCGACTGACTGGACCAAGAATCTGGGTTCGCAAGACAGTGGCGTTGAGGTCCAAAACCGTGGTGCCCGTTCAACGATCTCAGACATTCGGCTTCATATAAGGCTTCAGCATGCCGGAAAAGTCGGCTATCGAGAACACCGCGTGGCAGTAGCCCTCGTTTGTTTTTCTCAGGCTGGCGATTCAGCTAACGTCCCAGGAACAAAGGATGTCGGATGGTTTACGGGGTGATGGTCAACAACCATGAACCGGGTTCCGGCAGACAAAGGACTGGTGGGGAAAGAAGGGAAAGAGAGCAAAGGATGCCGAGTTTGAGATTTTGTGCCTCGAGAAGCTTGACTTAACAAGAATGGGCAGTCAAACTTTTGCCGCAGTGGAAGCCACTCCTTGGGTCCGGGCGATGAACGACTTCGTCTAGATTCCCCCGAGAGGGTTCCTCTCTCGTCGCATGGCATATCCGAAGGCTGGGCACACGGCGTGTGGGAAGATTATGGCGCACGATGCGTGGCAATCCCATGTGCTTGCATTTCAGCTGGGTCATGGCAACTCGCCATTCTGGAAGCATTTGCAGTCCGACTGCGTTCGTCAGGGTTTCTGCTCTGTGATCGACAACAGGAACGGCTTCGTTCCGAGCAGGGATCGCGGGCGCGATGTAACAGGGGTACTAGATCGGGTAGACTTTGACGGCATGTCAGCTACGGTGGCCACCCGGGTTTGTCGGTTTTCTCGTCGACAGTCCGACGCTAGGAGGTACTAGGAAAAACGGGAGGTCGCCGGGTCAGGGAAGCTGCAGACACACACATTCACGGTTGATGGGACGGCTTGAGTGAACAACAGGGTGAAAGAGACTCAAGGACTCGTCGACGTCGAAAATGTCGCCTAGAACTCCAGCTTGCGGCGGCCCAGCAAATAGTCTGGAAGATAGCGTCAATCTGGTCGAGCCATCATTGGTCGAAGTCACGAGACTAAGACACTGCTAACCACTTGAAGCCATGGTAGTAGACAAGGAAACTTACAGGAACCGCCAGACGGTGCCAAGCCCCCGAATCTTAGCCTAGTTGCCGGGGGGGATGAACTAGCACATCGGACCAGAGCCAAATCTCGTAGGACGTTTATCTGTCAGCGTGGGGTCGGGTGAGGAGTATTACACAGTGATGTGGATGGCAAGAATTAGATGCGTCCGCCTTGGGGGTCCGCATTCGGGCCATGGGGGGCTGATAACAAGACTCAAAAAGACAAGAACCAAAATGGCGATCTGCGTCGTGTGCAGATGAGCAGGTTGCACAGAAATGAGAACCACCGTTGAATGACGAATATGTGCAAAAAATTTGGATCGATCCTGAAGCCACTAACATCGCAGGTTCTATACACAGACTACTGGTATGGTGGCTGTTATTCTTGTTGAACATGACGCAAATCATTCTTCCGTCCCACATGTCAAAATACTCCGTATATCCTGTAGTCGTAAAAGGCAGTGCCGACCAATCCTTCCACTTCAAGCATCGCCCAAAATCTCCTGCGTTGATGACATCGATGCCGTCTCCTTGCCCTTACCCTTGGATGAGTCGCTCTCACTCTCGGCATACGAAGGAGGATCCAAGTCGTCACCGCCGGCGACCCACACCCTCGAGAGCTCTTCCTCGATTTCCTGGCGTCTTGCCTTCCACGTCTCGACCTGTTCAAGGCGTTCACGGAGATCCTGCAGCTCCTTCTCAACCTGCATCTTCTCATGCTCTGTTCCGATTCTCTCAAACTCCCACTCATCACCACGTTCTCCGCCTCCGAGAATGAGGTTGTACGTATGATACTTTTTGAGCGAGGCGCGTGTAGAGATAGTGATGAGGGCTATAAAATATCAGGAAATATGCAAGGTCCAAGATGATTTTTCAACTTACTGATTCCCTTCTCCTTACACACCTCGTAGAGCAAGCCCTCGACATCTTGGGACACGGCGCTGGTGCCTTCGTCAAGGATGGCGAACTGAGGCTCATGATACAGCACGCGGGCGAAACCCATGCGCTGTTTCTCCCCACCACTGAGAACATCCTTCCATTCCTTGCGGGTGTCCCAGCCACCTTCACGATCGGGAAGGTAGCCAAGACGGGCATCCTCCAGGATACGCTTCAGGTCGTCCTCAGACTTCCTCTTCTCGCGCATGTCGTGATGGCCGTCAGGGTAGATAACCTGGTCGCGTAAAGTACCGATGCTGAGATAGGGTCGTTGCGGCAAAAACATGATGCCATCCTGACCAATATCCTTCGGTCGGCTAACGAGTCCTCGGTAGACTGGCCAAAGCCCTGCAAGAATGCGAGCAATAGATGTCTTACCTACACCATTGGGGCCAGAAATCTGAGCGTGTTAGTCCATGTATTTCCCCATTGCTGGTGGCTAACGACTCACCAGAAGGTGCTCTCCTCTCCGAACAACCATTGAGAGGGAATCCATTAGCTCCTCGCCGCCGTTGGGCCATAATGATGGAGCAACAACAGGCACGTTCTCAAATCGTACGCCGTCGAAACCCTTCTGAATTGTTCCCTGGACGTCCGAGAGGGAGTAAAGTTCGTTCTGTTGCCCTCGCAAGAAATACGCATCGGCGTGGACGCGATGCAGTGTCGATATCAGCGTGTAGACTCGGCTGGTGTAGCCGGCAAGCTCAGAAAGGTCCTTGATGGAGTACATCATCCTACCGCCAGCATCTGCAAGTGAAAGCATGAGACGCTTGTTCGTAATGAACTCCTTCATGCGACCGCGCTCTCTACTTCCCTTGGCGGCGTTTTCGGCCAGCTCAGCAGCGCCGCCCAGACCTCCCCATGCTGGGAGGAATACTGGCAACGAGGATAAAAGATAGCCGTAAGCACTCCAGCTGTACTTCAAGATGAAATCCTCGAGCATGTTGTATCGGATCTTGAGCATGTAGATACCCTCCATCCAATTCTTCAAAGACTTGAATTCCTTGTTGAGGAATGTCTTCTCCATGTCGGCACCTCCGTAAAAGGCAATCTCCTCGGCATTGGCGATCAGGCGAGCATGCAGACCCCTAAAGTCTCCCTCCTTGCGACCCTCGACTGCCTTGAGTTTGCCGAATGGCGGTGAAAGCCGGCGCAGAATGCTCGCTGTGAGGAAATAGTTGCTTAACAGGCCTGTGAGGGCCAAAGGACCCAAAGATCGGAATAGTTGGTAGTTGAAGACGCAAAGATCCACAAATGGTTTGCCAAGTGATGAGTATAGATTCGCGGCGGCAGCGCAGAATAGTGTCAGATCTTGCGTGATGAACTGGTCCGCGCCCTGGCCGACGCCCCCATCCAGGTTGGAAAGTTTATAGTAGTTGAGGTTATTGTTGAGGTATAGATCGTGGATGTACCGAGTGAGGCGGGTTCTGAAGGCGATGGAAACCTTGGATTCGAGGAACTTGATCATCGCATTCGTGTACGATGCGAAGCCGCCGAGACCACACCACTGTCAATCTGATTAGCAAGAACTGATGGTTGATAACTGAAAGTTTAGGAACACAACTAACCTTCACCAATCCCCAGAGGAAGGCCTTCCCTTGTCCAGCGACAAGATCCCGCACAATCTCACCGTCTAGCCGAGCGACGACGAGGGATAGGTAGGTGCGAAGCATCAGGAATACGCTGTGGCTCAAGAGCAGGCCCGCTTCTTTACTTGACCATCTCGGAATCATGATACTCATCAAACTGAGGAATTGATGTAGGAATGCCAGGTTCAGCCCCGGCTTCGTCTGCGCTGAGGGAACGGTGCCGTCGCCAAGGCCAGATACGCGCGGAGGATTGAGGAATAGCCGGCGATGGGCCTCGAAAGTCAGCGGCTTCGTCGTCTGAATGACAACCTTGGAGGTGCCGTCCTTGTACGGGACGTATATCGTACGTGAACCATCCTTGTTGTGTAGCCACGAATTCGTACGGACAAGTTTGCGGCCTTGTTCCTTCTCCTCGCGCCGTTGTCTCCACCAACGTCTGCCTCCAGCGGCGCTGAGGACTATGGATGCGGCGAGGGCAAGTGTTCCGAGCAGGCGGGTTGTCCGGGAAGTGTTTCGGAGGCGGTTGCGGATCAGAGTCGAATACTTCTCGAAGAAGGCGGCTAGAGCCTCCTCAGCGGCCGACTGGCGAAGAGTCGATTGTTCTGCCATTGCAACGGCAGTAGAAAGTGATGATTATCGTTCACGGCTTGCGACTTTGGGGTCGAGTCGCGCAGGCTCGCCAAGGGTAGGATGCTACTGCAGATGCGCAGCCATCACAGGGCGGGATTGAATGAAAGGAGCGAGCTGAGCAGTGCTGGATTGTGCGCCGCGAATAATGTTCTGTCTCGGGACTGCTGACAGACTCCTCTGGCCTTGCGTGTGAAAAGACGGTGGAAGTTCGAAAAGGCTCAAACCAAGCACGTGGTCGCATTAGCAGGCTGAGTCGTTTGTTATTGGAGAAGCGGCGAGCTTGGGGACGAGACGCTGGCTCGTGATCGCATTACGACATGTGAATGCCGGCGGGCAGGGGAGTTCCGAGGCACCCAGCACCCGAAGCGGTGGATAGCTTGGGGAAAGCTGCGGGCAGACAGGCTCACGCCTCTGGGGGCTCTCCACTGAGAATGGGGATCGTGCCGCTGCGAGCCCGAGACAACTAGGCCTGTGAGTGGCTGGTTCCGGCGAGAATGGCGCTAATCCTCTAAGATCTGGAGCACCTTGGCCAATGGCATGCCAGACTGTGAACCCCAGTCCATGGGCGGTCACATGATGTACCTCAGGACCCGAACTTGAGGGGTCCGGGGTAATTGCAAACTTCCGAGATTCAACAGCCAGGGCAGCACTCTTCCACCTAGGTGATCCGTGCTTAGCAGTCTTTCAGCCCTGTTGCTGGACATATTGAGGGTCTTTGATCGCTCGGTCGAAGGGAATGCCTCTTATTGAGGTAAAGTATGTAAGGTATCGAGAAGACCTGGGTATTAGTGCTAACGAGGACGGCGAATTTCAAGTGTCGTGCTTTCCTGTGGTACCTTGGTACATGTTGATTTGCAGAGCAGAGAACCATAGTTTGGGAAAGCAAGCCTGCGTTGCTTCCTTGTTTCTTGACTAGTCTATGTACTGGACATCTCGGGCAGCATTGCGTCCCTGCCTCTTGTGTCCATCCATTGCCTTGCAGGCAAACGGCAGCAATAGATTGCCAACCGTGCATGGCTATATCTTGAAATGTGTTGCGAAACCTTGGGATGCCGTCGCAACCGCTGGATCAGAAGAGGCCACATGCATCGCAGGCGCGCCCTCCCTTGACGCGGTCCTGGCTTAAACGCAAAGTGATGCATCACGCAGCTGCCTTGATGGCCAAGCTTTACTTTTCTGGAGCAATGACCCCAGTCTATTTCATTGTCAACATCTCGTGTTATACTTTGCTTCAACCAACTACATACGTCTATACTTCTTTTGGTTCTTACAAAGAAAAACGATAATAAGTCCTCGATCTTCATTTACAGACTTAGTCGTAGACACCGCCGAAAGCCAACGAACTTCATCAGATCTCGATGTCACCAATTATTCCTGCACGCACCTATCACTCCTGTAACGCCATGAAGACCCAATGCTCTAAGGATCATCATGAGTGCTTCGATAGGCAAGAACGGGCCGGCAAGATTGTGTCTAAGAAGAGACAGGCTGGGGCTATCCAGACGATTCAGGATTTATACTATGCTGGAACCCCACTCTTCGACAAATCAGTCATCGCCTGCCTTGATCAGGAGATCGCGAGAAGACCCGAACACCTGGGCTTACTCGGGATGGATAGAAGCTTGTCCGTTGGGAGGATTGATTGGAAGGCCTAGGAGGCAGAGTAAGTCAAACATACTAGAGCTACATAATCATTGGTAACTAACTGCACGAATGCTAGGTTGGAGCCACGAATCGGCTTTCAGTCCATCCAAAGGATGATCAACGGAATACCTCCTGATGGCCGAATGCGCACCTGGGGCGCCCTCAGTTCCTACCGTGTCGCCTATCACCGCAAACACACAGATCCATTCTCCGTTCCAAACTTGTCGGGAACCAAAATGTTGTGGGGCATGTACCAACAGCTTTGGAAGGAGAGTCAAGCTTGTTCATGCCTCATGGCAATGCTGGACGAGCTGTCGCTACCCCGTCCAGTAGAAAAGATCGTATGCTTCGGTCTCGGCGCTCTCTTGCCAGATATATGTCGGAGGTGTGACGTATGCCAACAATACATTACTTGCAAGCTACACGAAGCTATCAGGTCGAGACACTGTACGCAACATGCCGCTGCTCTCAGCATGGCGCAAGCATTGAGTCGGACTGGCCGCAAAATCCCATGCTACTCGCAGGAGCCAGAGTATTCCTTAGAATGCAGAAAGATCCTAGGAGGCCTCGGTATCACGGTTCTCGATGGCCACAAAGGTTTCCTTGAAGTTGACGATTCAACACTTGTCTTATCTATCAGCCCGACCATTCCTGTCAAGCAGATCATCACCGACTTGGCGAGACCAGCAATGATAATCTGGGATGTCACAGATGGTGATGAAAGGAATTCAGGGAGGTGGCAGTTGCTGACTCATGGTGATCGTCAAGTTTGGCGCAGGTATGTCTGATGACTACATGCATGGAAATATCGAGAAAGGCTGACTTATTTTCTAAGTCCTTATGGAGCCGATCCTGATTCAACGCGCACAAGGAAGATGCTACAAGAGCAATATGCGTCGTACACGTTTCCCGAGGATAGTCGTAATTTCAGTCCGCTTGAGATACACATAAGAAAGCCTGAGGTCGTAGCAATACCACTTAACAGTGCTCTCAAGATGGCAGTACCGACAAAGCGTAGCCCCTTTGAGACGGGCTCAACTGCAAACGTTGGGTTACCCGGAATGGACGACGTCTGCCAAAGTATAGAGGAAGATCCAACGCGAATGCGGCTCGCGTAGGTGAATGTTAACAAAAAGGGTTCAGACTAAGTTGCCTTCATGGCTGGAAGACAGCGAGAGGAGATGAGGGTCGTTCTTGACAGGGTAGACTGGGGGTTTGTTTCAATACGGCATGGTATCATGGTATGCTTCGAACTTCAATAGAGGAATGATTGATGGGCCTGGAGAAAAAGAACAGAAAAATAGACATCTTTTCGGACTAGACTGCCCAACATCACGTTGTCTTTTGCACGTTTGGAGGCTGCGGGGGTTGGCGGGACAAGTGCCTGGAGCAGTGGCCGGCCGGGGCCGACGCTTGCGGAGGGAACTTGGCAATGATACTCGAATCATCTGTGAACACCACTAGACCTGCTTTTTCACCTTGGTAAGCAACTGCGCTTTACTGTCTCTGAGCTTCCTATGCCGTGCTGTAAGAGTGCTGGATTTTCTCGCTAAGACGAATGACCTAGTACCAGTGTGACTAATGTGATATGATGGGTTTTGAGACATGAGCAAGCCATCATCATCTAGGGCCGGCGTTTCCTCCGCGGCTCGTCGTTGAGGCGGGTGTCAGTTGGCCTCGCGTGTCTCTGTACAGTGACCTCATGAAGGCGGGAGGCGTTGAACAAAAAGCAAGTTGGTTCCCAAATGTAGGCAGTTAGTCCATCTCTCTGGATATGCCAGACAGAGTGTTTGGCCCTAAAGAGGGATAGGAGTTGGCGCAGAGATGCGGGTAGTCCACAGAGGATTAAAGTGAGGAGCACGCTCGCAGCTAGTCACATTTGGTTCCACGTTTCATCGAATGATCAAGCAGAGCAGACACCAATTTGCGCGCATTGTGCTTTGGAAAGGCAAGATGCAGTCTGCAGATGGACGGGGGCATCATCCCCGCAAAAAAAGCATTACTTCAGGTTGAATGGAAGTGTACACGGAACGGCATGGTGGACCCCACATGCCCGCTACCGCCGGCGCTGCACACCCACATGAGCCTCCGCCACACGAGCCTCTTTTTCTGTTGCTTCGGGGAGGCTTGCCAACTTGATGGTGGTGTGGCCGGCCAATGCTTTTTTGGGTTCTGGAACCTCTGACGCTTGTTTCTCTGGGGAAGAGAGAGTCTATCATCCCATGTTTACGCGCGGCGGGAGGTGCAAGCCGAGACCGTTTCCGGTCAATGCAGGCGCACAGTGTGTCTTGACCCCTATGCAATTTTCCCTGGTAAATTCAACGTATGGGAACTTGTCGGGCGGGCGGTTTGGCCAGCAGGGGAGGAGAAATAGACCAGGGTTAGAACTTTGGAAGCAAAGATAGCTGCTGCTCAACGTATGAACGGGGCAATGAGATACGGGAAACACAATAAAGGAAGAGTGAAAAGGCTGTTGCGGGTTACAACTTTGGTGGTAGAGCGGGACCCTGTCAAGCCTGTATCCGTATCCAGAATGAATGAATCCGCTGCGCGAAACATCCACGTTGGGAAAACGTTGCTTTGGGAACTCGGGGAGGGGAGGGGGGGTTATCCCGGTGATTCTTGTCAAGTCGCAGCGGGTGCGGAATCGGGGAGCCCTTCCCCTGCGGCGGTATTTCCCTTTTGCATGAGAACACCCCTGCTGCGCGGTGCATGAGTGGCCAACCTGCGTGCCTACCTTGGAAGGTGGGACGCTCTTTTATTTGTTCCCGTTCACTCAATTCACTTTGGCGACGATGTGGATGGGATGGAAGTGCGTGCTGCATGAGAAAGGCAGAGAGACCAAGGTTGTGTGTGTATGCGAGTGTGAGTGGGAGAGAGACAGAGAGAAAGAGAGAATGTGTGTGTGTGTGCCTGCCCAACCGGATCCGTCACTCAATCGGGCGGTAACGAGGCCAATGAGGGCAAGGCGGCCAAGGGGGTGTTTGTCTGGGATGTCTGGGATGTCTGGATCCTGCCCCGTAAGCCTGCTGGTTGGTCGGGACCGTTCTTGCGGCTGTAATCTGTACTGGGTGATGGTTCTGGAATGTCTGGGTTCTTTTTCGATGAGCGCTTCAGAGTGAAGTGATTGTCCAATCGTCATCATGAGGCTTGCGAAGGGGTTTGGTAGGACGAGTGAGGGTAAAGTGGTTGCGTGAAAGTTCGGGAGGGAGCCCATCTCACTGAGGTAAGGTATTCTCACCTTCATACAGATACTCACTCTCACTCAATCATGTGACTCAATCATGTAAAATTCTCAACACTGTGTCGAGGGCAATCCTCAGGTAGTCCTGAATGAGCTTGCGGGAGACCATCTGCTACCCGCATCGGAAAAGGTGGAGGGCGCACACTCGGGGCTAGCAGATGGATGGTGGTGTCGCGCATCGGGACGGACGAGACTTCTCTCTCTCTCTCGCTCCCTCTCTCTCTTTCTTTCTCTATTTATTTCATTTGTTTTATTTGATGGGGGACCCGGGCGGCGCACGCATTGAAGGAGAACGGCCGTCCGGCTGAGTTTACCCTGCGCTGGTCCGGCGTTAGACCATACTACTCCCCCAACTAGGAGACGACGGCGGCGGCAGCACCCACTTTGCACTTGGCACTTGCGCGCGGTGCTTACTCTCGAAGCTAATTCTAGCCAGGCAGTCGCACCTTAAGGCGTGGTATCCGGCCTGTAAGCCGGGAGGTGTCTGATGCGACGACGGGCAGGACTCGCGGGTATTACTCCCTGAGTCCCTACGCACCAGACTCAGGTCGGACTCAGGCTCAGTCAGACAAAATCTCCTCAGAATGTCTTTCTCTGCGAGAGCGATGGATCTTGGAACCAGGCGTGCCAGGGATGATGTTCTTCTTTTTGCCTCACAGACCGGGTTGTGGGTTTTCTGATGTTTCTGGCGTTGGAATCGTTCCTGGGGGCGTAATTTATGGGTCGAATCTTGCTTGTCCTCTGCCCTTGAAGAAGAGCTAGTTAGACTGTGAGAAAACGAAATGACGGCACTGGGATGCCGAGTGATGGGCTCAACAAAGAGACAAGGACACGAGGTAATCTCTGGGACGCACGAAGCTCTTTCCTTTCACCGTTCACGGCCCTTGGGCGGATATCCAGGAACGGCTACCGCGCCAGGCCAGCTGCTGCTCGACTCGACTCGACACCCTGGAATCCACGATTTAAGGCATTATCAATTTGTACGGATACACACAGTAAAGTAGTTCTTGTGCAGGTGAGGTGCACTGGGTCGTTGGCCGAATAGCTTCCCAAAGCGAAAGGCAGACCCATCGGTCGAGGTCCAAGAGGGCATCGCGGTCGCCCATCTCACTTTACCAATTGAGCCAATTCAGGCTCTAGCTCCTTGCGAAGCGTGTGATGGGCCGGGATAGACTGTCCTTGTGTTCCCACCATGGAGATTTCAGTAATATGAGCTTGGCGGCACGGTAATGGGAGAGAAATGGGACATGAGACATGGCGTCTGATGCGGCGCGATAGTCATCTGGTGTCGAGCACAGTGCGGATCTACGCACGTGGTCAGTGCAGGTCGAGGCCCCACTCCCAATCTCGAAGCTGGAAGACCGAAGACGTCACTTCTGCCATTATCACCCATGTCAACCCCGGCACACGTAGCATTAATTGTATTACGCGCTGCACAAGATCCGACAGTATGAAAATGTCCTGTCAACTGTGATCACTTGAAGCCCCCTATCGCGCCCCATCTTCCAAGCCCGGCCTCTGCTTTACCAGGACGGGACGGGCTAATCTCACCGGGAAATCCACCCACACCCTTCCAGGTCTCTTGGTCTGTCTTTTGCTCTCTCTCGCGGTGGGTGTTTTCTGGTGTAATTGTATTAGCTCCTTCCTGCTCGTAGCACCCCCAGTCTCTCACTCTGTCTCCGCTACCTCGAAGCTGCTGCGGCCCCCCAGCTTCTCTGCACCTGTAGACACGGGCCAGCCCCTGGTCCCCCCCAGCGGTCCCCATACAAGTGTTGCTTCCAAAGGCAAATCATCTCGCTTGCACCTTTCACGCTCTTTCAGCCTCTGATACGTCCTCTTGCTTGTCTTCCTCAATTCTCACCCCCGGGCCCTGGGCTGCCATCTGCTGTCTTCCTTCCTCTCGCTGCCGCCGCCTTGCCTTTCTACTACTGGCCATTTGGTTGTCAGCTTTGCTTTTTGGACCTGGTGCCCTCTTGCTCTCCCACTTCCTCTCTCTCTCTTTCTCTTTCTCTCGCTTGCTCTCTACCGCCTGTCACCCTCTCTTTCACTAAATCCCCATCATCCCGATTTTCCAATCTCCTTGCACGCCTTGCCGTTGCTCCATTCTTCGTTCCTCGTCCTCTTTCACGCATCATCAAACTCGTCAAACTCGTCGTTCCCGACCTCTGCGGCCGGCCTCGTCCCAAAAAAAAAAAGCATTCGAGCGATATTTGATACCTCTTTTCTTTCCAAAAACCAAACCATTCACTTGTTACCAGCGAACCTTAATTTCCTCCGCGACGTACCTTGCTGTTCCCTGCAACCGCTCGCTCGCTTTCTTTTCGCCCACTTTTTACCCATCTGATTTGAGCACAACCGCCAACCACTACGACCTTGCCTTGGGACCGACTCCAACTGACACTGGCCGCCGACGTACACCATTGCCCCCCCCCAGGCCCAGCCACTTTGCCTCGCCCACCTAGTCATTCCATTGGCACCGCTTCTTGCGCGACCGAGCCCAAACCATCTTCCATTCTCCGCGTTCGACCGACGACCTCATCGGGACGTCGGTTTTCCTCCTCTTCCATTCCATCCATCGCCCACCCGCGTCGATCCTTTACTCTCTAACAATTCTCTTCCACCTCGGACCGCGCGACGGGTTCTGCGAATCGGCCTTTTACGGCCGACAACAGCTCAGTTAAGGGGTTGAGGATTCTGGGAAGACCTGCCGGACCCCAAGAAGAAAGGAGGTGAGTGACGACACCCTATTTTCAACTCTGCTTGAGCCCACGACGCACCCTGTCGGCCATCAATTCCGTGCTCGCGCGACACCGCCTCACCGAGTGAAGAGGCACGCTCGTCTGGTGGACCTAGCCCACTTTCACGCGCACCGCCTGCTTCGTCTCCGGCGCCCATGAGTCGACCAACACGGCCTCGGTCATGTCTTAGACCTTGGAATGGGAGGCAGAGGCGGTAGTGTCATGGTTGATCTAGATATGCCCACTGGGACTTGCCAACCCCTCCTGGGCATCGTTGCTTGATTCATGCAACCGCTGGTCTTGCTTGGACGTCTTTGCTAATCATCTTTGCCCAAGTTCGACAGCACCATGTCCGATAGACCACAGCTATCCAACCCAGACGAAATCACACCACAGAGTCAACAAAACGGTCAGTCAAGTCAAGACATGTCCAAGGAAAAGGTGCTTCTGGCGCCAGAGGAGGGTGGAAATTCAAAGAAGGGTAGGGGCTTCCTGCATGTACCGTCTCGGTCTTTCTCGCAGCGCAATCAATCCTCTCCCACGTCAACAGGGCTGAGCGGAGCAACAGTCAGCGATTCAAGAAACAGCATCGGTGGACGTTCGAAAGAGTCCAAGGGTAGTTTTCTAGGACGGCATCGAAATGGCAGCGTCGGCAGCCACCGATCCGGCATCGAAACCGAACCGACCAACACACCCGGCAATACGCAACCGAATTCTCCCGTGAACCCCCCTCAGAAGAAGAAGAAGGGCGGACTCTTTGCCCTGCTGGGGTGCTGCGGTGTCCCCGACAACGCGAACGCGATTGAGAACGGCGACGACGCCGTCCACAAGCTTGACAAGCTGCCCGCGAGGCCGACGACCGCTAAGTCCAGACAGCCCACCCCACAGGACCAGCAACCCGCACCGAACAAGCCGCAAATCCAGGAGAAGCAACCGCAGCCCGAACAGCCAATGACCGCAACCGAGGCTAAAGGCAAGCGTGTCTCTGGCGCAACTACTGCCGACGATTCCACTGTTGGCGGCGAAGCTGGCGATTTTAAGCAGATCGCCCTGAGCAACGCCGGAGCTAGCAGTGCTGCGCCAGCGATTACGGTAGAGTCGACCACCGGCGAGAAGACTCAGGACACGCCAGTGCTGGAAGCAGACAAGAAGGATGCCGAGGGAGACGAGGCGATGCCCGATGCGACCCCCGATCCCGAATACAAGCACCAAATACCGCCTCCGGTAGAAGACGCGCCGACCAGCCAGCAGCTGCCGCCTCCCCCACCCATACCGGCACCGGGAGCCAATGCCATAATCCCCATCGAGTCTGCAGAGGCTGTTCCCGAGCAGAAGTTCCTGCTTCCCCCGATCGCGCCCGAGTTCAAGGGCAAGAAATGCCTTGTGCTTGATCTAGACGAGACGCTGGTCCACAGCTCATTCAAGGTATGCGCAGAGGCTCATCTTCCATTCTATCCTACAATGTAGCTCACAAATCTACAGATTCTCCACCAAGCCGACTTCACTATTCCCGTAGAAATCGAGGGCAATTATCATAATGTATATGTTATCAAGAGACCAGGGGTAGATCAATTCATGAAGCGCGTTGGCGAGCTTTATGAAGTGGTGGTCTTCACCGCGTCTGTCTCAAAGGTATGGCCTCCTCACCGGATCACTCGCTGGGTTGTACTAATGTATCCATAGTATGGCGACCCGCTGTTAGACCAACTCGATATTCACAAGGTCGTCCACCACAGACTCTTCCGCGAGAGCTGCTACAATCACCAAGGAAACTACGTCAAGGATCTTTCCCAGGTGGGAAGAGACTTGAAGGACACCATCATCATTGACAACTCTCCCACATCGTACATCTTCCATCCCCAGCACGCCGTCCCCATCAGCAGTTGGTTTTCAGACGCGCACGATAATGAGCTGCTGGACTTGATTCCCGTTCTAGAAGACCTCGCAAAGTCGGATGTCCAGGACGTCAGCCTGGTTCTCGACGTTACACTTTGAAGCTAAAGATACCAATTTCTTTTCTTCGTTCATCACCTCCGAAGAAATTTGCAGGACCGCGTGTCCCATCATAGCGGCAGGCGTTTGGGTTGAGACGGTTCGTTTCCAGCAGGTGTAGATGTATCACTGTCTAATCTTACCTTATAATGAGCATGGTGGAGGTACCAGACCACTGAGCCAGCTCACGGCGGCTTTCACGCAGTAAAGCTCAATGGCCGCATTTCAAAGGACCGCGAGGATGACAATTTCCATCGAAGAACCTCGGGATCGTAAAGGGGGGAAAAAAAGTCGGGCACTTTGGAGCTTGGGATGGCCGAACTGGGACAGCTGGGGCTTTTCTGTCACCTGGTGCTTCTTCGTCGGCATTGTTCAGATAATGCGGTCGAGGAACCCAACGAAAGATACCTGTCTGTCGAGGACCAGTCATCATGAAGAAACAAAATAAGGCGGCTCGGAATACCATGGGTTCTCGTGCTGGAATTCGAAGGAGATGATGCCCTCTACGCGGCAGGATATTGTTTTCCCTTTGTTCACTTTTCTATGTTTGAATCGCACGCTCCAACAACACCACCGCCACCACCACCATCACCACTACCACCCGTACTACCAACTTTCTCCCGAGTCTGCAAGCAGGCATTTTCATCTTCCTGCCATTATAGCCGGCAATTGTCGAGAAGGAGAGCGCTGTTGAAGGAAAGCGTTGCGTTGTGTTGTACTTCATCATGTGCTGCATAAGCTGGCGCCATCTGATGGAAGCTTTTAGCTGCAGAACGCGGCCGCTTCCTAGATATACAGTACCCTCCAATTCAATTGAAAGCATTACCATGGTCATCAATGCACAAACCTGATTTCTGAGGAATGACAGAAGGAAGAAAATCATGTCCTACGTCGATTAGACGCATCTGCAATTCGCCATGACAGGATGACCATGTATGCCATGCAAGTAAGGTACCTACCTACCTAGGTTGTGAACCAGAGTGATCATGCCAGGATTAGGGGCCCTGTGGAGTTTCTGGGAGCCGCTAGCCCGCTATGCTCAGCGGCCACCCATCAAGGTATGTTCGCCGCCCCAGGGGGGTCTGGAACGTCGGGTCGGAAAATCCCCTGGGCGGCGCCCAGCTGGTCCCCTTTCCAAAACTGTGGCCTCAACTCTGCCACTTTTGAGCGCAGGTACACCCCCAAATCTCCAGAGAGGTTGAGTTCTCATCATCACGCCGAACGACCATCCACTTCCCACCCACCCCGAACTTCGATTCTTCTCCATCGTCGACTTTTTAACAATTCCCCCCGGTTTCCGAGTATTCTGCAGCAATCTTGGATCTAATCTTCTGTCACACTCCTTAGCAATGGTTAGTCATTTTCTTTTGGGCGGGCATGATCATGACGGTTCTATGTTGGCTCGCCTTGCTTCACTGCGCGTCGTGGCTCTTCTCCCTCAACGTCGCACGCGATATTTTGGGTCACTACAAGAAGCTGCAAGAGTTAGAGTCGATGCGCCTGGTTGACATAGGTCAATGTGCGCTCGCGCGCCATGGGCCGCAAGATCTATGGAATCAATCGAAACCGGGAGTAATTCGCTGACATTGAATTTGTGACATCGCAGTCTTCCCCTCGCCCTTCCTCGCCCGTCAACGGAGCTGGCGTCGCCGCTTCTGGCGCCAGCGTTGCGCGTCCTTCCTCGCCTACGCCCCCTGGCGGCCCCCGAACCGCCATCCGTCGCCGCGCGGCTGCCGACCAGAAGGAGAAGATTGCAAATGCGCGGCCAAACAGCACGAGAGCTGCCGGCGCTGGCGGCAGCAGCAGCACCATGCTGAGTACGTTGTTACCCCATGTTCTGTCCCTCGATTCCAGAGAGACGGTTGCAATGAAGAAAGGCGACGTGGTTGGAATAGAGGAGGAATGAAGGCGAAGCTTCTTGGTTTTTTCTTGCGATTTGGATGCTAACACATGAATATGTAGGACTCTACACCGACGAGTCTCCCGGTCTCAAGGTCGACCCCGTCGTCGTCCTTGTCCTTTCTCTTGTGTTCATTTTCAGCGTTGTTGCCCTTCACAGTAAGCTTGACCCCTAGAAACGTTACTTATCCTACTCGTCAAGTTGAGCAGTTTACTGACATGATGGTCCACCAGTCATTGCCAAGATCACCCGCAAGTTCTCTTCTTAAGCGACTTAAAAAGGTGGAGGGGAGATATTCAGAACCTAGCCCTGGATGGAGCTCACCAAGCTTTGTAAAGAATCGCAAATGCGAGGGTGATGTTACCGTAACCCATATCAAAGGGAAGCCATTGGCGGTAAGGGGGAAAAGAGATGCGTGTCCACAAAGACGCAAACTACTTCTGGGATATGTGAGGAGTGGCATCCGACATCAAATCAACACAAAAGCAACTTTTGACGATAATGGACAGTGGGGTGCCTGCTTGTGCTCGTGAGAGAGGGGGCAACTTGGTTGAGGAGGCAGAGAGCATGCCTGATGCGCGCCGCTGTATTATACCTCTTTTTATTTTATTACGCTTCTAGTCTTGACAGTCCAACATGACTCCTGGACCCCGAGGTTGTCGCTCCTTGAGTGAGAACGGTGTTTCGCTTTTGTACATGACGAAGTTTGAATCTTGGACAGGGCGATGGATGATTAACAGGATGCTGAAGTTATAGCAAGTCTGAGTATGGTCTTGGTAAGCCTACTCAACTCATGCGGCTACCTAAGCTCTGTAGGAAGGTGACTGCCTAGGCGAGAAGCCTGGTCCACCGTCCCACAAATGGCGACTTGGGAGGATGGTTGGAGGTACGTGATTCGTTGTGTGGAGTAGAATCCATTGGGGAGTAGGTCAAGCTCTAGAGACAATCAAGAGAAATTCCAAAGGCCCAGTAACTCGTAGAAACTCACTTTAGAGAACAGAGCCTGAATGTCGTCCTCCTGAGTTAGCTGAAGTTGAGCCTAGCAAACTTCAATGGCTGATAGTAGAGCCGCGCGAGACATGTGAGCGGAAGCCTGTGTCCGAACCCTTTTTGGTACCCATGGAGGTTGCGCGAGCGCGTCCTCGGCAAGTTCCAATTGGAGGAATCGTTCATCTCCACTTCTCTTATATACGTACCTACTTTCTCCACGTTCTCACATCTGCTGGCCAATTATCACGGCTCCTCCGTAAATGACTCGGCTTCTCACACCACAAATCCCACCGATCCACACACATTGGCAAACTTTTGTAATAGGTATATACATGGGAAAATGCATAAAAAAATTCAACGATTCACCGAGAGCAGCTTAGCTGCCTACTCCCCTTGGTGTAGTTGGTTCATCACGTTCGACTGTAATGGTTACATTGTCATCGAAAGGTCTCTAGTTCGATTCTGGAAGGGGAGAACCGATTCTTTTGCACCTTTGCTGTACTTGTTTTTATTGTTTCTGAGTTGTCTTAAGTCTTCCTTTCTTGTTGCTTGTGTTTCAAGCGTTTGTGTCTTCATTTCTATTACCACCCTTTGTCTCCTCTTTTATTATACACAACTGGGAATATTGGAATACACTGGCGGAGTTGACTAGGGATGGCGGCAATTAAAGTTAAGTTTGTAACCCTCTTCCTTTACCTATTGCTAGTATCCACTTGGAAGCTGACACCATTACGATAAGAGAAATATAAACAATGCGCAGTGGGTTGGAATATGTCTCATGGAAGTCCTTAAGGAAGTTCCGAAATCGCGTTGGGACTCTCGATAACCATTTCTGTACGGATATTAGTCTGGATTGTAAGTCGGTGGTTGCCGTTCAAGACTACAGGCCCTGAGCTGTCTTAGTCCTATGTTCGTTGCCTTTACGGAGGTCCCCTCCGACATCCAATGTTCGGGTAGTTGAGAGCTCGAGGAATAGGCTCGTGACAGTACAGCCAGAGCTCCACGCTTCCGCGCGTCTCCTAGACCCGTACCCGGACCCGTACCCGGACCCTGGTCCATCTTCATTTGGTCCTCCTGAAAGTTTCCTGAAGAAACGACAACTCATCAACGAACCGGAAGCCGACTTATAGTCGCCATCTGAATCAGACCTGGTGCTGACATCCAAGTGTTTCTTAAGACCCCAATCTATCCGTACACACTTCTCCCCTGTGTGAGACGCGCGTGTTGAAGGGCGGGCACCCTTGTCTACCAACCCGTCCTCTTCTGTTCTTGTGGCTGTGCGGGGTTCCAGGACCAGCAGCCCTCCTCGAATCGTCCCATGAAAACATCCCGTCATTGGCTCACCCAATGCCATATTTCTTGGAAGATCTTCAACGCCTCCTCTGCCCCAAGTCCTACGGTCATTGGACGACTTACTTTCGAGAGGGAGGTGGACGTCATGGTTCAGCCCGTCCCATGCAGTTTGAACCGGGAGCGCCCCGTGCCAGTCCAGTTCGCTTGAACAGAGGCGTCGAACTTGCTGCTGCGACTCTTCGGATGGGCCGCAGGCAGTGCTCTTGGCTACCTCCCTGCACTTTGCGGTAAGGCAGTGGAGGCCATGGGATTCTGGAAATCCTGGCGGAGAGGTTGTGGCTTATCCGCACCACCCCACCCCACCTCTAATCTTTCACTTGAACCCACTAAAGCTCCAGGGTCTTTTCAGGAGCTTGATCATCTCAGCTTTTGGCTCCGATGATGAAACGGGGCTGAATACCTACTTGTGCTGCGTGCCTTCGCTCCAGCACCTCGCCTGTCACTGCACCTTTAGATCTTGCCTTTTACCCCATTGCCAGTCACCGTCACCGGATTCAATACAAGTCTGTAAAGCGATATAATTCTAGACGGCCATTACTTCCTGCTTTGCCACTTCTGCTTGCCCCTCTTTTGTGTCACTAAGCTTGTTGCGCTGTTGAGACGGCGCCCTTTTCAGTTGAAAGCTCTCAACGTCCACCCTCCCTCAACACACTCACAAACCTCCTTGCCTCAAGCTGCAGCCCGTCTCACCGTGATGACCTGAATTCTTGGAACGATCTCAGTAACCCTTGACATCGCCGCTGGCCTTCGCACCCTTGGTCGACGAGTCGACGAGTTGTGCTTCCCCGCAATGACGGTCGTCAAGAACCCAGAAGCGGGCGTGAGCTCATCTGCCCCTCCCCCGCCCCCGCGACGACCCAGCGATTTGAACCTCGATAAAACGGACAGCCAAGAAGTTCCCGATGCCCTCGTTTCTGACGGATTCAGCTTGCCTTCGTTGGATGCCGAGACCGAGGCCCCGCCGGCCTATGGCGATCTTCCCGACCAGCTGCAGTTCAACCAGGCGGGCTTCGAAGCTGGCGCCAATGTAACAGGTAACATCACCTTTCACCACCAATACCCGCAAGATTCGCTGACGTGTGATCCTAGGGGATGGCCGAGTCAACATCAAAATCAATCAGAGCGGCAACCGCCTGGCCGAGATCCTCGCCCCGACGCTACGAAACCAGCTTCTCGCCGATAAGCGACCCCAGGCGCCCCTGCCTCCCGCCTATATCCCACCGAGCCTCGGAGGCCAGCCGGGCCAGACTCCTCCCCCGCAGCTCAACGTTGTCATACAGATTGTCGGCTCACGAGGCGACGTCCAGCCTTTCGTCGCCCTCGGCAAGGTGCTAAAAGATACCTACGGTCACCGTGTGCGGGTAGCCACTCACGCGACATTCCAAAAGTTTGTCGAGGAGAACGGGCTCGAGTTCTTTTGCATCGGCGGTGACCCCGCTGAGCTCATGGCCTTTATGGTGAAGAACCCCGGTCTGATGCCCGGTTTCGACACGCTCAAAAGCGGAGAGGTCAGCAAGCGCCGCAGGGGCATTCAGGATATTCTTCTGGGGTGTTGGCGATCGTGTATCGAGGCGGGCAACGGGTTGGGGCCGCCGCCGAAACCGCATGCCAAGGATGAACCGCTGGACGAGCACTATGGAATACCAGGGGATCCGACGCAGAAGCCCTTTGTGGCCGACGCCATCATTGCAAACCCGCCGAGTTTTGCGCATATCCACATCGCGGAGAAGATGGGAATCCCGCTGCATCTCATGTTCACCATGCCGTGGACGCCCACTCGCGCCTTCCCTCACCCGCTGGCCAATATTCAGTCGACAAACACCGACACGGTGATGACCAACTATGTTTCTTACGCGTTGGTTGAGATGATGACTTGGCAAGGTCTGGGCGACGTCATTAATCGGTTTAGAGATAAAGCGCTCGATCTGGAGCCCATGTCGCTCATTTGGGCCCCGGGCGTTTTGACGAGACTGAGGATCCCTTATACCTACTGCTGGTCTCCGGCACTGATTCCCAAACCGAATGACTGGGGCCGCGAGATCGATATCTCGGGGTTCTACTTTTTGAACCTGGCCTCGGCGTTCACTCCAGAACCTGATCTGGCTGCGTTCTTGGCTGCTGGGCCTCCTCCGGTCTACATTGGGTTTGGCTCCATTGTGGTTGATGACCCTAACGCCCTAACCAGGATGATCTTCGAAGCTGTAAATCTCACAGGTGTACGCGCGCTGGTCTCCAAGGGCTGGGGCGGCCTCGGCGCTGAAGATGTTGGACTCCCGGAAGGGGTTTTCATGCTGGGCAATGTCCCTCACGACTGGTTGTTCAAGCACGTGTCGGCCGTCTGCCATCACGGTGGCGCCGGTACGACTGCCGCAGGTATCCAGGCTGGCAAGCCTACCATCATTGTGCCGTTCTTTGGTGACCAGCCATTCTGGGGAGCCATGGTTTCGAGAGCCGGTGCTGGCCCAGATCCCATTCCCTACAAGGAGCTCACGGGAGACAAGCTCGGCGAAGCGATCCAATTTGCCATCAAGCCCGAAACTCAAGCTAGAGCTCAAGAGCTTGGCCACAAGATTCGTGAAGAAAAAGGAACCGATTTGGGCGGTAAGAGCTTCCACGATCACTTGGACACCGACGAATTGAGGTGCTCTATTGAGCCTAGCCGGGCGGCTGCTTGGCGCGTAAGGAGGACGAAGGTTCGTTTGAGCCCTATGGCTGCCGCGGTCTTGGTAGAAAGGGGCCTCATCAAGTATTCTGACCTCAAGCTGTGAGTACTGATATCCCTTTGTTTACACACTGTCAGTTGGCAACTAACAAATCGCAGCTATCGGCCCAAGGAATACATCACGGAAGGCCAGCCATGGGACCCTATTTCTGCGGTCTCGACGTCGCTCGTCGCAGATATTAGCAGTATCGGTATGGCTGTGGCTGATTTCCCCCGAGAGCTGTTCAAGAGCCGGAGCAAAGGAGACAAGACACCTGAGTCCACCACACCTGCTTTGACGGAAGCTTCTTCAAGTAAGCAGTCTCTTCACCAGAGTGACAAGGCATCGGCGGTGGCCCCAAGCACGCACGCCTCGGAGTCTTCGACGCAACTAGGCGTCATGGAAACGGAGAGTTCTACCCCGACCTTGCCGCAATCTCCACAACTGGATTCGGCATCGTTGACGCAGTCGCACAAGACTTCCACTGCTCCTTCGATGGTTTTCAGCCCCGCCGACGGCGCTTCGATCGCTCGCAGCGAAACTACGCCCTCTGAGCATGCGTCAACGACGCAATCAGTCAGGCCACCCAACAGTCCGGGGAAGAGGTCTTTCAAAGAATCGATTCCTGCAAATGTGGGCGTCGATGCCGCCGTGGCAGCTGGAACGAGTGTCAGTCGCATCGTTACTACGGGTGTGAAGACGCCGATGAATGTATGTCTCGGCTTAGCAAGAGGCTTCCGAAATGCCCCTCGACTGTACAACGATGACACCGTCCGGCCGCCCGAGAAGGTGACGGACTTGGCCAGCGGTATCAGGATCGCCGCAAAGGAATTTGGCTACGGCATGTTTGACGGCATTGGCGGACTTGTCACTCAGCCGCTGAAGGGTGCTGAAAAGGAAGGTGGGATCGGTCTCATCAAGGGCTTCGGCAAGGGCATTGGCGGCTTGATCCTCAAGCCCGCATCCGGTGAGTCGAATTCTTGTCATAGTCTGAATGACTCTTGCTAACCTGTACAGCTGTGTGGTCCGTCCCCGCGTACACCATGCAAGGTGTCCATGCCACTCTCCGGAACGCTTTTTCGAGTAGCGTCCAGAACTACATCATTGCGTCTCGCATGAGGCAGGGGAGAATGGACCTGGAGAGTGCCAGCGTCGCGGAACGCGAAGACGTCGTTGCGCGGTGGAACAATGTCAAATTTGACCTGAAGAATTTCCAGGCCATGAAGCTGAAGGAACAGCGAGAGAAGCAGAGGGCTGAAGGCGAAGCTCCCTACGGACAACCTGAAAAGAGTCTCACGCCTCCGGTGACGGGCTGGGCTCACACGAGAAAACTGTCGTTTGAGGAAAGGAAACAGCTCCATGCTCGGAAAGAAGCGTGGAAGAAGGGTCACGTTGAGGCCATCGTCCCTGCCTCGAGGTCTGATCTATCGCTCCCGGAATCTGGCTCAATGAGCGCCGCCGAGGACGAAGAGTTTGAGCGCGCCATCCGTGTATCTGTTGCCCAGACTTCGCGTGGCAACCCCGAAGAAGATGCTGCGGTTGAGCAGGCCATCAGGGCAAGTGTCAACCACTTCCGCAGCAGCGGCTCTGGTGTTCCGGACGTACGGGCTGAGAAGGCCGTATCCTATGACAGAGACGCAAAGAACCAGGACCAGGACCCTTTTACGAGTGCGGATCTGGAGATCACGGACGAGGAGTATCAGCGGCTCATCGAGCAGGCCATCCAGCAGAGCATGTCTCTGCAAGCTGCGGGAGTGCAACCGGGCAAAGGATCGCATGGGGACGACGAAGAGTTCCAGCGTGCTCTCGAGCAGTCCAAGATTGCCCAGCAGCACTCTGCACACGAAGATGACGAGGAGTTGCAGCGGATCCTGGAAGAGTCGAAGCGGCAGCATGCGGAGGGACATACAAACGAGGAGGAAGAATTGCGCAAGGCAATTGCAGCCTCGGAGGCAGCGCACAGGGAGCAGCAGAACAAGGACGCGGCGGCGCGGACGGAGGAGGATGTTGTGATGGAGTACGTCAAGAAGCAGAGTCTTGCTGAGGAGGAGTTCCGGCGGAACGCGTCCAAGGGCAAGGGGCGGGGCGCGGCGGCGGACGACGATGATGACGACGACGAGGAGCTTAGGAGGGCGATGGAGGAAAGCTTGAAGATGAGCGGGCGGCCGGGAGGGTCGAGCTCTTTTCAATAATTTTTTCGTCTTTTTTTTTTTTTGCTGCGAAGATGAGTCTAAAGGGGACAGATAGATGGCACAGCACATCCGAGATACCATTGCAATTTTCCCAAGTATAGACCCTGTTTCACGTTTTCACTGAATATTGAAGAGGCACGCTTTTGCTCTGGTGAGGGCAAGCTAACATACACAAGTAGAGGGAGGAGACAGAAAGATCTTGGGAGAACGAAGCAAGGCGGGTGTCGATTCTGGGACATACATGGCCCGATCGGGTAGTCGAGGTCGTCAACGATACGGCGTGATTGGTGGGGGTCGGTTATCAAGGCCGGCGGAGGTGGAATGAAGAGAAGACGGCTAGTCGTGAGCAAAACAGCGATTTCATGTTGCTCTCATTTGTGCACTAGAGCGGTTCTAAAAGTGTAGCAGCTGACGGGTATATTGTTTCTCGAGTCAGTCTCCATCCGAAGAGCTGGCTAATATGTAGCCTTCTAATGGCACACAATTCTTGACACAAACTTGCTATGCAAGTATGATTACCGTCCTTTTCCGTGTTGTCTCATTTCTTTCCTAGAATTTTCCTGGCTCAGTAGGAGCTCGATCGCCAAAGAGCAAGACTATGGCCACATCTTCAAATTATCCCCTTCAAACTTTGCATTAATTCGTGTTCTATTCGTCCTTCAACTCAGTGCAGCTTCTCCTTCAAATAGATCACTGCGGCATATCCTGCGCAGCAATTCGTCGTCATTCCGTGAGCACACCATGGACACTTCACCGTCGTAGAGATGAGCCCGCTGACTCCTAGCTTCCGGTCCTCCACCATGCTGTCAGGCTTGGCCATGCATTCGTAGACCTTGCTCGGCATGTCATGCAAGAACTTGCAGCTGCAGCATTCCACAAGCATCTTGGCCACAGGCTCGGGAACACCACTGGGAGGTACAATGGATGCGCGCGAGACACGACTGGAGCGAGGTGGAGGCATTGATCTGCGGGCTTCTTCGAGGTAATTTGAGGGATTCGATGGCGCTTTGCTAGACACAATCGACTTTCTGGAGGCTGTGTCCAAAGAAAGAGAAGACTGGGAAGCTGCCTTGGCGGCCAGGTTGGCAACAGAACCACGCTTTGACGAGCGTGGCGGCGGAGGTGGAACGAGGGACCGAGGCACGAGAGGCTGGTGCTTCAGCTTCGGAAGGAAACTCGTGTCAAGAGCGAGGTCAGGACTCGAGCGGCTCTTAGCCAAGCTCGGGTTACGCTGAACGACGCTGTAAATTTCCTCCTGTACCACTGGAGTGTCGTTTTCAATCTCCTTAGTGGGCTTATTCCGCTCATATTCGTGAGGAGTCACCAAAGAGGCGGATGCTAGAGGGGTTGCCATCGCCGATGTCTTTGAACTGTCGGTGTGTGTAGGAGTGGGATAGTTCTGCGACGAGTCGCTGTCCTCGGCATCAGCAACACTGGCCTTTCTGCCAAACTTTTCCGTCACCAAGGCCTCAAGCTCGTTCAAATGCGCCTCATGGTTCTGAACTGGAATCTGAGGGGGCAGACTGATCCTTTGATTTGAAGCAATCGGCGAGGCTGTCTGCATCGCTGCCTTGTGAGAAAGTCTATACGATCGTGTGTCGTTTGTAACGACCACGGTCTCATTGTCAACCCGACCAAGTTCCCCATCCACAGGAGGCAAACCTTTCTCGGATTGCGGTCTGGAAGAATCAGGGGTGGTGGCGGGTGATGGAGAAGGCAAAGACTCGTCGCATGAAGACATTGAAGATCTTTGTGTCGGACGTGCGGAAGAGTCTCTCGAAGTCGATTCAGTGGACTCAGCAAACGGACGTACAGGCGGTACCGTGAAAGGGGATGGTTCGTCAGTCGAGTACCTAGAGCTTGACGTCGAGTCGGGGGTCATGTTAGTATCGCGCGCCGCTCTAGTAAAGTAGTTGGAGACCGGGGGTTTGGATGATCCGGAGGTTGAAACTTTCTGGAAGGCTGCTTTGGCAGCATCCTTGAAGCTTCTGATGGCTGCTCCTGGGGTAGGCGGATGCCTCTCACGCGATGCAGATCTTTCGGGAGGCAGCGGTATTTCTCTAGACATCATTCTAGATATGGGCGGTCCCTGGGACGTAAACTGATCGAAAGATGGCTGTCCCGGACTGCCTGCTGGCGGTGTGTAGGGAAGCCGGAATGTGACTGCGAAGTCTTCACCTGGTATTGCCTGGTCTTTGTAAGCGCCGAGGCTGGAGAGCGATCCGTTGCGTGGTGAGAAGTTGGAACCCATGGGGCTGCTCTCTGAGGAAGAGGGGTGCGCTCGAGATTGAAGTGGTCGATTTGATGCAGGAGGGTAGTGAGACTTGGCAGACGAGACACGAACTTCGTCTCTATAGCCATTGATGGATCGTTCTCTGCTTTGCTGGCGAGACTGATGTACATAACTCTCCCTTCTTCGACCTCGTTCTTGCTCAACAACAACCTCGCTGAGTCCGTTTTGGATCTCCAATTCGTCGTCGTCTGTAGGCACTTGCGATTGCTTCACGCCATTCATCCATTGTTGAAAGTTGCTCACGTCTGGTAAAGGCGGTGCCGTGGGGGAGACCAAAGGCTGAGACCAAGAGGGGGTATTCATTGAAGCGGATGGCGATGTCTTGGGGCCGTTTAAGCCTTCAGCGTAGCAATCGGGCCGCTCTCCTTTCGGATCAAATGAGAAGGGTCGTGGCAACGTTGAAGGCGTCATCGCTGGCGGTGTGACCCTCACTTCGGGTCCAAAAGAATGAGACCTCTGACCAGTCAGGAAAGCCGGCGGGTTGGGTTTGCTGAAGGGCATACCCGCATCGACCTGTCGTTTCTGTTCCAGCTTCAAACCCCCAATGAATCCTTGGTCGTCGTTGCTTTGAGACTGATTGTGGGTCTTATAGCCTGTCAAAGCAGCTTTCAGCTGCATTGCTACCGAGTCCGACCGCTGCCTGGCGTGTTGGGGACGGATTGGAGGTGGTGGCTCGTAGAAAGCCTGGGCGCTGGCTGACCGAAGATGGTCGTTGACGAACATGGTTGGGCTTGAGATTGACCTCGAGGCATTTGGAGGTCTCGGCGGTGAAGACTTGGTAGTCGGTCCAGCTTTGCTCAATTTAGCTGCCAACTTCTTCTTGACAGACTTTGCCTCTTTCTCGGCTTGCTTCTCGGCTTGTTCCTTCTCCTTCTTGCGCATCTTGGCTTCGGTTTTCTTTTCCTTCTTTTTGTTCTGGCCAAAAGATTCCCAGCTTGGCGAGTTGCAGATCGAGGATGCGTCGTCCGCAGTCGGTTCGTCAAAGCTATCAACGTCGAGGAACGTCACTGTCTTGTGCTTGTGCTCCACCGATTCCTTGCGCTCCGATCCACGATCGATTTCAGACTTGACATTCGAGGGCGGCGGCACAGAAATGGAGAGAGAAGGCAAGACTGTTGCTCGGCGGACCGCTTTCATGGCAGATGGTGGTAGCTCGGGTTTCTTGACGGGAAAATGAGCAGATGATTCCCTCCGGCGAGACTGCAGAGGAGCGACAGTCTTCACAGGCGGAGCGGGATGAACGGTGGGAAAAGGTTTCAGTTTCGGAGGTGACTGGGTAGGTCGGCCATGATTAAGCTGTTGTTGAAGAACCTGCTGAAACGCCAGGTGAGAGGGATGGGTTGCTGCAGGCATGGACTGATGCCCCTGAAGACGCTCGAGCTATAAGATGAAGCGTGTTAGTGGGTGGGAGCTAACATAGCCAAATTGGGTGTGGATGCTACGTGATAAGAGGCGTCAGGTTAGGGTGGGATCGGCCTACCTTCCGAATATGTTCCAGCTCCAACATCTTCTGAAGGCTGTCAGACCTGCCGCGTTGCGGCTTGGTCGATTCGCGTTGACCGCCCGTTGCAGTCATTCTTGGGTATCTTGTCTCGAGGCGTATTTGGAAGTGGATTGTCGTAAGTGGAGTCGTGGCGTGAAAGGTGCAAGTGGGTAGCCCGCTAGGTAGTGGTAGCAGAGGATGGAAAGAAGATGAGGCGTTGCTAACGGAGGCGTTTTTGCGTTGTCATGTCTTCGTGGTGCTGGTACGGCGTTTGCTAAGAATGAAAGACTAAGAAAGTAATGCGATAAATAGTTTGTCGAAGTGTAACTGCGGCCGAAAACCCCCAGGGCTTGGCGGTGAATTGGTGTTGTGACGACGTCTTCGGGAGGTTCGAGGTGTGGTCCAGAAAAGACGGTTACAGTTGGGCGCGTAATAGAAGTTGAAATGGAAGAACAAACACACGGTCGATTTAGGTACTGGAGAGGTCGGGACCAACGAGAGAAAGTGCGACAAAGTAACGTTGTCGTCGTGAAACCAAGAAAAGCGTGAAATGTCCAGCGAGGGGCAGTCACAAAAGGAAATCCGAGAGGAAAGAGCAGGGCAGGGTTGATATTTGGGAAGGAGCCGGGGTTCGCTGAGACTACCGGTACCTTAAGAGGGGTTCTCGAACGCGGGATGCTGGTAAGACGGGAGAAAAAGGAAGGAACTGCAGATCGGGAGACGCTGGAGCCCAGTCACCGGAGGCACCTTATGCAGACTGCAGAGCTTGTTTACAACGGGCAAGGCAAGACCAAGATCGCAACGACACCACAGACGTCAAGCAACCACCTTGGACCAGCAGGAAGCCGGGCACAGCAAAGTGAAGTCAAACCATGGCCGTATTTCATCAGGTCTCGTCTGCACGACAACCGCGAAGGGCCATGGCCATTGATCGGGACACGGACTGGCGGGATGAGATGGCTACCATGGGGATGCCTTCTCAGTAGGCAATTGGCGTGAGGTAGCCAACGTGAGCCAACGCGAGCCAACGCGCATCTAAGGTAAGGTAAGCCGCTCCCATCCCAAGGCGTGCAGACCAGACCAGACGGCTTACCCCATGGAGGTCAGGGCAACGTGAGATGGGATGGTGATCAGCCCTTCACCGTCCCAGACCAGGTCTGAGGTGAGGGTCGGGGTTGAGAACAGGTGCAGCAGGGCAGAGGTCCCGGCACAGCTTCAGCTGGACTGGAAAGAGGCTGCATGTGGGCGAACATAGGTAAGGTACCAAAGAGACATGATGCGCCAATAGGTAACTTGGCAACAAGGTCTCGGCGGGAGCTGCTCAGCGCAGATTGTTGCTTGCGGTTGGGAACGGAACCAGTGGTCGGCAGTCGGTAGAGGAGGCAGCTAGAACAATGTACCTTGCCGTGCCATGTCATGATGGGCATGTTGCCTGATACAAAGGAGAGCCATCGGCGTGTTGCATGCCATATATCCGATGGCGGGTGGTGTTACACGGCGGTACAGCGGATGTGGCGGCGAGTGTGAAAGCCTTGTCCAATGGCGACCTGTAAAAGGTGTCCTCGATTGCCCCGTCGCCGCAGCAGATACTTGAATGGCTAATTCTCATGCCGCTTGCCATGTGAGGCCCAGTTGCTCAGTGGAATTCGGGAGGATCCCTAGGTAAGGTAGGTAGGTACCTTAGTCTGTACGAATTTTGAGTTGCAACGCTCGATACGAGCTTTGAGGTGCGTTGAAGGAGCTCCAGCTGGACCGGGGACCGCTGCAGGCGCCACCCCTTGGTATCCACTGTTAGCGACCTCCGGCGATTTTATCCTGGCGATCAGCACCGGGACATGGCTAGCTTAACACCCACGGCTATTTTGAGAAGGAGCAAGCGGGGGGCCTGACCAGGTACTACAGTCTATCGGTAGGTCTTTCCCCTCCAGAGGAGGCTGGACGTTTGTTTGCATCACAACGAAGCAAGCACGAATGTTGGTGCTTACGGTTTTTACCTTGGGTAGTGTTTCCCCCACACACCACACCTCGTTTGAGAGTTTCCGTTCCTGAGAAACAGGCCCGTCAGGGCATCCCGGCCGTTGGCGTAGCGTCACTGGTGACTCCCAGGTTCCAGGTTCTGCCCCCCCCCGTCCCGCCGCCAAAGCCTGACCTTATTCCCATTTTCTCGCCTCACCTGAACTTGAAGCTGTGGATGGCCATGTGGACCCGACGACACAGCGGCTGCTGTTCTGCCCGTTAAACTTCCCTCACAGACCTATAACAATCCTTCGTCCGACCTGTCTCTCGTCATCAAGGTTATAATTCTGCTTTAGACCCGAGGCCACCTCGTTGGCACAAACCATAACGCACAATTCAACAGTCCCTGACAGCACAATTCGTATTTTGCATCGTCCCATCAACTGACACCTGCATATTGTCCACCCATAAGCACTCCCACACCACCATCGCCGACCCCGACCTGCATGCCGTGATCGATGGGCACCCTGTCTTCCAGTCTTGGCGTGCCTCAATACCCTTACATTGTACATTAGGAAAATCCGTCCGAAAAGAAGGCGCCGACTTGCAAGCCAGAAACGGACCAAAGAGACAAAAATAACTTTGGAGAGATTGTGACATACGGTCAGGACACACAAACCCACGAATAGGCAGGCTCAACGACCTCCATCCACAGCCACACATGATGGGCAAACGATTATTTAGTCTACGGATTTCACAACCCTGGCCCTCCTCAATGTGGCACCGTCGCTCTCCACGTGTCACCGCAACGGGCGACCCCTGGCTCAATTGATCAAAATTGCTGCACATCGAAGTCCCTAGAGCTAGTCCGCTTCGGCAAGGAGTCCGAGCCTCGCCTTATACTTCAAACCGAAGCTACCCTCTTCTCACGACAAAGCGCAATATGCACAGGCTTTGGTCAGGAGCAAACTTCAGCACGTTCTTGTTGAAGCCGTGGGCAAGTGCCCAGCCCGTCTCTAGATCGTTAATTGCTTGGCTGTCCGACCGCCCAATACCTTAGCTTGCAGAGCTGTTGCCCAGTCATTGCCGACTCTGATCCAACGTTTCTTGAATGATAGACAACGCGCAGCTTTTCCATGTGAATTCAACCTATTAACGATAAGAGACCGCTGGTCTCGAGAATTATGATAGCCCGGAAGCTACCCGCTGTAAAACGAGTCTATCACCCTATGCATACAGTTGCACTACAAGTGCTCAAAACATGCCAGGACCATGGGTGTGGGTACGCCTTTTGAACGCCGACAATCAAAGTCGCTACCCATTCTAACCAGACCACCAAAATAATGCAAAGCTACAAAGCGCGTCACGTCGAACATTGAGCCAGCTACGCTGCATTACAGCTCGTCGTCCGCTCGTTCCTTTGCATCTGCTCTTCCACGGACTCTGGGTCCGGGCTCACGTGCATCCAAACCTCATTGCCTCTTTCCCAGTTGATCAGCCCCGAAGGCATGCCCGATCCATCGCCTTTCCCCATCAAAACTCGATTCTTGTGTCGGAACCATCTCTTCAACCGCAGAGTCGCTTCGTTGTCTACCTTGAGCCGGACTGCAATCCATTGGTCGTCCGGTCGGTGATCGTGCGTCACCACAGCAAGCGGTGTTGTTGGTGGCTCCGTCGTTTTCAAGATCTCTTCGTCCACCCAGGTGTTGTACTTTGTTTGCTCTGGAGGTAGCGTGATCTTTAAAAACTCGAGCGACGGTGATATCGTGAGATAGATGGCTCTCAAAGGATTCACCAACGTCTTCATGAACAAGTCTGTCCAAGTTGAGTACAAGACAGCGAAATCTGTCTGGGAGAGATGGGTCGATCCCCGGATAGTCATCATCCAGGTAAGTGCGTTCTCGCCCCTCGCTTCATTGCAGATGTCGACAAGTCTGTCAAAGTTTTCTTGCCAATGCATAAACGCCTCCGATCCAATCGAAAGCAACGGCTTTTTGACGCGGTGACTGGGGTTCTCTCCTGCTCGAGGCGTCGCCGGGCCCCAAGCGTCGAGAATGATGCCTTGACCAATCCAGCTGAGCGATTCGGTCCTCAAAGCTTCGACCGTCGTTGCTCCGCCAAACGAGTGGCCCATGATCGTCACGTTGTCGAGGAACATCCTGTCCTTCCAGTCCTCCCACACGATGCCTGTGAGGCCCTGAGAGCTGGATGCCACATTGCCCTTCCTTCTCAGATTCATGGCTTCAACTTCGTGCCCTCGGCCGCTGTCGATGTATCCGAGGATGCGGAAGGCCTCCTCAATTTCTGTCATTCTCATTTCAATTTGCGCAGCGCGCAGTTGCATGTCAACGCCGCGTTCGTTGTTCGGTGCCGTGTCCTGTTCGTTGTTCTTGGGGAAGAGATAGTCGACGCAGTAGTGTTGTCCAGACTCTTTTCCTCTCTTTTTGTTCTTGATCTTCTTGGCGTTGAAGGTCTCTAGGGAAGATTCACTGTCGGACACCTCTCGATGTTCCGGGAGGTTGACGTAGGTCCTCGCACCGCTGCCATCCCTGTGCTCGACTGCCACAACAATGAAGCCGTAACTCGCCAACTCTCCGCAGATGGAGCTGTAACTCATCCTCGAGCCTCCCAAGCCGTGGCTGAAGATGATGACTGGGAATTTCGGCTTCTTTTGCGAGCTAGACTCCTCGTTCCTCGCCGTCTGACCTGTCGGGCCTTCGTCGCCCAGCATTTCTTCCGGCCAATGCTCCGCCAATTTTGCGTTCCTCAGCGCAGGGAGCTTGGTGAACATGGAGGTGGCGGCGATGTAGGCCGTGACCGGGAGATGCGGGACGCTGAACTCCTTGGCGTAGCCCTTACAAGTGAGGACACGCGGGCGAGGGAGCCATCCGACCCGTGAGAGCTTCGTCTTCTTGACGCCACCAGCGGCCTTTTTGCTGTCGTTCTTGCCGTGGCGATCGGGAGCGGCGTGATCGTCCGTCTGGGTCTTGACGGTGCATGGGTAATAGACGGCGAAGAGGACGGTATCAAGCCTCAGCAGCGGGACGTTGTCGCGCCTGAGTTCCGAAAAGGTGCGCGGCTGGCGGACCGGCGCCTCGATCTCGAGGAATCCCACGCCATAGGGCCCCGTGTAGTAGGGTAAGGAGTGCAAGAAACGCTCCCTCAGCGTCTTTGGTGGGTTCGTGTCGGTTCGCCGTTTCCTGTTCTCCGTCGACGCCTGTGTATTTGCCTCTGAACTCATGATTTAGGAAAAAAGACCAAGTCTTGCGAGGCGTGTTTGTGAGCGGCAACAGCAACAGCCTTCAAGAAATGGAGGATTGGAGACAAGGCGCGCAGGGGATATCCTACGGCTGTTAACGGGGCAGTCGAATGAGAGGACGTGGGCTGGTGTGGAATTTAGATGTCTACCGGGCCATGGCGGTACGGGTAGCGTGGAGACACGGCAGGGAGGGATGCCCGGGGGCTAAGGTAAGTAATTAGGTGGGAGGATGAATTAGACGGAATTGGGGGGCTTCGATCTAAGCATTCCTAATGGGGCGTGCCTCAGCAGGAACAGAAAGAGAAAAGAAAAAGATTTTTTTTTTTTTAACCGGAAGCTTGGGGAGGGGGTGGCGGCGCAGATTGCGCGCCGCGCTTGACCTTTCCGTCGCTCGGTCGAGAAATCTTGCGTGGTCAAAGGGGTGAGATTGTGAAAACGTGAAACCGACGAGTCCGAAAGGGCGCCTGACGTCATGGGGGAAACCGAACCTGCCATTGACAATTAACACCGAGTTCTTTGAAAAGTACACTTGTGGGAACTTGAGAGAGAAGGGCCAGGGGGGTGGGGGGCGGTGATTGTTGACAAGGGGGTCAAACTCCAGAATTGAAATTCAAGTGACAGGGAGCCAGGCAGCGCAGTGGCATGGTCAATTGGGTATCGATTGGATCGATTGGAGATGACCGTGTTCGCTACATGGGTGCTTTGATTCCCAGTTCGTAGGGCGATGGGGGGTTTCACTCAGCGAGACATGCGTTTTGAATCCGTGTGTTGAGCACGCAGATTCGAGTGTCTCTCAAGGACACAGGAACGCGCAGAAAGGATTCAGCGTACGAACAGATAAAAATCAAAAGTCAATTCCAGTGGCTGTAGGGTTGAGACACGGTACTGCTTTGCTGCTGCTGCTGTCTGCCTCGGCGCTCGGGTATTGCAATCCATCTTCTCTCTCTGCCTTTCTCCCACATGCTTCTACTCGCTCGACGCCCTGGGCCTACGGTGAGGCGTACCGTCCGTCCGGTCATCGTCCGGACATTCTCGGGCTTCCTCTCTCTTCGCGACACGAACCCGGATCATGCCGTCGGCTTTTCTCCCACTCTCCTTGCCTTTTTTCTTCTCCTTCTCTAGCCCAAAGAATTCCCCTCCTCTCTGGCGACGCTTGCGACTGTCAGGCACGCGACCTCGGCGAATTTGTCATTACAGCCGTGAAAGGAGCCGTACCCAATGGTAGGTTTGGGGTAAAAGCTCGCGTGCCTAGCGATTGTGGCCGGTCCTGATTCGCCTCTGATGGCGGCGCTAGGAATGCGCGATATCGGGGCGCGACTGAAGTAAGAGGCGTCTTTATCGGCGACGCACCCGGGGAGGGGGGACACACGATGTGGATGGGCTTATTGCCGGATACCGCCGGATGGCCGGAGGTGTGGCCCGCCCCCGCCATGAGGAGGTGGATCCGATGACGCCAAGCCCTTGTTCCTTTTAGGTTCCGGTCCGACTGCGGCTTAATTAATTCTGATTGGGAAACCGACTGCCTAGGAGGCTCTCGTATTGCCAAAGCTCTGGCTGATAATCCATCGGTAGCCTCCAGTCGCTCATGTCCATGAATCCGGGGAAGAGCTGACTGGCGTTGGGTGACGTCAACCCTGCTGACAAGTCCATGAATGGTGACGGTTGTTGCTGTTGTTGCTGTTGTTGCTGTTGTTGCTGTTGTTGCTGTTGTTGCTGTTGTTGTTGTTGTTGTTGTTGTTGTTGTTGTTGTTGTTGTTGTTGTTGTTGTTGTTGTTGCTGCTGCTGCTGGTCCGTCATGGACAGACTTGTCATGGAGCCTATGACATCGGGAGTGCTTCCGCTTATGCTGCCGCTGCGGGCCGTCCCCGGTCCGGATGTCTGAGGAGAGAAAGGTCCCTGCAATGCACCTGCTGAGCCAGGCATCATTGGCATATTCTGACCTGGGAGTGGGACCTGCTGGGTGGCAGCCGGACCGCGGGTGACGGGGAGCATGTGCGGAGGCAGGGTTGGGGTGTTTGCAAGGACCGTGGCCGCGACGTCGGCGATGACCTTGATGATTTGGTACGAGATGACGGACCGGTGACCTGGGTCGTACTTTTCAAAGAAGGAGATGACGGTGCGAATGAGGTCGAGATCACGACGAGCGCGGGGGTTATCTTTGTTCTGGAGAATATTGACGAACAAAATGTCAACGCTCCACGCTATTTGATACAGGAGGTACCTAGAAAATAATTGTAAGCGGCACCACTCACGATCAAAATTTCAGTGGGGAAGACCTACGGCGTATATGGGTGTTCGATCTGGTGGTAGTTCAATAGCGAGATCGCAGCGCGTGATGCACTCACGCAGAGCGCCAGACTAGGACCTATGTCGCCGGTCTCAACTCCCTCCTGATCCTCCAACGTGGGCAGCCTGAAGGCGGCAGAATGGATCGCCACAACAAGTTGGAAGTAAGTGTAGTGCAACGTTGTCAGGCACACCAGCCTGGAGTAGTCACCATCGAGCAGCGCGTCGACGTTGTCGGCGCGAATCATCGGCGGGATACTCTGACGCCACTCCTGCAGCTCGGTGTCAAGGCGGCGGATCTCGGCCTCGAGCTCAGCCGCTGGAACGCCGCTGCGGGTGTACAATGACGTGGAGATGCGGCCCTGAATCTGGGCGAGGCGGACCTGCTCAAGGAAGTAGTTGAGCGTCACGTCATTAGGGTAGTAGTACATGCTGTACCCGTCAAACGGATGCTCTTCGGGGAGGTCCAGGAGGAAGTCGTCGCTGATGAGGGCAGGTTTTCCGATCCGCAACATGAGGTCGTGGTCAATCACGTACGCGTGCCAGAAGAGGCGGCGGCGGTGGAGGTACTCTCCGGGGATGAGCTGCTGAGGGCGCGCGAAAGCCATGTCCGGCTCTGGCCGATGGTAACCTGCCATCAAGAGGAGCTGGACAGTGAGACCCATGAGGGTAAGGGCAATATGGTTCTCAGATGTGAAGCTGAAATACATGACCTGCGCAGGCTGTCAGTCTGTGGCAATCTATCGTGCTGTAACGCAACAAGTGTAGGGGGCAACCCACTGTTGACAGTAATGCCCCAATCGACAGAGGCGATGGTGTGCGTAGAATAACGTTGGGTACCATTCCCAGTGCGTTGTAAATGTACTTTTGATACTCTTCCTTATTCCGCATGCCACTCCTCCTGCGGAGCGTGTGTGCGATAATAACATTGACCGCCATGCGCCAACCTGGATCAGCCGGAGGCTGACCCTGAAAGTATGACCGAAGAGCAGTTCGTAATTCGTGCTCTTGAAACAGTCGTACGTTAGAATTCAAGGTCACGAAAAATTCTGTGTGGGACTGGATCAGTACCTGCGCCATAGTGAAAATGTGATCCACTCGAACACGAGCGAGCGGGCGAAATCACATCGCAACGGCGTGGACTCACCATTGATGCAGTCCATGATAACATGGTTTGGGGGTAGAGGGTGGTTGGTGTCGGCATGCTCAAGATAAGGCTGCGCGTGGATATCCAGGACCTTTGGTTGCAGGCCTCTTAGAGCATTGCTGAACCTGGAGTCGCCAATGAGAAGCTCGATTTGATTCAAGCCTTGCGGCGAGAGCAGGGAGCAAGCACCTGGTAAGCGAGTACTTGTCAGCAACCATGATCTCTACAAAGTAAATGATGAATAGTAGGGACGAGAGTTCATCATTACCTTGTGCGACAACTGTACTTTCGTCAGGGGCACCGACGTAATACGGTCTTGCCCCGGTCGAGGACGACGAGGTAACGGACGGCGGCGATGGATAGGTGTCAGGGTTGCCGGAAGAAGGGCTTGCGCTGCTAGCCTTTCGTCTCGACAGGGGCGATGGATTGTTTGACGATGTCGTCCCCAGGGGCGACGCATTTGAGGCACTTGAGGCACTTGCCTTTACCTCACTAGCCGTCGGGACATAGTGCTGTGGAGGTGTTGGTCCCTGGTCTGGCTTTGTGGATTGCAGCTCCTCCACCAGCCTCTCCATCTGTGCCAACCTCGAAACAACATCTTCATATAGTCTGTAGGACGCAACATCATGGTGAGTGTGTCAGCCATCCGTAAGCCGACAGAAACTATCGGAGATAAGGGCCATGACGACCCCTCTCTCCTTAACAGCAAGTAGTGAGTGAGGATGAGGGGAGCGGGTGATTCGCTGGTAGGAAATGAGGAGATGAGGAGGTGAACTCACGGTCTCTGGCGACGACCCGATGACCGTCGCCCTTCGGGCCAGGCACAATCCAAGCCATACCTCACACAGTTTGAACAGATTGGCGTCTTGTGGTCGCATCTAATCTGCAATTGCAACGACGAGCCGTCCCGCCGGTTAGCCCAGTCAAACCCCACGCTTGGTTGCTCGGTCTCGCTCTTTCTCGGATGCTGGGCAGGATTTGTCGTCGATGGGCGTGGAGATCAACGGCATCCAGGCTCCAGCATCCTTTCTGAGTTGAACCAGCCTACCGGGACAAGATTGACCCCTTACCTTGCGGCGCCGGCATGGAGTGCAAGCCAACGGACGCGGTCTCGGAAGTGCGTCGGACCCGTGGTTGGCCGCTTGTCCGTCTGGCGGTGACAGATGGTCTTCGGGGCTCTGCTCCATCGCTCTCTGCTTGGCGTCCAGAGAGACGGACTGATACAAAGTGCGTGGAAAAAAAGAATAATAAGGCTGCGTGTCCCGTTTGTACAACAACTTTGTTTTCCTTCCCTCGAGCAACCGTTGGAGCCGAGAGCGATGAACCAAGTTGTTGGGACCAATTGACTCGTAGGAGGATGGAAAAAGAAAGCGCTGCGGTTTTTTTTCTTCCCCTTCTCCTGCGAGGATCGCTGAGCGAGAGGGTGGTGCTCCGGTGCGTGTTTGGGCTTGAGCTCTCCGGGGGGGAGGGGGGACAGGGAATAGTTAGGTAGGTTTGGGGGCCGGAATGGTGTGTGGCAGACGCATGTGCAAATGTGTCATGGATGTGCTGCAGACCGCAAAGGCCCCTCCCAAGTCCCAACTCTCCGACCTCTCCGAATCTCTCAGGCCTGGGGTTGCACAGCTCTTTGTCGACTCTGCCTTCCTTCCCAAAGTCCTACGCCTCGCACCGCACCTGGTCAAGAGACAAGAACCCGGCCCTCGGTGGTTCCTGCGCCTCTGGTCTCGACCTTCCCGACGGACACGATGGCGTCTCCCTCTTTCTCTCTGTCTCTCTCTCTGGGGGTCTCTCTCTCGCGCGCTCCCTCTGTCTCTGATGCCGTTGTAAGTTTGGTAGTCGTTGCACGCTGAAGTACGCGTTAATGGATGTGTACACAAAGTAATGTGATGTCTGGTACTAGGCGGCTGGGGCGGAAATGTTCGTTGTCCGTCGGCATGCGCGGGTAGGACGGGGTGCCATCCGTGGTTATAATGATTGAATCACTGCCTCTGGATACCTCTGGTTGCGACGCATCATGATGCTTGTCTGGTGTTTTAGGGGCGAAGCTTAATTGCCCAACTCTAATCTCTGCTCGACGTTTTCTTGGGCGGCCCCTTGGGGTCGTCTCTCCGCGCGGGTCGAAGTGAGGGGGGAGGGGTGCGTGACCGACGATCGGACCGCGTATTACAACGAAATTATGGTCTTGCCGGGGAGGGGCGGGTCGGGGGAGGGGATTGGGGCAGTTCGTTAGCAGTACGAAGGTAAGGTACGATCAACCACGGCACATGTTTTCTCTACAGCCTCTTCCACCCACCGCCCATATATAACCCTATCCGGCCCTGCTCCACGAGCACGGCTTCGCGTCTGATCTTCCATCATCCCAGAGCCCAAATGACAACGGGCGAACCTTCATTTTGAAAAATTCAAACGGCTACGACTTTATCAATCTAGCCATCTCCACCGTCAATCTCCTCACGAGTCATGCTACATTCCCGCTAACCGCCTAGCTTACAAATGAATGTGACGTTGCGGAGGAATTCATCAATCTCACATCTGCATTACTGCGCCAGCACGCAACACGCTGCAACGCTCGACAACGGCAATGGCCGTAATACCAATCGGCTCCGACAACTAGGTACGGATAATCCGAGTGAGTTAGTGTCGAGTGTGAGGCTGTGAGCTCAACCTGAGGATTACTCATCTCGCCAGTACATTCAATATTGAACATATCCGGAAGACACCTACACGACACAACTACTCCGACGCGCCATTTTCCATCTGTAACGAACCCAGTGAGGTCCATTGACAGTGGGTGATACAGCGATGACCCATGCAACACTGCCCTAGGCATATTACTCTCCGGTAGACCTCAGCTCCGGAAAGACAAATTAATGAAATATTGAGGCGAAATCCCGGCCTTGACGTGGACGAATCGCCGATCCCAAGTCCGAATTGATGGGGGCACGACCTGCAACAATCTTGTACACGTATGTGTATCAAAAGAATGTGTTCATTGTTGACTACGGATACAAACCTGCGAGAGTCGCGCACAGGTACGCTTCAGGATGGCCTGCCGAGGTCCAGAGGCATCAGACATCAAACGAAGGACAGCATGACAGCTAGTCTTTGCCAGCATCGCGCCAATAAGCCCGACGGGGGTTTCAGAGAGCGCGACAGATTCTCTACGGAGGGCGAGTCTGCGGGGCGGGCCAATTGGGGCCAATTGGGGCCAATTGGGGCCAATTGCTTTATAACTTGATCTAAAAGAGTTTCGACTAGCCCTCCTATTACTTCGCCCTTTATGCTTGTCTGCGACACCCCGTTCCACTTATCAGACTCTCTGACTCTGACAATGGCGGACAAGCCACCTGCCGATGGTCATTCTAAACCAGGCACCAAGTGAATCATTTACAGCATCTGGATATCCGTACAACAGTTAACCCCCCTTCCCCCCCCCCCCCTTTGTTTCTATCCAGAATTTCAATTCGAGACATTAGATGTACGACTCGAAAGCCTCCGAGCACGTGTCAGCCTCACCTGGGGGCGATTGGTGCCGGTCTGAGAGGCATCAATCGTGAATCGATCGGAGGGATCTGGATCCCAACTCCACACATGCGTACTAGACTTACGGATACTCCGTAGAGGCGCCAGCTACTGCCCAATCTGGATTTCGTTCCCATGCTCCATAACCTAAGGCTCTGCAGTAGCCTTCCGGGTAATACTTTCCAAAGCACTCCAGGGGACATTTGTAGGCGTCATACATGCAGTGGAGTTCTATTTCGTGTGCGCTTTCTCTCTTCGAATGGAGAATTAAGTCAGTGCTTTGTTGCTAAAAAAGAAACGTCTTCAATAAACTAATTTTAACCAGGGTCTCGAGTCCGGCCTCGCCTTCTCCAAATTTTGACGTGCGACCCTACTTTGTACATCATTACCCTTATCGCAGGGGAATGTGGCCGGGTTCAAGATTGAATGAATGATTGGCCGACCCCCCTAGCTCTTGGCATGTTGGCACAATTTCTACGACGCCGGAAGCTGATGAATTGCGACACCTGTACGGAATATCCGTAGATGCACGGTTCTAGAATTGACTTACCCTCGATCTTTCCGATATGGAGGCTTTAGGCTGTTGCAGAGCGACTATCGCGTACCTGGGATACGATCATTTGGCTACTCGAACACTCATGCGAGATTTATCGTCCTCGTCGGGTGACACAGCAACTCCCCTTCGTGGCAACAAATCGCCATCGGTCTTTGGCCGGAATCATCGGATAGATCAAAGGGGGGATTAAACGGCCCCCAGACCCGTGGCGCAGCTGAAGTTCGCCACGCTCGTGAACGAAACCCATGGGTTCGCGTAAGCACAGGGAACAATTCCTATTTGAAGACGGTCGGTTCCTCCGACTAAATGAGATTTTAGAGGCATCGTGACCCATGTTTCTGGACCATCGTTGTGTCAGGGGCACCGGATCAATGAACCAGGCAGGCTTCGAGAGGCAAAACCAAGTAAGCTTTCGGCGGGATCGGCGAATACGGGCGGGATCCACAGGAAGTCGAGATTGATAGAAAGTTGGCTGGAGCCTGGAGGTGAGGAAGAGTAATTTGATTTCAGTTGATAACCGGCGAAAATGTGGACACGATAGGCCGGTTGGAAAACGCCTCCTGTCACAAGGTAGAGCATACAGCCACTAGGCATATGAGTATAGAGTGCGTGATAGTGTGTAACACGTGAGAAAGCACGTGGCAGACGGCTTCGTCTGTGCTGAAAGTAGGCCATCTTTCGGGATACCTACGCGTACATTGTGTGTGAACGTGAGACTACACCATACACGTTTCGAATATGGGCAGCAGAGTAATTACCTGTGTAGAATTTACCTCTATCATGGTGCCCCGCGTCTCCACTAATCAAAGTCTATGCCGTTACCGGCCCAAATATGGGTGGCATAGACGTCAACTCCGGATCGGAGAATTTCTCAGAGGTCAGCATGCAGACAGGACTGACCGTGCAATTTAGGTTCGAATTGATTGGTTGGTGATCAACAGGAGCAAGACATCGCGTATAAAACATCACTCGTAGAGACACTCAAGGGTTCAAAAGATAGGCACAGGAGTCAAACGAGTAAAGCAATACATCCAAGACATAACACAAGGTATGACATGTCTTGCTCGGCATTTGCAGCTGAATGTCTGTGACCTCAGAACGCCCGAGCAAGGCTTGACTTTTTTGCACATCTACAGTATGTTTCTACCGACGCCGATGGAGAAAACGCGCAGGAAAATGATCCCAAACTATATTTATACATCCCAGGTACATTGGCCTACCAACTGCTCCCTTGCTTGATACAATCAAGCCAGCGTTCATGATTAGCCAGATGCCCAACTCGAATAACAAAAGCTGGGGATATAATACTGGACCGCGGGGGATTTCCATGAACGCATATACCTAGAGTTTTCCTATTATACATTGACGTTGTCTCATTCACATCAGACTATATGATTGAGGAGTCGCCGAAACACAAAATTGGCGAAATAGCCATCTCTGAAAAGACCTTGTGGTGCTGTCTCACGAGTAGATGCCGCAGATACGTTGTAGAGGCCATCAAGCGTAGGCTGTCATATTGAACCCTTCCGTCACCTCATCTGACCAGTTGTATAAACCAATGTCCCGACTGATGCCTTAAATAGCCAATAAAGTATCTTGATGACTATAAAAGCGGAGGAAGATAGGAAACCATGGCATGCTGACGGGATGGCGAATTTCAACGGGCACATGTGGTACTACTTGACGATGCAATGTGATGGTCAACGGACGCAACCGTAACCCAGCTTACTCATTCCGTCAGCTACCGAGTATCTATCCTAAATGTAGCACAAACACTACAAAAAGTCATCGAGGCCAGATCACAGAGTGCGCAGAAACTAACAGCACGAGGTAGGTCCAAAAGCAAGCAAACGTTCCTAAGGCGACTTATGGTCTCTTATCTCATTTAACGAGAGCAGTCATGTTGCCGGGGATTTCGGATCAAGGCTGACTCAAAACGTGCTGGAGCTTATCAACCCTTTGTGCTTCTCGTACACCAAGGAATTCAGGAAGCCGGGGCAAAAACGTCGTATGACTTGGCATACACCGCAACGATATGATTTGAGGTTGGCGGAACTTTGCAACTCCATCATGAAACATGGCGGGTATTGATTGTGCGGGCGAGACCAGATGACGCCTGACGCCTGGCACCTTCATAGTCCGCAACAGATATCATCAAAGTACAAGAGGAGAATGGTTTGCATCTAGCACGCGATAGTGTGTGTATGCAAAGAGTATAGACCCTACTTCCGCCGTCTGCTGTTGGCCTCATTTCTTCACCAGCAACACCCATCTTGGAACGAGAGAACGATGTGGTACTTTTTAACTTCCGCTCACCATATCCCAAAAATTTGCCTCCCAAGAATATCCTTGCCCTTCCCATCGTCGCCTTCACCGCACGTGCAGCCGCCGTCAGCCATGGGCATCTCACCCTAGGTAATCAACCTCCCTCGACGCCACGGACCTCCAGCGCCGCATCGTCAACATCGTCAACGGCCAATGAGGTCGGTACTACCGCGGCACCGGCTGCAGCGATCAAATCGAAGCAATCGAGACCGGCGGTCGTCTCGTATACTTGAATCGGTCCTCCCCATTCAGAAGCCGCTCCCCTACTTTGGCCTCACTAGTCAACTGGTCAATACACAAGCTTTCAAAGAAAAAATCAGATGGTGCTCCCTCCAACAGAGATGCAGCGAAACATGCTACTACTCCTCCGACAATTGCCAGCCTCAGGGCCGTCGGCGACGGGATCTTTGGGACCAACTGTCACTTGTACTATTTGACGACAACGGCTACCAGAACTAGATCGGGGACACTGGAAATGCCAATATTGATGGCGGAAAGGGCTACACACCCCCGAGCGGGGGAGAACTGGCCATAGGTTTTTGAACTGGGTTAGGTGCTGATCTATATTTCATGGGATGGCACGAAGCACTTGTCTCTCTATTGCTACACGTCATCCATTGTGGCGCGTACAATGTTGTCTACTCATGTTTGACTTTATTATAACTATGTCTAGCTAGATATAACTAGGTGTGGGGTATCAAAGATCGTGAAATCAACTTTTGACTTTAGGCTTTCCTTGGCCCGGACGCGCCACATGTAATAAACATTACTTCGCAACTTGACGTCTGGTACCGACATAACTGTTACGCCTGCTAGCAGAGGGAGTCCCTCTGGGGGTGCCGCGGGGGGTAACCCGATTCTCGCCAAAGAAGCGCGAGTTCTGGCTGTACGAGCGCCCGTACGCCGGACGATCAGGACGCTCAGCGTCGGACGCACCAGAGGCGACGCTCGCGCGCCTGTCTCCTCCAATATGGCTGACGCGACGACCGCCCGCGTCGTCTCTGGCACCGGCCAGCTTCTGAGCAAATGGAGAGCGGGCACGCAGAGTAGGACCCTTCCAGTAGATGACGTAGACCGCGACGACGAGGATGAAGGAGATGCAGAAGAGGATCGTGCAGGCGTACTCGAGATTCTTTCCTGTACTAGCGCCGATGTTGGTGAAGAAGGGCGTGGCGGGGACGGTGAGGACACCCGCGAGGAAGTCACGGGCCCAGCCGTTGCCGCCCGTTGCCGAGGCAGAGTAGGGTCCGTAGGCGCAGATCATGTAGTCAATGGTGGCCATATAGATGGCGTAGTTGGCGATACCGACGATGGCGGCGAAGACCATGGAGCCGATCCAATGGATGGGAGGTCCCTGGATGGTCCAAGCGAACCCAATCAGGCCAATTGGCAAGCAAGGCGCCGTGTACAAGAGGAACCAGAGACGAGATTCGTACTGGGCTCTGTCGTCGTTGGGCTTGGCCGCACGCTCCTTGATATTGCGCTTGATGGCAGGGATGAAGAGAAGCCATGCGAGTACGTAGCCGATGCCGATGGGAATGAAGGCTAAGCCGACCTGGACGGTGGTAAAGTTCCACTGGCCGTAGACGAGGACGAAGGACTGGATGAACATGAAGATGAGGGCGTCGGAGAAACCGGAGAGAAGCGATAACACCAGCACGATGGGTTCGGTGAGGAACATCTTGAAGGGACGGACCCAGGTTGTCAGGACCTCTTTGACCGAGAAGCGGTCCTTGAAGGGGACGAGCTCGTCGGGGCCCCAGATGTTCGGGTTGCCCTCCTTTCTGCGTCTCTTGGCGATGCGGTTCATCATGATGGTGGTGCGTGTTTCGGGAACGGTGAGGGCGTGCACGGCCTGGACAGCGACTCCGAAAATGAGCTGAACCCAGATGGACCATCTGCGCCGAGAGATTAGTTTTTGACAACGAAAAGAGAATTGATAGTAATCTGGCAACGTACCTCCAGTTCAAGTATTCCTCAGTGAAACCACCGACGATAGGGCCCAGAACGGATCCTCCGACCGAGGAAAAGACGACATACGCGACAGCATACTGCTGCTTGTCGGACTCAAACAAATCGGCAATCATACCGAGCGTGACGGAGCCGCCAGCGGACGACAAACCGCCCAGGGCGCGACCGACCATGATGGTGGCAAAGTTGGGGGCCAGGGCCACAGGAATCTGCCAGATGTTGACAAGGAGAAGTGAGAGCTGGAGAACCGGCCAGCGGCCAAACTCCTCGGACCACGGGGCCCAAAGCTCACAGCCAAAGGCGTACAGGACGAGGAAAATCATGGCGCCGCAGCGGCCGGCCTGGGCGCTCACGTTGAACTCCTCGGAGATGCCACCAATGGCGTTGGAGTAGAGCGAGGTGTTGAAGTTCATCGAGACCTGGACCCAGAAGATGACGGTGAGGATGTACCACTTTTTCCACTTGGGAAAGCAGAAGCCCAGCTCTTCGTAGCAGTCGTCCTCGGTGATTTCGTACTTATCGTGGGTACCCAGCTTCTCGAGCTTGGCGCCATTGCCGTTGCCATTGGGAGCGCCATTACCGTTTAGGTGCTCCGAGTGGTCAATGGTCTGGTCGTGCTCTTTGGAAGCTGCCGTATCGCTAGCGCTGGTGTCACCATTGACGTTGCCCTCGTCGCGGGATTCAAGCTTCTCGTTGGCAACCTTGAGGTCGGCCTGGTTGATGACCTGGGGCGGTTCCTCGGCGAATCGTGTGCCAGCCATGTTGAGATGTTGTCATGCAGATGTATGGTGTGGGAAGGTCAAGATGATTTGAGGTTATTTCTTCCTCCTGTGTACAAATAGGTGAAGGAGGACGGGAGAGGGATAGGTAGGCGTGTGGACAACCTCTATAGGCCAAAACTCTGGATGATTCGGGAGAACCAAGGGATCGGCCGACTCAGCGTGCTCGGGAGATATTCGAGATATATCAATGGGGCGGTCAACTTCGGACGGAAGCCGAGGGACGCAGGCCCTACCGCCTTGACCCAACGCGCCTGTTGCTCTTGATGTCGTGCCCTGCCCAGTCGGCTCCCCCAAACGTGCAGTCGCCCACCCGTGACATCACCGTCCATTGTCGGTGGCGTGAAACAGGCAACCTCTAGCGCAGCACGTCCCACTTAAACAAGACGCAGCGTCGGAGGGGCGTGTGTGTGTGGGATACAGGCGCGAGGTGAAAGAAGGGAAGCAAAGGTGGTAAGAAATCTGGGTAGCGTCGTCTTCACCCGACCGTTCGACAGGAGCTGCAGTCGCGAGCGGTCACAGGACAATTCTGTTGGAAAATCGGGGACGGGTGCGGATCGTCAACATTGTGGATTCGCCGGAGGGAGTCCGGAGGAGGGTTGATTCGTCGAATGCAATACTCGCGAGGAGCCAACAAGGAACGAGCGGGGCGCGCCAGTCTGTCTACCTTAATAGTATATTGTAGACTATCCGTAAGGTACCTTAGCAAATGTGTGGATTGTGGAGTACCTAATTGAGTTGACAGTGACACCCCCCTTGGAAACATTTTCTTTTAGTAAGGTTGCTTGCTGGATTCGTCAACATGGTTTCTGCGCTGGCAATTCCAGTCACGGTGCCTGTCCGGACACGGGTTTGGTGATGTGTCGAGGACTCGAGGTTCGCGCCTTGCCTCCTGCCAGAGAGGTCATTAGGGAGGAACGTAGTTGAGGCTGGTGCCAAGTTGCGGCAGAGCGGCAGCAGACTTGGCAAAGAGCGGCATGCAAAGCTTGTTTCCCTCACAAAGTAGGTAGTCCTTGCCTTGTGTGCTTGCTTACCTACATAGTGCGCGGCTCTGGTGGCGGCGTCGCACTTGACGAGTGGGAGTCGGTCATCAGCTGTACCTGGCCATGTCAAGGGACACCATGATTGGCACACCAAGAGAAGAAAGACCCGCAAGGATTCTAGCGATGACGATCCATGGTGGTAAACTTTGTGCTTTGTCCCGAGTGCTTATTCCCATTTCCTACGACGTAAACCAGTACAGACCAAAACCAACCTTGGCTACGGATACGTACGGATACTCTGGGGGCGATTCTCCATTTCTCTGTTCCAGTCTTGCCAGTGAACCGGTCTCCCCAATGACACCAGCAACCAGTCACCTTTTCGGGCTGCCAAACTGGGCAAGGCGGGATGCAGAGCACCAAAGGGCTCACGTTATGACGTCGTTGGGGTCGGTGGGCCGGTGGGCCCGAACACGCGAACTCGCCCTCGTTAGGTACCTTCCCCAAGGTAGAGTAGGCGGTGCCGTCTCCAGCCGTCTGTCTCTCCAGACTCCATCCTTTCCTCTCCAGCTTCTCTCCAGCCGTCTGTCTCTCCAGACTCCATCCTTTCCTCTCCAGCTTCTCTCCAGCCTTTATTTGTCTCTCTCCATGGGACTCGCACGCACGCACATCGCACAAGCCCATCCCATCTCCAGTTTTCCAGCCACTCCCCCCCACCTCCGCCCCCCCGCAACATCTTCTGTTTGATGCGCTACTGCCAATTTAGCCATGCCGCAACAATGGCATTAGGAAAGGGAAGGGTAAAACAAAGTTTTTGAGATGAGTGATCCCAGCTTGTTCGTAATTTAACGACATCGTATGCACAGCCAAACAGCCAAACTCAGCCAGCCAAAGGGGAAACGAAAACACTAGATGATCAGCCACTCCCGCAGCCTCAACCGGCGCCTGGACGCTGCCAAGATTCGGATCTCTCCTGGACGGCCCGAAAGTCGATGAAACGTAGTCAACCGAAGCATTCCGAGCCCAATATCATCAACCAACAATTTTGTTGGCACATGTTCTCCATTGCCACCAAGGTCATTGCAGCCGCCCATTCGGGTTCACTGCAAGCGGGTGCCTCGTACGACAGAACACCACCTGTCGTTCAACGTTACCTTTCCCCTCTTCAATCTGTCGACCGCCCCAGTATCACGGTTGTTCAGCCATCCATATGGATCCAGATATTCTTGCAAGATTGGCCAATGAAGCACTCAATATCGTAGAAAGGGCCCTGTATCCCTCCGATCGAGCCCGACTCTGTGGATGAGGGATTACCGGTATGTAGTAATCTTTTCATTCTCTTCTCCTCCACTCTCCTCCATTTCTCCCACACCACCCGCAGGCTGAGGTCCTGAGGTGGAGGAAGACGCATATCTGGAGACCCCACGTGAACGCAAAGTGCGATTCTCCGTTCTTAATTCGTCGCAACGGCCAATCACACGGGCATACCCACTGTTTGCCCTCAACTCCCTTATTGCCGAATGAACAGAACAGGTAGTCCGCCGCGAGAGGGAAACAGAATCTCGCCAGACCGCCACCGAACCCCCTCCAAAAAAAAAAATTAAAAAAAAATTCCGCACGTCCGCAGTTGCGCTGAAAAATTCTCTTAATCTCATTGCCCAATCATTCCGACTTTATGGTGCCCCGGGCTTACGGTCCGGGTCGGGCGGGTCGGGTGGCTTTTGATCGATTGGTCGCAAAACGGGATCGCCTCCATGGTGCCCCCATTTCGCCAATCGAACGAGTCTCGATATTCCGGAGCTTGACCTCCTTGGCCGATAGATGATCACCGATGCCCACGCGATCCGTCCGACATTGGCGACAGGGGTAGACAACGATTGCAATCTCGAACTTCAACCTCGAACTTCAACCTCGAGGTCAGCTTATTATTCTGGTAGATACCCCCAGCGAGAACTCAGGCGAATGGACAGCAATACATTTGAGCAATCTTCGACGAATGAATAGAACCGTGACTGTGTGATGGCACCTACTGCTCAAGCTCTACCAGTGAACTACAGAAAACGCATCCACAGCAAATCATCGTCAATACTAAAATGCCCCCATCTCCATAGCCCTTTCAATCCCGCACAACGGCACGATGGCAGCCGATCAAACACCCTCCACCTCTCTGATGTACCTCCAATGCTCCTTCGCGCTCAAAATGGGATCCAAATGAATCCTCTTCCTCCTAGATGCAGCACCTTCAAAAATGTCTCGCACAAACGCATCCAAATCCTCACCCGACCAGAACATCGGTCGACGACGGCAGAGCCCCCAAATCTTCAGCATCTCCACGTGGAGCAGCCTCATCCCGCCAATCATCTGCTCCGCGGCCTCAACCGTCATCCCAATCGCCTCATCGCCACCCGGCCTGATCCGAACGTAGGCGGTGCGGGTGACGGGATTGCAGACGATTTGATACTTACTGACCCACGATCTCTGCAGTTCCGGATCGGGCTCAATGGCCGCCGGCAGATACTTGATGAGCTGAAAAGTCAGAAAGGGCACGGGTACGCCCCACGGTACCGTTTGGTGCCGCTCCTGGAAGCGGCGCAGGGACGGGTTGCTCGCCCACATGGTATCGGCCCGCGCAGCAACGTCTTGTCTCGTTATGGGACCGGCTCCGCGCCGACGGCGGTAGTGGTACGCGGTGAGCTGCTGAATCAGGTCCCGGTGGAACATGCCGAGCTCGTATCGGACGTTGAATGGTTCCCCGGTGATCTTGTTCCCTTGGTCAAACTCGTCGCGGAGATAGGCGAGCATCTGGTCGTCTCGCGGCGATGGTAGGTCGGCTTCGGGCGGTGGGTGTGTTAGCCATTTTCCTTGAGCAAAGTGATGACCGACGCCGGGGAGCGGCACCGGGTTAGTGGGTGCGTTTTCAGAGTTCAGGTCTGTTGAACAACCCTCTTCATCTTCTACGTCTGTATTGAGCATGTCAGTGATGTCCGGCTGAAAGATCAACAAAGTGAGACGATCTGGGACGTACCAAAACGCGGTTTGATGGCCTCCATGACGCGCCAGGGGTAGTATGTCCAGTGTGAAGAATCCGCCTCCTGTTCATCGTCCCCTATTTCGATTGGCTGGCTCCTGATCAAAATACATGCCATCAAGAGTTGTATCAAGGTTTCATCGTCAGAGACGAGCGAGTAGTCGAAGATGAGGAAGGAGAACTCATCCCCCCAGTTGAGCGAAGACTCGTGGTCGAACATGTTGGACACGACGTCGCCTGTGAAACGCTCCAGAAAGCCTCGGAGAAAGGGTCGGAAGTTGATGGTAATTAGCCAATTGGCCAAGGGTTTCAACCACTGGTGAAAAGAAGCGCAGAATAGAATCACGTATATCAGGTTGATCAGATAAATGGGCGTGAAATCCATGGTAGGGGTTCCAGTGTTTGCGCTGGCTGATGACTTGGGGAGCCCGGAGACTTCAGCTGCATGCGTTTAGACGACGGAACTTATATCGAAATTGTCAAGTAAACGTAAGCGCCAAAGCTTCATGCATAGGAGTCGAAGACAAAGCAATGTAGATTCCGTTCCCCCCAAGATCCATCCCCCTTGACGTATTGAGGCCGGCTCGATGGCGGCCACTCCTGTCACGAATGGAACATCCCACTCTTTCATATTCAAGGAGGGGAGACAAGAGTAGTAGTGTCGCATATGAGACGCAGAAAATGGGATAAACAGAAGAAAGCTGCCTGAGATTGACAAGAATGATTCTGTCCTTACGTGCTTGTAATGAATCTATCTTTCAGTAAGCGTCAACGAAACACGGTTGCAAGTAAGAGCGCTTGTGACGCGGCCAGATTTCGAGGGAATTATTTACACCACCTACACCACCTCTATTATTTGTTATTTACTACATCTCACTCTTTTGAACGAGAAAACCGGGTTACGTGGCGTTTCACTTTGAAGGCCTTGCTATTCTGCTGTATCATAGTTCCTCTTAACATTGCTTGCTTGCTTTCACTGATAGGCTTGCGCCACGTGGAAGTTGACTCAAGTCCCCAGTTCGAGATTTCAGTATTGATGCCACTGTCTCCGCCCGGAATGCCCCGACTGCCGTAGTGACGGGAAACGCTGCCAGTTCTCATTTGGTCTATCGACTGCTGTATTCCGCCAGCCGCTGGGCTTGACAAGACCATCGCTAGCCTGTTCTAAAACAGGTAATAATCCTTACGCTTATCCGGAGCTCTTTCGTGAGAAGCATCCTATCTCAGCGATCTATGGCTTCAACCACTTGCGGGAGTTCTGTCGAAAGAAGTACTCAATGCTGCAAACTCTTCGCGCTTGTTCCATGAAACGATACCATTGCAGAGTGGTCCTGCAGTGATTTTTTGCTCTATTGAGCAAATCCCGACCAATCAAAGTCCGCTTATAAGAGCGAAGAGTAGTACCGTTCGGGGCGCCTCCGAAATTAGTCGCGAAGCCCTCGTCGATGATGTGAGGCAAGTCGAGACCGGTTGCTATAGGATTGATATTCCAGGGAAACGACACCGTCCATTGAAGTTCAGGACCTTGGGACTTTCCGAAATTCAGAAGGTACGGGTTGCTGAGCCATGCCTTATTCGGTGTTGGGCAAGATGTTCAAGCAGATACGAGTCATCCAGGATACGGCTACTGGAGTGAAGGAGTTTTGCCGAATCCGTTTGCGATGAAGTAAAACAAGATCATTGAAAACGTGGAGATGGAGATCAACATCATCGTGGGCATTCCCGGTAAGTTTCAGACTAAGTGGATGATTGGCGATGCTGTCGATAAAGTTGTTACATTTTGTTCAGTTGAGTAGTCTGGGTAGCAGCGATATTGATCATTCGGGCCCGGTCATACGATTACGCTAAAATAATACACTGTATAATTCATCTATAGTCTGTCCATGGAGTTAACGATGATACATATCAAAAATTGGCCCCACGTTGTGGCAACCTTTAGATATCTTAGTATAGCGTATTCTCTGACGAGAACTTGGCTAGTGCTCAAATAGACAAACCATGGTGCTATTTTCTCGACAACCTCGCATAGGTACTTACTTAGTGAAGTGTCAAGTCCCGGCATCCCGCCTTAGTTGCATTTCTGAACTGCAAATCAATCGGCCTGAGTCTATTCAGTTTCATGATAGATTTTAACTGATAATCAAGCGAGTGCTTGAATTGAGGCAGCCGAAAATCGCCGACTAAGTTAAGTAATCGCCATTAATTGATACGGCATATTCCAATCCCGCTGCCTCGTTTCAACTAAGAACGTATTTCAAAATAATAATATCTAAATGATGGGTCTCCAAGATATGTAGAGAAATCATTTCATAGAAAGGATCTCTAACTGACCACTTTTTGTACCTACTTAAACATTGGCCAACCTTTGGAGCGACGTTGAATCTGATCCCGAGTGAGCTGTGAGCCCGCAGTGCTTTCAAGACGATCACCATATCTTCATGCTTTGTAAGTGTCGCATTGCATGAAATTGGTGTATGTCAGCTGCAGTGAGTTTGTTGGATGGAGAGTTGATCCGTTCAAGTTGAGTTCCTTCAGCAGTTGTCCGCCGAGCCAGATAAAATCGTTATCGGGCTCTCCCAAACGCTGCGGCGACCAAAAATAAGCTGGTCGTCGAGCTGAATCGGGAGACTATCTAAATCCAACAAGGTTATCTTGATGAGTTTGATGCGATTAAGGTAAGCAACTGACACGGGATAGAAGAGCTGCGGTAATATAAAATCTCAGAAAGCTGTCACTGCAATGTCCGAGATTACTGGCGGGGCCATTGAATATGTTGTCACCAACGCGGCCTTCATCTCAAAATGATCAGCTTACGACGGCATCAGCGTTTTGCGAGTCTTAATCTCGTCCCACGGCAGTCTCAAATCAAGAATTATCCATGCAACTAGATAAAGTGACTAAAAATGTATTTCGACAGGGGAGAGACCCTCAAGCAGTTAGAAAAGGACTTGCTCGCCACATTCCGTACTAACATCATTGGTAAAATCCTTTTTTTCAACCTGATCCTGCCACTCGGTCTGAAAGGCAGTGCTACGAAGATCGCCACGGTCTCATTCGGGATGTCTGACTTGGATTGCGTCTCCAAGTCGGGCATCGAGGTTGCAGCTCCTTACTCGATCAGCAAAGCAGCTATGAATACAGCTGTGGTGAAACTTAGCGCTGAGCACTCCCGCCAAGGCGTTCTTTTCTTCAGCATATCACCTGGCTTGATTAATGAAAGGCTCTATGAGGATGTTAGGGACTGCATTCTAGCCCCACGGTAGCTATATCTGACATCTAAGCAGCGGTAGAAGAAGAAGAAGAAGGGAATGGAAATGCCTGGTCAGATGGGAAACTATGTAATTGAAGAGTCATCGGTGAAGGATATGCTGTCAGTCATTTACAAGGCAGTTTGGAGGCTGGATTCAGCGGATCATTCATATCTTTCTATGAAACCAAATACTGAATATGAGAAGAATGGAAGGCAGCTATAACTCGGCAATGCCTATCAAACGCCTTATGCTGGATCTTGTACCGAATCTATGAGCTATCAGTTTGCAACTGCATAGCAAAAACGCTGTGGTAGACTGCTTTGCCCGGCTCGTATTGATCAGGAGGCTTATGGACTGACGAGCGAGTTCGGCGAGTATCGGTAGAATGAGTCAGGTATCCCTGGTTGAACGATAATCGAGTGGTTAAAATTCTTTTTACCTTTAATCTTTACACGGCTTATGTGGTACCGTTTTGTGCGGATGTCTCATATGACCGTGTTTCGTTGCCCAAGTGCGACGAGTGGACGCGGCACAGCCTCATGAGGCAACTTATCAAATGACACAAGCATGGGCCACACGGGTATTTGCGTTGAGGGCAAAGTGGGTGAGAAGATTCCGATGAACGCATGTCCATCTGTCAGGTCAGCAGGGGTATAGATTTTGAGCCTCACTTTTCTTGTCGCACTGACTTCGTCGGTCTGATTCAGGTTGAGGCAATGCAACATGTTCAAGCTCATAGCCAGAGCCAAATCAACCACAGTATAAATTTTGGTTGTTCTCCAGAACATATTTCTCCAATTCTTGTATTCAAAGTCATTCAACTGCCAAACCTTCCGTGCACTCACCGACTAGTGAGCGTGTGAAGATGGCAGCGTGCGGAAGTCGGTCAGCCTCGGGCCGACAGGCAAGGGATGAAGAGTATCGCGACTCAAACAAACAAAACTCGACACCATACGTTCTCAAGAAATGGAATGCAGCTGCCGACGGAGTTCCTAGAGTACCATCACTTTGCGCCTCAGCCAGCTCTCGAAGACTGAGTTCACCTCAACAACAACGGTTCCTCAACGAAGATGTTTGCGAAGCCCAGCAAGACAATCAAACCCGCAAATCAGTTTTCATCTTATGGACTTGGGAAATTTTATCCCTGTTCCTTGCCACGTGCATCTTGGTGGTGACAACGACGGTCATCGTCCTCGAAGATGACAGACGCTCCCGAGATTGGCCTTTGGACGGCATCATCACCCTAAACTCTCTCGTCAACTTGCTCTCCACTATATTTCGAGGAATTCTAGTATCGATTGCAACTGAACTCATTGCACAAGCCAAATGGATGTGGTTCTGGTTCGATAAATCTTCGCGTCGCCGAATGGGTGACTTGCTGCATTTCGACGATGGTACTCGTGGCGTTTGGGGGGCACTCAAGCTGATAAAAATTGTGACTTGGCGTAGCCCATCAATTCTCATCGCTGTGGTTGTCCTCGTGTCATCTTTCGCGGTTGGATTCTTCGTTCAGCAATCGATCAGGTACATCGATAGAAACGAACCGCTCGGACTCGGCTCAGGGTCACTTCCGGTGACGCGCCACATCGACGGATTGAACACAAGAGTATTTTACACCGGAGGCTTAACTTTCAAGCCAGAAGTCAAGGGTGCGATACAATCTCTCGCCTTTCGCCGCAGCCGGAACGAATCGGCTGTTATACCAATCTGTCCTACCGGAAACTGCACGTTTACTGGTCTCGGTTCAAATACCTCTATCGAAACAGGATCCGAGGCTACGCATGCTTCTGCCGGCGTTTGCAGCATCTGTACTGATGTTGGAGAAATGATAAATCATTCGAACAACGACCCTCGCTACAGCTTACCTAACGATATGGAGATCGTTACCTCCGATAAAATGGAATGGGTGAGGGTCTTATCGGGTGACCTCTCGTGGAGCGATGCAACTATACCGCCAGAAGCACTTGCACTAGCTTCCGCCGCATTCGCGAATGTCACTGTGTTGACAGGTGCGGTTGTAGACGGCGACATCAGAAAAACGAAAACCAAACACCCTGTTGCTATCACTTGCTCGCTCTACCCCTGTGTTCGAACGTACTCGGGCATCATACGTCTAGGAAGTTTGAATGAAACCCTCATTCGAGAGACCCCAATGCATTACGACATGGGTGACAATGACTCTTCAGCATCTGAACAGGCTTTGAATCTATCAGCAGTACATATACCTTGCCTCATCGAAGGAAAAGTATATACTGCTCAAAATATTTCGCAGGGACCGAATCTTTCAACAGTAAGGCATGCAAGAACGAAGAGAAGATCAGAGAACAACTCTTCTTCTCAGGTCCCTGAAGAGTGCATCTATCGTATCGACCAGAGTTTCAAGTCTCTCATATCAGACTATCTTTCATCCGACTTTTTCAACGGAAGTTGCACATGGGACTCCTCGCAGCGGGACATGATCGAGTGCGGTGAAGCCATCTGGCTTTCCAAGCTCTGGGCAAACGGAAATTCAACAACTGAAAGTCTAGCGGACCTTTTCACGGACTTTGCAACTGCCTTGACAAACCAGGTGAGGTTCGGCATGGGGAGGAAAGATGGCACCACGTCGATGGTGAAGGGCGTCGCTTTTCAACTCGTCACTTTCATTGCCGTTGAGAAGTACTGGCTTGTCTTCCCTGCGGTACTGCTCATATTGGAGATTGCAGCACTTTCATGGATGATAAGTCTGACAGTAGTCTTTCGAGGCGAACTGGCTGTTTGGAAGGGCAGTATACTACCTCTCTTGTTCTACAGAGATTTCTTCTGGGGAAATGGCGACCGGGGTAAGAGTTCTAAGAGGCTCTTGACGACGAAGGAGATGGAGAAGCAGGCGGATCAGATCAGTGCGAACTTCTCTCGAAACATTTAAGAGTTTGGCGATCCAAAACGTTCTTTACTAAAATACTCTCTGTATTTGGAGCAATTCGAACCCAAACGAGCCAATGGTAATAACAAGGAGGCTAGAGGGCACGGTTTGTTAAGGTTCTAGTTTTCTGGCTGTAATTCAAATGACAACATGTAGCTAATTAGAATTCGAGCGTTTTTACACAATGATGCAAGTCAGCTGCTAGAGCCTCTAGGAATCTTCATAATCTTGAGTTGATGACAATCACCTCCGCTTTGGTGGGTGCGCAAAGACCAGGTTTACATAATTCACGCTCTGCTCTAACGGTCGAAACATACAAAATTCATTGATCGGTTTTGAGTATCACTAGATCTTTGAAAGGCCAATAGTTTACTTCTATCGAGGACGCACGCAAACAGGCATGCCTTCTTTGGGTTGGCCGATTCTGTCCCCAGCCACATACAGTCATTGTCCCTTGACCATATCCATTTTGGCCGTGATGCCTCGCAGGCAGTCTCAAAGGGGTAAGATGTTTACACTCCTGTTCGGTAACACGACGATAATGTAGGCAGGCCGCACTCGAAAATGGGTCCATCCAACTAGAGTGACGAGTCAGGCACCCTGTCTGCTATGCACGTTAGAGTTTGTGCTCATGCTTCAAAGCTGTAAACGTGAGGGATGTAGCCAGAGACTTTGGGTAACAGTGCGTATAGAGCAGCTTCTCCAATATCCTTAGTCCGAAGGCGCTTGGGAAAAACTTCATTTTTCACTCCGAACTGCACTGTCTGCCCCAATAGATCATACATGCCCAGTCAGTCTTGTAGACTGTTTCGTAGCCAAAGGTTTCTGCACTCACAAACCCTCATGTCCCATCTGCAGCAGTTTGGAGACTGTACTTGACATCGGAAAACATGTTTTCGACGCATGACTGGGTATCGTTCCCTTACGTGATTTCCAAATTACATCTAGAATTCATTCACCTTGATTGGCTTATGTGAGTTGCAACAGCAGAGAAAGTATCCATAGCCCGCCCATTGAACATTGAAATAGATTGACTCAAAAAGAAAACCCATCACGGCCTATTCATCGTATACCTAAGAGCAAGCTCGTGATACCAGCACAGCACTTTCAGCCCACGGTGTCTGCTAAGACAGCTGCCTGTTTGATGCCCATGGACTGTCTAATGCCAACCAGCTGCTGCACTGCCCAAGATCGCACGCTTGGCACGTTTAATTTCTCTTGAGAGACGATGTGCAACGGCCAAATCATCGAAGGCGCTCCTGTAATTGTTGTCAGCTTTATTTTCGTATTGGGGGTAATTTGCGATTGACACTGACGCGGTGAACCAGACAGACTAGGTGCAGAAATACATATATCCGTTGAGAGACTCTGAATAACAGAGATGCTGTGAGATCGCATCATTTCTTTCAGCGCATCATCGTGAAAACTCTGCTTGTCGACATGGTCAAGAATAATTCGGTTGGTCACTATGCTAAGCGACCGCCAATTGTTCCAAACCTGGGCGCCCCATTCACTGTTATACACATGCCGTTTACCATTGAAACAAACGATTCCATCAGAGGTGTCTACACCAATCTCACGGAACTTGCGACGAGATTGCAACGACATCAATGCCCAGGCCTTGAGGTCGCTGTCAACGTCACTGGCAATTTGGCAGATTGCGTCGCCATCCGTCATTTGCTGCGTGCTCATGGCTGCGGAGAGATTGACGAGCCTGAAGCCAAGTACCGCCAGTGATCCGGGACGGAGACTGTTGTATTGGGTTCCTTGTCGGCTGGCTTCGAATTGCATAGTTATCTCAACCAGAGCTGGGGGTACCGGCACACCTCGATGCATGCAGGCTTGTAGCTATGGAACACCACCTCAGCAAGGCCGAATCACAAGATACACGCCCCAATTTACTTCGACTTACGATTTGCTGTCTGAATTGTATATAAAGCTGTATGCCAAGCTCTCTGGTGAACTGGTCTTTGCCGCGAAGTTGTAAGAGGGCTGTGGCGCCCTCAATATGTGTCGTCCATGCATGACTGTCATTCCAGCTTTCAAACATGATTGTCTACCAACGTTAGCTGTAGTTGTGAGTAGAAATGGATTCCAAATCATACAACAAAGAGACCAAGGAGAAGAATTGTCATGAGGGTTGTATCTGCTGTGGCCTGAGAGGGGTCACATAGAGCCATATTCGTAGCCTTCAATGCTTGTCCATATCGCTCCTTAGCCCGCAACACTACTTCGGGAGCGTTGGAAATGTTAGAGATGGCAGCCATACCGACTGCTTGGATGCTGTGTCGGACCAGATTATGAGGAGATTCCTCGCGATATGTCTCGGCAAGCCAAGATTGGTAAGAGTCGCAAAATGGCGGTCCAGTAGTGGTGTAATGGGCGAAGAAAAAGGTGACGGCCCGATCTTCGATGTCTAGGCACAACGCGTAGTTGATGGGCAAAGTTCTCGACCTCGATAGACTGCCAGCTTTGTCTCCAAACCTCCTTCTGATTCGTTGGCGCTCGTCCCGGAAAACAAGTTCAGTCAAATTCCGGTAGCCGGGGCAAGGCTTCCTCCCCTTTTCGCACTTTAGACATCCCGGTCTGCGTTGATCACACTTTCTCCTCCATTCGTATTAGAATTAGAATGGCCAGGAGATAATCGGGATTTAAAGAGCACATGCCTTTACTTTGCGTTGACGGCAGCGCTGGCAACCCTTACTCAGCGCGCCGTAATAAACCATGTTGAAGTGGGTGGAGGAGTTCGGCTCATAGAGTTGGTCCGCACTCCCCGAGAGGAAACACTAATGAGCATACAAACACCCTTGTGCCGACTTTGCCAACGACCCAAGAAAAGAACGTTCCAGACGAGGGGTTGAGTGACCTAAATGTCAGAAACTCCGTCGGTTGTTGTTCACCAAGTCGGTTTCCAAGGGGGATCGGACACGGACACGGGATTCTGGGGGATTTGAGAACGCTGACAGCCACAAAAAGGTCGTCGACCGGTAGCGGGTCGGCGGGGGATCTCATCAGCTTCGCAGTCGTCGCCTGTATCGGGATTAGCGCGACATCTTCCCAAATCTTTGATTGGCTCCGTGGGACTTGGTTATCCCTCTTCGGAAAGATCGAGGTGGGGCGTTCTCGGTAGCCCTTCACCAATCACTACAGGCCTCAGTGCCGGTTGGTCAAACACCCTCCTCAGAGGTTGAGTTCCGCTCGAGCATAGGGTAGTTATAAATATCGGGCGAGCCACATCCAAATCCGCATGATTGTTTGTGTAATAAACAAATTATACCTTGTGGAAGAGCTGATAGGTACTTCTTTTGTTTTCCATGAATACAAGCTTTGAAGAATTTGCCACTAAACTTTGAGACAATGGCCGACGTCGCAACCATCCAAACTCCCGTCCCGGTGGAACAAACCTTCCGCGCCTACACCAAAGAACAAGGCACTACCTACGCCAAAGGCCGGCTTGGCTACCATGACAGGCTCTACGACTTCATCTACGACCACCACGTCTCAACTGGAGGTCACCCCGACACCCTCCTCGATGTCGGCTGCGGCCCCGGCACCGTCGCTCGTAAGCTCGGCCCGCGCTTTACACGGGCCATCGCCCTGGACCCAAGCGTAGGCATGATCGACGCAGCCCGGGCCCTGGGCGGGGCCACCTCGACCTCGGAGCCGGTCCGCTTCGAGGTCTCCACCGCGGAGGAGCTCGGGTCCAACCTCTCCGCGCCCGTCGCCGACGCCAGCGTCGACCTCATCACGGCCGCCACCGCGGCCCACTGGTTCGACATGGCCGGCTTCTGGACCGCCGCTGCCCGCGTGCTCAAGCCCGGTGGTTCCGTCGCCATTTGGACGAGTAGCTCAAGATACATACACCCGTCCATGCCCAACGCCGCGCGCATGCAGCAGGTCTTGAAGGACTTTCGTGACGAGTATATTCAGCCGTACATGGCGCCCGGCAACATTGTGGGCGAGAAAATGTACGAGACGTTGCCACTGCCGTGGGACCTCGGAAAGCCGGTGACGGAATTTGACAAGAGCACCTTTCTTCGCAAAGACTGGAACAAGAATGGCACAATCGGACCGGACGGGGAGTTCTTCTTGGGCCAGCAGCATCTGGGCCTGGATCACATTGAAAAGTACTTAGAGACGGTCAGCCCCGTCACGCGGTGGCGTGAGGCGCACCCGGACGCCATCGGGACGGATCGAGACGTGGTCAAGATGGCCGTAGGGAAGATTGCGAGTTTGCTCCACGAGGCAGGGATGGAGCCAGGGAAGGAAATCATCACCACTGGCGTCGCCGGTGCGCTGATAATGGTGAAAAAGAGGGAGTAATTTGATAGGGTACCAGTCTTGTCCAACTCCCAGGTTCTGGGCCGTCTGCAGGGGAAATAAATCATTGGGTCAATCGCGTTGCGGCCGCCTGTCCGGCTCGCCTGTCCGGCGTCTACACAACACGGACCCCTGGATCGGTGCAGAAAACCTGATTGTCATCTCGGATGGGCGGTGATGCGCCAAGTGTTTGCTTAATTGTTGGTTTGCTGGACGATAGACAAGCTGCTCTTTGTCTATTGGCTGGTTCGGGACGTGCGATAGAGTGGACCTTTGGCCGCTCCATTTGGACGTTTTCGTGTTGGTTCCAACAAGCAGCATTCCTTCGGACGCTTCACCCGCTTGTACCGCTTCTAGAACTATTTAATCATTCGACAGTCATCCGGGTGTGAAGAGGAGTACTTATGCCTCCGCCAGACAGTCGCGCTCCGAAAGAAAAAATGTTCTCCAACTTCTTACCCACTCATTCGCGCACCTCTCAGACTCCACTCGCCGTCATGACCCAAAAGCCAAACATGAGTTCCGCCGCTGCATCCGCCCGGAAGAGTGCCTTGGCCATGGAAACCGGCCGGATTGATTGGAAGGAAGCCTTCCTCTTTTTCTACTGGGATGCCAAGAAACTCCGCACTCGCCCCAAGGAGGGCCACATTATTGACAGGTTGATTGTCGAGTTCTTCCAGCAGACGAGGCCATCCATGGCGGACGAGGGTCCCGTCCTCAACTGGGATATGACCCTGTTTAGGCTCATGAATGCGTTACGCAGACAGCTCGGTAGGTGAGCCGCAAGGGAATGCATGCATGCCTGCTCTTGCAATCGTCCCACAATGTAAACCCAGGCTGACATATCACAGGCTTCGACACCACATCCGAGGTCACTCCATCAACCTACCTTTTTCTCAGCCACATCGATCCTCGAGACACTTGGAACAAGCCACCATTTGTAGACTGGGTGCGCCTCGAGACTGAAAGCCAAATTCTATTCACGTACGCGAATAACACAATTACCCGGTTTCTCGATCATCTCGTTATTGAAGCCTACGGGCGGCAGCGAGCACCGTGGACGTTGTACAACCCGTACCTGAAAACTTTTCAAGAGGCCCACGACCTTGAAGACTGGAGCGTACCTTTGCCATTCGGCCACGCAGCTGAGATGTTATCGCATATTTCATGGCCAGAGGGCTCCCTGATCGCGGATAGCGCCGGGCTTGTACACCCCCAGACCCACGAGATCCGTTTCGACATCTCCCTCGGGTCATCTCACCGCTCTGCCGTACTCGGCTTTCCCATCGATGAATTGACGAACCATCGGATAATGAACCTTACAAAGCGCTACTACACGGCCATGCTCCTTTGGGTGGCTGAGATGACCACGGGAGGGGCGTTTGAGTCCCTCCCTGGCCTGTTGATCGCCCAATTCAAGGGTTGGGTGAAGGCAAATGAGGACGAAGACAACGACGAATCTTTGGCTGTGGCGAAGAGCCTTTGGGAAGCGTACAGAAAGGTCGGCTTGCAACCATTCTATGGCGATGTCAATAGTGCCTCTAGCGGATCGTCAAGCCGTCCATGGGCTGATGTATCCTCTGAAAATTTCGTGGAGACAAAGAAGCCGTCTGGGAGTGGTTATTTCCAAGGTGCGTAGTTGGAAGGGGCGGTTTTGTATATAATTCAGATTTCCTTCATCTCTTGAAGCGGTAACTAGCTTGAAGTGGTGGCGGGAAGTTAGCACCCAGAAAAACTGCCAAGAGCTTTTAAAGTGTCTACTTTGGATGAGGAAGCAAACCCGAGGACCATTTTGAAAGTCCGTTCCCAAACGAAGCTGCAAACACTTGGATGGCACCATATTTGCAGACGAAAAAGGCAGGTTGGTTTGAGCAGCGATCGCAACGCTTTTTCAATCACGTCTCTATGGTTGATCAGTGAAAGAAGGGGCCGAGTTGCCATTGGAGCTCCGCATCCAGTCTCCTAGTGACAAGAAACATTACTTCAAGAACCTCTATTTCAGAGGCCATGACGAGGACGAGGATCTGAGGCAAAACCTTCCTGGCGACCAGTCACGTAATCCCGACCTACCCTACCTTTATCACGACATAAAACACAGCTGGAAAAACTGCTGGAACAACAGTCTCCAGATCGGCGCTCTTCACGAAAAGTCTATTATTAGGCAAACGTTTAACACCCTTCATTGTCTTAATTTCAATAAAGATCTCTCTCAAGTTCAGTTAGTAAAAGAATTCCTACTTCGTCGGCAATACCGAAGACAGATTGGCCCTCAAGACCTAGGGCACATATTCAACAAGCTTTCTCGACTGACATGAATAGTCTATGGCCCACGGCAATAGTAGTCCTGAAGATTCCAAAAAATACCATCTGAACCCCAATAAGACGGAGAATTCAAGACACATTCCCTTTTCCATGTACATGTACCGATCATAAACTTTGTACAGTATGTGACAGTTGTTGAGTCTTATTTACTACGGACACCCAAACAAATATTAGTATTTGAGGACATAAACGGAGGCTACACTTATACTGCGCTGGAAAGCCTCTCCCGCAACCTCTCAGTGACCTACGGCAGGCTTCAAGTAAACATTCAACGGCCCCTTTTCCCACAGTGTATAAATCTTCTGGGTCTCCATCCAAGCCCTGCTATCCTCCGCCAGGACCAGGTCAAAGTTCCAAAGCAGCCTCGCTAGCACGATCCGCATCTCCGCGTACGCGAGGCTGTTTCCCCATGTCAGGTCAGCCACAATAAACGATAGGTAGGGATGGGTTTAGGGGCGGGGTGTTGGCGAAGGCTCAGTGCAAATTGTAAAGACTCACTTTCGTCCCAAGCAATTCCGCGGTCCAATGTGGAAGGGCTGAAACGCCTCCCTGCGATCAGAAGCATACTCTGGGTCTCCCAAAGCCCGTTCCGGGTGGAATAGGGAAGGGTTCTTGAAGTTCGCCTCGTTGTGGTACATGGCCCACTGGTGGACAGCAACAATCGTCTATGAAATAAAAGAAATCTCACATGAGCTGGTATGCTCTCACAAGAAGGAGGGGGGGGGGAAAACCCCCCAAACACGTTTTAGGCCGAAATCAAAAAAGCATTTCAAAGTAATAGAACTCACCTTCTCCGGGACAAACTCGCCACGAATCGTGGCCCCGCCCTCCGGCACCGTCCTGGGAAGACCCGTAGGCACGGGTGGATACACCCGCAGCGCCTCGTCCAGACACGCAAGCATGTAGGCCAGCTTGTTCACAGACGTGAGGTCAATATCCTCTTCCTTTTTAAAGGTCGTTCTGACTTCTCTGACCAGTTTCTCCATCTTCTCGGAGTTCCTCAAGAGGAGATACGTCACGCCCGAAAGCAGCGTCGCTGTCGTCTCCGAGCCGGCGAGGATGACCATGCTCGCGTTGCTCTCGAGCTGTCGTAGGGAGAGATTCTGTTCTAATGTCAACATCTAATCTTTCTTGCAATTCCAGGACCAGCAAAAGTTTCCCACGAGGAAAAGGTGTAGAAAAGGTGTTGTGGGGAGGGGGCAGACTCACCCAAGCATCCTTCTTCTTCAACAGCCCCTCCATCAAGTCCGCCCTCGGCCCTTCCCTCTCCGCCAAGGCAATCCTTCTCTTCAACTTATCCATCGTCATATTCAGATGCTGCAACTTCCTCTCCCTCATCGCCTTTGTCGACATCACCACGGTGATAAACCGCCTCAGCACCGAAAAGTGGTTCGCCGTCTGCAGCGCGACGCCCAGCCGAATCATTTGGAAAATCGTCCTCACCCAGGGGTGTAAGTCCCCTTCCTCCAAGCACCCAAACGGTTCACCAAAGGCCAGGTCCCCGATGATGTCAAAAGTGCAGTAGTTGTACCACAGCGCCAGGTTCACCGGTCCTGCCAGCTCCGGCCCCTTCTCCCTGACATCCGCCACTGACGACGCATCCTCACCGACCTCATCTCGGTACGACTCCCGAGATGGAGCCTCGGCAATCTCCCGCAACTTGGCAATAAACATGTCAACATACTTCAAAATCACTGGCTGCTGCTCTCTCAAACTCCGATCACTGAACCCGTAACTCAACGACCTCCTCAGCATAGCATGCTCCGGCCCCAGCGCCGTAATGATGTCCCGCGGCAAATTGGCGACCGGCAGGTAAAATGTATCCGTCTTTTCAAACTCGAGCGGCGCCCGGGCCCCGTTCACGATGCCCCCGACCCGGTGGCCCATGATCTCCTTCCACGCGGCGGGGTCCGCGTAGGCCAGCTCGTCCGGGGCGATGCGCACCACATCGCCGTACCTCTTGTGGATGTCGAGCATGTCAAAGGAGAGAGTGCCGCGCCAGAGTCGATAGCAGGCTGTCGCGCGGGTCGCACGCATGAGTATCGGGCCGGGGAAGCGGCGGAGGGGGTGGAAGAAGAGATTGTAGATGATGTATGAGACGATGTAGAGCGTGGTCTGTCAAGTATCGAGGAAAGAAGCTGATTAGAAATATTTATCCTACTTGGAGATGAAAGACATCTCGGTTTCGGGACGAAGGGCTCACGAAGACGAAGCCAAGGCACAAGGCCTTGGTAATGATGTTGAAGATGGCCATCTTTTCCAAATTGGTACTTATCAAGTCATTTCAGGTCAGAGAAGAGAAACTGAGAGCAGATAGAAGAAATCCAGGTGCTTGCGAAGGAGCCTAGGCAACATATTAAAGCTTCCAAGTGAGCTTCATCACTCCACGTAGACTTTACCTCAAACCGTGGAACGCGATCGCGTACCGAACCAGCTCAGCCTACATAATTCCGTCGTGCCGAGTACGAAAAATACTTCCGAAGCTGTCGTGAAGTGTTTCAACGGTCTAGAATATGCACGACGTAGCTTCAAGGACCTCAGGACCCTGTTCAGGCAATCGGATGAAAGGCGCACGAACCTCCCTGCAATCAACGTCGTGAGGGGTTACCGTCGACCACACTCCTGGTACCGGGCAGAGTAGTCTATTTCTGCCATATTACCTTTCAGACGGCAGCCCGGGTTGTCGTTGCTATCGGTGTATCTCTTCAGTCCGCGATACGAGGGACGAATCGGCTGTCATGCCGTACGAATGCGAACACGCAGAAGATCGAACCATTGATATGGGCCGTTCAGATGCCAAGTGCTCTATGCAACGCAAGCAAGACCTTTGGTGCTTCTATGGTGGGACGTGTCTGTATCTAATTCTTGCCCTTTGATCTGATCTCTTCGTTCATCTCAAAAACAAAACTGCTCCTTTTAAAAAATGCAGTATACTTCGCATTTTCGCCCTACGACATGGGCGAGGCGGCTGGGAGACGAAGTCGAAGCACGCAAGTGATCAAGGTTGCATCTACCATAACTGAATGACGGGTGGTGCAACGTAGTGTATATTCTCTAATTAAGCTCGATCGAACCCAGCCATATCCATAACAGGTAGCTCGTGGCAAAGGCAGCATTTCCCAAGTCCAACACGAGCGCGATTGATGGCCCCCGTGTTCCTACACGGATTGACACCATGTCTCATGAGCTTGACTAGAACAGAAAAGAAGTATCCCATGTGAAAAGTACTCGATGCCGAGGTTCAACGATTTGAAAATCATACAGTCGTCTCTTGTTTGACATTGACAGACGTGGCAGTATTGAAGGCCGGTTTCGATGGCAAGGTCGGAATATGCCTTTGCACGATGGTGCAGTTGGCCCCTGTCGCAAAGCGGCTGGCATCTCCACCTTCTATCTTGACGCCTGGATCAGCTTCCTGTACCGAGTTCCTGGCAGCCTGCTTTCGTTTGGCCTTCTTCGTATGATTTGCGTGACTCGGGTTCGGGACATCTGGGTGAAGCTCGATACCAAGCCTATGCATCTTGGCTCTGACCGTCTCGAATCCATTAACAGTGATGGTGCCCTGTGTCCCCGGGAAAAGACGACAAGGTCTCCCACTTTCATACATCGTACTTGGGTCGCGAAGTAAGGTAGGGTCGGTTCTGACGCGCTGCAAACAGGGTGGAGAATAGTCATAGGTTCGCCAGTCGGGGTACGTTCCGGAACAAATCTTGCCTAGTAAAAGTTTCCGCGCAAACTCCTTCGTATGAGGCAACTGTATCCTTGGGCAACCTTTGGCAGCCCAAGCAGCCACCCAGCAAGTCCTCGACTTCATAGGGGGCTTGTTCTGCCGACGTTCAACGAGATACAGGAATTCTATGCTTTTCCTGACACTCTTTTTGGCCCCTGTAATTTTGGGACAGCTGGAAATAGTGTGATTGCGTACGTTGCATATTGGGCAGGCGGAAATGAAGCCGTCGGTATCAACCGGTCCAATGCAGTCCTTAGCCTTGTGGCCTGCTCTGCAACAATTTGCACACATCATGCGTTGGTAGTCTGAGTCACAGACACCACTGAGTTGGTTCTCAGGGCCTCCAGATGTCTGCTGTGCTTGCGAGCTTGGTTCCTCCAGCATTCCTTGTTCTGTCATGGCGGTTGTCTGGCCCAAGATAATTCGCGAGAACAACTTGTCAACGACGCGTCTCAATTGTTTCACCTCCCGCTCGGCGTTTCGGAGTCCTAACGTCTCGTGATGATTCGTAGAGCTCGCTTCGACGCTAACACCGGTACCGGATGTACTCCTTTGAGTGTTGGAGGGAATGGGGTTCGTGGGCAAGGATGATGGCTTTGCAGCAGGAAACGTCATCGAAGCCCAGGCAGAATAGGCCCTTTGAAGACCGCCGCCGTACGAAAGATGGGATTCGAGCAGGTGGCATCCGTGTACGTAGTTGGTCGAGACACTGTGATGCTGGTGGTGGTTGTTCCCACCGGGAGCGGTGAGGTCGGCAATGGTGATCAGATTGCCAGCAACTGTGCCAAACGAACAGCAGGTGGGTGATTGTTTTTCGACAACACATACCACATCGTCGTATACCGTGTCGATGTATTGATCGCCTTCAAGACGACCTTCAAGTTGTAGTCCGAGTCCTTTGACGAGATTCCCAAAGATGCGGTTGCTTCCCCAGTGACCGAATAGCGAAGAGTCGATGACATAGACATTTCCCATGACAAAGTCAACAGTGAGACTCGACGGGAGCCTACCGGCATCATTTGAATCGCAATCGTATACAAGGAATATGTTTGCTGCAGCGTTTGAGACTTTCAGATTCCCATTGTGGGTGAAGATGTCGCCGGCAGCTGGGGTCGGGAGATTGGCGGTTGGGGGCATGGTTTGACAACTTTCAGGCGCCGACCCGATGGCGCGATCGAGTCTGCTTCTTGGGGAATCAAGGATTGAAGATCATGAGGTGGGATAATCTTCGTAAAAAGAATGCCAGGCGTCGGTGCGGAGGAGGTGTTTAAAGTTGGATGAGATGGTGGGTGGGAGGCAAGATGGCACCTTGGAGTTCCACGTTGCGAAGATAGGCAGAACGCAGCTTTCAGACGGTTCAGCTGAAAACAGGAGAGAATAAAAGCAGTTGGTCGACTGTCCTGCTTTGAAAGTGTTTCCGAGCTGTGGAAAGGGCAGGAAGGACCATGAACTGAAAGAGGAAAGTACTGCTTCCTTCCCTGTGTGCCAACATCGTGCCTTCCGGTCTGGGCCGCCAGGCCACTCGCTACCTACCCACTGATCAGCACCTGAGGCATCTGCAATCATGTCGAATCTGATGCAGGGCAGGTGTCGGGGTCGGGGCTGGTGCTGTCTCTGGAATTGCTGGTGCTGGCGAGGAGGGCGGGCAACTGGACGCGTTCCCGATCGAGGATCACATATAGCTGCAGCTCAGGGCATTCTCAAATTCATTGCCTGGGCCAGACGCTAAATCGCGAGGGCTAAATGGGCATCTGGTTCCTCAAAGCCAGCTCATTCCAAAAATATCCATGAAAATGAATTATCGATACAGTGCTCTTTGGTCCGTCATCGTAAGCTATGATACAGGATGGACAAAGACGACGGACCTTTTAATGTAACCCAACGGAACTATCCAGTATCATCCAGTCAAACAGCCAAACCAATGCAAACCCGCTGAATGCTGATCAGATTTCCCCTTTTCGAATGTCCTCCATATTCCGATAATTGTACACGCTTCAGGAATGGGGCAAATAAACCGCTGCCCTTCTACCCTTTATATGCAAGATAGGCCCAAAACAAGACAACCATCCACACAACTCTCCACGTCGAAGCGCCAATCTCGCGGGCCACGCGCCCGATTGTCGTCCTCGATCGTTGGGACGCCGCCTTCCACGTCAACCGCGGCATCCCGGTTCCATAGTCGTCTGGGAAAATTTCGATCCGTGGCGCGCGGTGCTGTGCTCCCCAACCCTGCTTCTTCAACTTGGTCCTCGGCGGCGGCATGGGGGCAGAACCATTGGAGCGGATGGATCCGCTCCTAGTCCGGGATGACGAGCCTGTGAGGAATCGAGAGCCAGACGTTGCCGACGTCGAGTGCATGCTGTAAATGCCGTCATCCTCCACCTTGTCCTTAATAGTCGGCAGTAAGGCACCCTGCGGCTGCTCGTCATGCAGGGCAAAGGGCGTCAAATTGAGGACTGGCACGAGGAACGATCTTATGCTAATCGCAACGATGGTGACAAAGGCAAGCCCGGCATACTTCGCGTATGTCGCGAGCTGGTTCGGAAGCAGGCAAAGGTGAGTTTGCAACGTTTTTGCCGGGGCACCAGGAAGGGGCTTTCCGTTAGTGTCGACCGGGTTGTACAGACTGACCATGAGGAAGCCAGGCGTAGGCACTCCCATGGCCATGCTCATACTCTTGACGGTAATTTCACGAACATTGTCCTTCTCCGGGGAGTGGACGACTTCGCAGTAGTCGTGGTCGTCGCCTGAAAACACCCCAACGATGTTGCCGACGCTCTTCACAAGCTTCACAGACTCGTCCTCGTTCAGCACGTTCTGGTACTGATAACCGCCCGAGACAGAGATTGCGTTTCGATGGTCCATGATAGGTGCTTTCTCCCCCTTCGGTGGCTTCGTAGGGGGCCAATGCTCTCGTTGCGGTCCGCAAGGCGTGCCTGGGTCTCGATATAAGGGAACATGAGTGAGCAGGACCGTGGGAAAGTCGGGACCTTCTTCACCCGGCGCAATAGTTGGCACCTTGACGCCTGCTGTTTCCAACTCCTCCACGATGTGGTCAAGAGCTTCCACTTCTACCTCGCCCCTCCAGAAACGTAGCTCTCGCTCCACGGCTTTCCTCTTGGCGAATCGGACGTCTTTCAAGAAGACGTCTGCTGGCGTGTGGATCGCCTTCAAATCGACCTCGGCTTGCCTCGACGAGACCGCGCTCAGCGACAAGGTATCGACAGAGACGATGGAGTGGTTGCCGATGACATCGACACGGTTCACGTCCCCAAAATATGTGTTGAAGCGATCTCTCACAGACCCCTTGACTTGGTCTCCGAAGCCAAGGTCGTGGTTCCCTGGCAAGCTCGCCACCAACCTGCGCCCTCTCTGCCAGTCGCCGGCATTGGTGCCGCCCAGCCCCCAGCTTTTGACGAAGATATCGCTAAAGCGCCCGTATTCCTTTAACCAGTACTTTTGGCCATAGTGATCGTTCCAGCTCTTGACGTGAACCTTCTCGTTCTTCGGTCGTCGGTTGACAGCCCATTCGGGGTCCTTGAAGTCGCTGTGCCCGGTCTTCCACTCTCGCCCACCGTCAAAGAGGTCGCCCAGAAAGAAGAGGGAGTCGGGCCGCAGCTGCGATTGGAGCTGCCGGTAGCCTCTGCGCATGTAGTTGTCGGTGATCAGGACCGTCAGGTCTTCCAAGGGCCATGGGCGACCGGGGTAGGATTTGGGATCGATGATTTGGGGGTCAGCGACGAGGACGAGGTGATGTGGGCTCGATCCGGCCGGCTACCAGAGAGTTAGCATTGTCGACTTCAGCATAACGCAGCAATTGACGTACCCAGTTCTCCCAGTTGCTCCATTTACATTCTGCAACTCGACTCTTAAAAACCCAGCCCTCGCCCCAGAGGAGCACGAGGAGCCAGAGACACACCAGCAGGTGCGGAAAGCTCAGAAGGCGGCGCGCAGTGAGATTCTGCCTCAGCCGCCTGCCTGCCTGACACATTATGCCGACCGCCAATCGTCGACCGCGGGTTTGCCAAAAGGCCCAAAGTGTTCTCAGTAGTCGGTGTAGGGCCGCGAGCAACGGTCTCAAGCGGGCGCGGAAATCGTCGTCATTGTAGTGTTGGAACGGGAGAGATGCAGACGCGAATGCAGGCTTCTTTGACCCCTTGTAGGCGTAGCCGTTGCTGTAGGGCGGAGCCATTCTGCTGGTGCTAGCCCGGCTGCTGCCGTTCCCCTGCAGCCCGTGTCGGTATCCCTTATTTCCCACTTCCCCTAGGCCCGCTCCGGAATGGATCGGTGCCGCAAACAGACTTGCGTATGCCAATGTTGGTACGCGTGCGTGTCAATGGCTCTTTGGGAGCGCGCGCGCGATCGTCGTTGGTAGCTTCGTTCGGGGAGACAGTTCAAGTGGTGGGCATAATTATGATGGAACCTCTATGGGAACGAAATGTCTGTCATTGAAAGAAACGAGGCAACAATGTGGTTTCCCTGAAAATGTTGTTCGATCAAGTTGGAAGTCAACGTGATTATCATGGAGTATATACACAGATTGATATCTTGTCGCAAATGGGAAAAGTAGAGAAGTTAACGAGTGGCAACAAGCGCAGCAATTCACGAATCACAATGGGATGCGTACAGGATGGCCCCGGCAAACCTAACTGGGTTCCGTATGCCAATGTCCGGCCAGCCCAGCTTAATGCCCCAGGAAAGAGGGTACAGCGCTAGAGCCCCCCGAGACACTGGCACACTGGAAATGGAACGTCCCCCACCTTGATAGCCCCCACCCCTTTCCATTATCTCCTTCGCCTTGGTCAGCTAAGGAAACACGCCCTCGCAAACTCGAAGCATGGACGGATCGCATCGGGTTCCTTGCCATCAGAAAGGAACTTTAGTCGAAGAAGAAACCTTGGCTTCGCACAGGATTTCTAGGAGTCTATCACATATTTCGCCATCGGATTTCGAGGATGGCGTTCAAACGTGCAGTGCCGACTAGGTTACTTGCATCGAGACATCCCGAGTGAGATCGGTAGACAGGGTTTCCAACGCCTTCGGTGCTGGGGCATCTCGAGGCTTCACATCCTTTTCCTTCTCACCAAAAAATATTTCCACAACAATGGGACTATGGTCATGAATTGATTTGGCTTTGTGCGTCATGGGCGCATGAGAAATTGTGGTGTTGCCACGGTGCAAGTGCCGGGGTTCGCCCATGTAACACAGTCAGACGTGTAAATGAAGCCATCACCACCAACATCACGCAGTCACACCTCTCCCACCCTACGACATGTCGATACAGCTCCTTGTTGCGAACCACCAGATAAAAGACCCCAAACGGCTCGTGCCAAGTCCCGACAACGTCCCAGCCGGACCGAGATCTCACTCGTCTCGTCCTCGCAAGTCTCTGAGCGTCCACCTCCACCTCCACGCCCTGCAGACCAGCAGGGGGTGCGCCTGCCGCAGTCTCTCTCCCCGTGACTTTTTACGCAATCCCGCCTAATACACCCGGCTACCGAAACGTTACCTACTGACCTAATGCTACAAAGCTATCACAGGGTGGCAGTTCGACTCGTCTTGTTGCTAGAGTCTCCCGCATTCCAAGTCAAAGGTTCCTGAACACGACTACCCCCTCTTCCCTCCTTCCACACAACCTGACCCTCAGAACGAGATCCACGGTTGCGACATATCACGCGCAACCTCACGCAATCACCGATATGCACCGCCAATTCATAACCGCCAGGGGGGAACAGGGTGTAGCAGTAGCTCAATGACACACCCAACTTCTCTGGCACCGAGCTTTCTCTCCAAGACCTTAGGTACTGGCGACTCTTCGGTCAAAAGGCTTAGAAGTTTCCACCAATGCACCAGCTGGAAGACTACGGAGTCTGTTGCGGGTGGTGTAGGCGTCCACGTGGTATATCTGGGGCACGGTCTCGAGAGCTGGCGAAAAAGGGGGGGGGGGGGGGGGGTGGGGGGGGGGGGGGGGGGGGGGGGGGGTGTTTGGTGGGCATTTTTGGGATAGGGGTGGGGTGGCCTCACGCCCCGGTTCCCCGGGGGGGGGGGGGGGGGGGGGGGGGGGGGGCAGGGGGTGGGGGGCGAGGGGGGGGGTGTGTTGAGGGGGGGCTTTGGCGAGGTGGGGGGAAGGGCCTAGGGCTAACGGAGCGGCGGGGGGAGGGAAGGTTGAGCAAGGACGCGAGACGGGTGAAACCAAGGTTCCCTTCCCCCCGCCTCACGATGCTAGATAAGGTAAAGCAGAGGCTCGGAAGCCCGCGCTCACGAAACCGTTCTAGGAAATATGGAAGAAGCCTCCCGAGGTTCTGGACTGCCGCCGTCTTATATCAACCCGTCGTAAACGGTACTAGCAGAGGTGTGCATACCGTTGGTCATGAACACATCATCAAGCGGACTGGTTCCAAGAATCAGCCTCCCTGTCAAACGGTGGCCTGGAAACGTTCAAGGATGGCATCGGGAAAGGTAGCACGAGACTCGTCTACAAGTTTGTAGCAGCCGAGAGATGGGATGTGACTTCTCAGCTCAGGACGCAATATGGACACGCAATGTGGTCCATCCTTGCCCATTTTGACCTCACCTGTCTTCTCAGGACACCCCGGAGTCTACCCAGAAGCTGATGGGAATACGGCTACTTCATTGTAACTCTCTCTCACTGGTAACAGCCTATCTCGTGCTCTCTCTTCGCATCCGCAAGCTTCGGGTCTTGCTCAAATAGGTAAGTCAGCGATGCCAAAAAGTGTACGTGCAGAACAAATCTTATTCGTTGCCTCGATGGATGGGCATGTTTCCCATACACAAAAGTCTTTCTAAACGACCCCGCAAGGCATTGAACTTAATCAGATAAACAAGAAATGAAAAGAAGATGTGGTACAGCAAGTGTCAAGCAGCATCAAGCCCGAACTAGAAGACCCAATTGAACGACTCTTTGACTTCGAACTGGACGGCGTGTCTTGAGATCAAGTTAGCCTCTTTTCATCAGGGTCAATATTGGACGACTTACTTAATGTCAGCAGATGATGCGCCAATGAGAATCTTGAAGGTACCCTCCTCCGCGATCCACCCCGGAACCGATGTGTCATAGTAGCCTACAGCATACTTGTCGAGGTGAATGTTAAGGTGCTTTGTTTCCCCGGCTTCTAGGAACACCTTCTCAAAAGCGACAAGCTCCTTTTCCGGGCGGGGTAACCTCGACTTGTCATCCCGCACATAGATCTGTACGGCCTCGGAGCCAGGTACTGAGCCAATGTTACTGACGGCGAAGACAACCTCAATCGTTCCCCGAGGCTTTAGTATCTTTGTGCTGATTGATGGACGGCCGTATTCGAAAGTGGTATAGGAAAGACCGTGACCAAATGGGAACAGCGGCTCGATTCTGGCTCGCTCATAGTGGCGGTACCCGATGTACAGACCTTCCCCGTAGTTGACCTTCAGGTTTTCGCCAGGCCAGTTGTTGTAAGCGGGCGTGTCCTGAATGCGTTTCGGGAAAGTCGACTTTCATAAGTGTTAGCACAATTTGCAGAAACGACAAACAAAAGGGGGGCGGGGCTTACTGGGAGCTTCCCACTTGGGGACTTGATGCCGAATAAGACGTCGGAGAGAGCATTGCCGGCCTCTTGTCCCTGGTACCAGCCCTGAATAATGGCTGGAACTTGGTCGACCCAAGGCATAGTCACAGGTGTGCCTGATTGGTTAACGACAACGGTGCGAGGGTTCGCCTTGACCACTGCTTCGATGAGCCGGTCCTGACTACCGTCGGAAGGTAGATCCATCGTCTGCCTATCGTACCCTTCCGACTCCCATTCTGCATCCAGGCCAACGATGACGATTGCTACGTCAGCCGCTGTGGCCGCATCAACGGCCTCCTGGAGGAAGTCAACTTGATCTTCTTCCTTGAACCCGATCCGGCAGCCTCCGTACTTGTGCGTTATGCCGAACTGCTTCTGCTTGGCTACCGGTCGAAGCTCGTTGGTCATGTCCACTTTCAGCTCCACAGGCTTGCCAGCCTCCATCTCAACCTCGACGAGGTAGTCCACAGACCCATCAAACATGGCCTCTCCTTCCTCGGTCCAGTCCCAAAGATCCAGGGCAAGCTGGCCATCGACGTACAACTTGCCGGGCCCAACGCTCATGAAGCTGACCGTATGCTTCCCGGTAGTCTTAGACGTAAGGTAAGTGGTCGCAATCGCTGACCATTCGGGGCCAGTCTCGCCAAGGGGGGCGGAATCCCATAAAAACAGATCAGTATTCACTCGTCTCTGTACAGCAACCACCTCGCCTTCGAACTTATCGCCAGAATACCAATCAATGTTGACACCTGGCTTGCCTGACTTTTCGGTACAATATGGCGATGCGACTGGAAGCCATTTGTAGATGTGACAGCCTTGAGCAAAAGTAACTTCTTGCTCAGAAGTGGCGCGGATACTGTCCAGGGGAAGTGTTCTGTAGTATGGGTTCAAGCTCGCGCTTCCTCCACCACCAGCAATGGCTCGGTTTGCGTTTGGTCCAATGACGGCGACCTTGGTCGTCTTCTGATTCAAAGGAAGAACCGCACCGTCGTTTTTGAGGAGAGTGAGGCCCTCAGCGCCAGCGATGCGAATCAGTCTCCGTGTTGACTCGCGATTATCTTCTTTCTCTGGTAGCTCTGCTGACATTTCATCGCCCTTGAGGCGCTCAACGAGGGTCAGAACGTTCTCAGCGGCGCGGTCGATGTCTTCTTGAGCTACTTTGCCCTCGTTCATGGCCTCAATCACCTTTTCGAAACGCCAATTTGGGGAATACGGGAACTCGACATCGCACCCGGCAATGATAGACTCGGCTGTTGAGTTCGTGCCCCCCCAGTCGGACACGACGGTTCTAAGAGTAAGTCAGTATACTGTTTCCCTCTTGGTTGGACCTGTCTCACCCATCGTAACCCCACTCGCCTCGTAGAATGTCCCTCAGTACAAAGTTGTGCATGTCTGCGTGTACGCCATTCACGAGGTTGTACGAGGACATGAGAGCCCATGGATTCGCTTCTCGTACAGCAATCTCAAACGGCCGTAAGTAAATTTCGCGCAACGGACGCTCTTGTATTAGAGAATCTATTGTCAGCCTGTGTGTCTCTTGCTCGTTGCCAACAAAGTCTATTAAATGTCAGAAAGAGTAAAGTCCTTCGAGGATGCAATGTACAAACGTTTAATAGTTGCGGCCACACCTCTCTCCTGCAAGCCACGGACATACTGAGCAGCCAGTTTACCGGTCAGAAGAGGGTCCTCAGAGAAAGATTCGAAGTTACGCCCTCCCAAGGGATGTCGATGCATGCAGACCGTCGGCGCCAGCAGGATGTTCGCGGATCTTGCTTTAGCCTCGTCGGCCAAATGCTGACCAACCTCGTAGAGCAGTTCCTTGTTCCAGGTTGCCGCCAGTGAGACTCCGCAGGGGAAAAGAGCAGCCTTTCGAAATCAGCTATCCAGTCGAGGACAGTCATCAGCTGTGACTAACCTTGGTTCCGCCGACGAAAATACCACCACGGGCACCGTTAGGTCCATCTGAGGTCTTTACTGACGGTATGTTTTTGGATGGAATAGATTTTGTTCTCCAGAAATCTGCCGCTGTAAGCAGCGAGACCTACAAACTATTAATGGGAACTCTCTGCTTCGAAGCGATTGTCATATTTGCCGTACCTTCTCCTCCAACGTAAGCTGATCCAACTTCTTCCTTGCCGCAACTCTGGTGTCTTTCAAGAGTTGCTGGACCTTTTGTTGGGGGCTATACGGCGGAGAAAACACCGTGTTTGGCGTCGAGTTCCTCGTCTCGGTTTCGGGTGGAGAGAGAGGTGCGTCGACATCGCGCCCAGCTCGGCTGTCTGTCAAAGTGCTCATTTTGACGAACGTCCCAAATGCCCCATACAATTCCCAGGGTGGCGTCTTTCTTCTTCGTCAAATGATATTTGCAAAGGTAAAACCCTGGAGCAAAGCAAGTTTTGATGGAGCACGTCGGCTGGGAGTGGGGGTGCTTCTGTAATGATAGTCGTATTCGTCCGAAGAGAGGCTAACCAATTTCAGGACACAAAAGAGTCTCAAAAGCCTCCAGAATGGCCTCTAGAAGATCCCTCTCTCTTTGAGAAGCCAAGTTTCGAATGGTTTGGTAGGTCTTGCGGCTACAGGACAGACCGTACGTCAAGTAGAAGAATGGTGATGGATGCATGTGAGATTTATATGAGACTCGAGGGGGGGCAGCCGACTGCAGACGCGGATGCTCACATGAGTCCGACATTTATCCGTCTAAATGAAAGACGATCACTGGAAATGAGGCATTATGGGCCTAGTTGCAGAGGGAAGGAAAGGAAAAGGACTAATAGCAAGGGTCACGGAAGGGGTGAGCAACAAAGTACAAAACGGCGGGAATTCGAAGAGTTGAGCGGGCGTATGGGGGACTAGTGCGTCTAAACGGAGAGGGACTTTCCCACGTGCGGCTACGAAACGGAAGCTTCAATGACAACTTGTCGGATGTTTGTGGGTAATCCTCCGTCCGGCATCGATAGGAAACGGAAAGTCCGGTGGTGCATGGCAACATTGGCAGCCGGGATGGGGAGATTTCTCACCACCCCGGACAGGCGAGTTGGTGTCAAGATATCTGCGAGTAAAGAATACCGCAAAGCCGCCGACAACAACGGCAGTGGGGATTTGCAGCGTTCCAAGTCGTGTCACTTGACTTCATGACCAGCCGATGCTCTGCGTTCCCCCGTCATGCTGCTGTGCCATGCCAAACTATACCTATCCAAGGGCGCTCTCCGTACTTATTATCTGGTACTCTCTGGGCGTTACGGGCTCCTCGGTAAGAACGGACCGTTCGAGCGGTGGACGCAAGGTAGGTCGATGGGGATGCAGTTGGAGTTATTTGGGGAGTGCATTGTGTCAGTGGACAAATGACTGCAAGAAAACGAACGGCCAAGTCGGGGAGAATTGGGGTTACGCTACCTACCTATTTTGCTTCACGTCAGCTTTCTCAAGGGGCGTGAGGATAGGGGCAGCATTCCTGCAACATCAGTTGAGCCGAAGAAGGCAAGGCGGTGACCGGCAAATAGAAAGCTGGTGAATTAGCAGGCACCCGAGTCTCGTAATGACATGGTGCTATCGATCTCGTCAGCCTTCGGTGCATCGCTGCCGAAAGTTGCGTTCCGTCTGGTTGCATACGCATTGTCAAGGTTGTTAAACAACTCACAAAACCATGGCAAGAAAGCGAGATGCAATGAGAAACCGGCTGCCCAGCGTTTGGAAACTAAGATCTTAGCTCACGATCCCAGCCAGGACCTGGTTTCATCCTACATGAAGCTTCTCATGAGCGCTTAGAAGGGGCTCCCGGCAGATCGGAAGTTGTCGCCGCGTGGTCAGGGAATCCAGGGACGACGGACAGACTGGCCTTCGTTGCACTCTTCCGGGGAACCTGCAAGCCAATGTCCTGTAGCATTAGATCATTAGGGAGAACCCACCAGTGATCCAGACGGAGCAGCGGAATTGGCAACGTCCCCCATTGGCCATTCCGTGGACCCTGTTGAAAGAAACCCCAACCGTGCGATTGGGAGCATGGGGGGCCAGTCCGACGACCCCGGTTTTGGTGGAGGGGCTTGGCTTGTCATCATCGTCTCAGATGATGGACAAGTACAATACCCAGTGATTTTCCGGTCCCGCAAGGGATCGACAACCTGAGCTTGTCGGCAATGAGAGATATAAAAGGCTGCATGCGGCTGCTTCGAATTTTGCTCAGTGGCAACAATGTTTGGCGAAGAAGCATCCAGTAGGATAAGGCGGACAAGAGCCTGCATGGCTGATGGCAAGATATCGAGATCCGGGGGGACCTGAGGTCTGAACCTCGGGAATCGATGGTAAGGGACCCGAACAACGGCTTGACGGCCCGCCTTGCCCCTGAGCAAGGCAGATTGGCTAGCTGGGAAGACAAAATGGCATGTCGAGACTGGGGGAGGTGGGGACCGGATTTCGAGTCCCGGCAGAATGGCGTTTGGGTCTCTGCTTCAAATTTGTCCCGCTGACAGATCCCTGATCGGCTGGTTGCTTGCGGCTACTCCTGGGAAGCTTCCCTATTGGTGCCGGATTGTTCGCCATAGTCGCAGGTGGTCGAGCTCGGACGGGCTCGCGCTGATATACGACCTCTGCCTTGTTAATTTGAGAGCGTCGTGATTGATCCCAAGAGAGCGACTGCAATTATACGTCGCAAGCTGTGGGCTGTTATCAGGAGCAGCCATCATTGAACCGTGGCCTCCCGATACTTCTGCTGTCGATGTGAAATGTAAGCCCGGCAGGGGATGCGGGAAATCATCTTCCCATGAACCGGAAACCGAGCGAGATGGCTTTGTTATCTAGCCTGAGGATCCCGGTTCGGAAGACGCCCGTTGACATAGACGACGGTTGGAATTGAAGAGGATTGCGTCGGTTCAAGAACTGCATTGTGTGCCTCGGCGATAGATCGAGGCGGGCTTCAGTAATGAGCTGTTCAGACAATACCTGGGTGCGGTGCATGGCTACGTTGCAGCCACACCTTGGTGAGTTGAGCCGCGTACCAGTCCGTCCACTTGGGTTAAGAGTTTAAACGACGACGATTCGCACCGCCGACAATAGACTTTACGCATTTTTTGTTCAGTCCAGTACCGTCCTGGTTCGTTTGCCGATGTCAAAATGGCCGTTCGTCTCATGTACGAATAGTGCGACTATGGACGGAATGGCGATGTGACCTGTCAAGACTCCATTTCCACTGGGACGTGACATATGTGAATTGATGAGAGCCAGAGCTTGGCGTGAAGGGTCCGACTGTTGCGGAAGTCTTTCCCGGTAACTTTTGCAGTTGCATATCGAGTAAGGATTTCGCAATGTCGTTGACTGATTTGTTTTGTCTTGGCTTAGAAGGCAGTAATGACTCTCGACAAGGCAGTATTGAACCAAGCACAGAACGCCACATCGGATCCATCCAGTACGGAGTGTGCTTTCCAATTCCGATGCGCCACGATGTGATGTAAAGGGAGCCGCGGAAGGCAGGTCAGCTCGGGTACCTTACCTGAGAATAGATGGTTCTGGCACGGAAGTCGCGGAGCAAATACAGGTAGTTGCAGCGGGAGATGCGACCCTGAGTTGGGCTCGGGGGCGTCTGAGGCCCGCGGAGTGGACGTACCTCACCGGCGTGAGCCAGAAAGCGCAGGAACACCCGTCGGAGTATTTCTTCGTGCGGCCGTACCTGAGCCTCGTCGCGTTCTCAACCTCCCGTCGTTGGTTTCCGGATATTCGAACATTCCGTCACAAGATCTGAGGTCCGTCCCGTCCAGTCTCAACCCAAGCAGCAGCCGTCAAACCCGCCGGAGTGGGAGCGGAACCGCCTGCTTTGCTTTCATGATCTCCACCATTCTGGTCAGGCCTCTCTATGTGGATGCTTCTCCTGCCACTATTAGGTAGGCTGCAGATCTAAAAGTTTGGAGAACAGTGGAGTGCGGGGAGCTGCATCGTCCCCGCCTCGTTCCCTTGTCCAGCTCTACTCTATGATGACATCGACGATGGCGAGTTCCCAATGGAGCACATCTTCCAACTTCCTGTTCTCTTGAAGATTCAAGTTTTCGTGGTTGGCGGAGCAGCCCGAGCATGGCAGCAAGTTACCACACCCGAGAGCAGCGCTGGCCGTCGGCCCTTCTACAAAACAATCCAAGCATTTCCTTGCTCAAACGTCAAACAACGTCCACCGTTCACTCTCAGCCATCCCTGCCTGTCTGTCTAGTGGATCTTTCGTTTTCATCGGCGACCACACCCAATTGCCCTATCTATGGCGGCAACTCAACGCCTGCGCCAGTTCTAGTTCCTATCGCCGGCAGCCGAGTCGAGGCCACATGTACAGGTTTGCCGCGCCCGACTGCCGCCTGCCCGGCTTCATGGCCGAGCTCGTGCCGCCATCCATGTGGACATCAGAATAGACACCTCGTCACTCGGCTCTTTCGTGATGTTTGGCAATTTCCTGTCATCTTTCGGGTCGCTTGTGACACCTACAAGTCTATCTCCTCGGCCGCTGAAAGTTATCCGATCATTTACAAGCCGCAGGCCTGACAATATTCCACGACGACACTGAACAGCACCTTCACAATACATCTACAACTTGGTCTGGTTTTCCATCTACATCGAACCCACGTATCCAAGTTGGTGTTCCTGTACCTAATTAATAGTCTGCCTGTCGCTCTTCCTTGCCTCTTAGCGAGGTTTAAACAGTCTCCAGCGTCTGGCGACGCAGGTTAACAGGAAGACATGCCCCCCCTTGCCAGCCGGGTGTCACATAATATGCTGTCACAGGAGCCTCAGTCATCAGAGAATGCCATCAGCCCCACGCCACAGGAGCCAATTCGACATCGCGAAAAGCAAGACGACGATGAACTGAGCCAACATCGGCCAGAGACTACTCAAAATGTTCCCAAATCGGAAAAGGACAACACTGAGGCGTCGAGTGCGGAGTCATCGGCCCAGAACCCGCCGTTGTCAAGCAAAGACTGTGTCATCAAACGGTTTTGGAGCGAACAAGTCAGCGTAGTGGTGGATTTTGAGACTTGCCGCGACCACTTAGGTACGTCTAGTGCGCATCAGACCTGTTGTCCCTGGGCTTTATACGCCCGGCGTCAATTCAGAGCCCTTCAAGACTGAGTTGGGAATGCCCCTCTGCATCCTCTCCAAAGCTCTGCTACCCCGTCCCAATTCCACGGGAAGAGGGTGGGATGTCACTGTTCCGGGTGTGTGTACACCGGATGGTCAACTTAGTAGCAGTCTGCAGGGTTTAGTGACTCTGCCGCCTCACTGTTCCGTGATCCGAACCTCACCGAAATCATCATTCGTGTGAGTGACGGTTGTCCCGAAAGTCGTGTTCTCACTACTAAGGTGTCGACCCCTGATCCATGATACGGACGGACGTGTTCATCTACCTTTATCCGTTCCCTGCATAGTAATTCTTGCGTGGTCAACAATTGGATTTAGACACCACCATTTCTCTGATATCATTTAATTTTACATTCTCCCTCTGCGAGATGGATACGCTTTTCTTTCTTTTAGGGTTCCGCAGAGTCGCACTCAACATGTGGACGGCGCTTTCCTCGCTCGGTCACTGATCATTATGGGTCAACCCATCGCTGTACTGCAACATTGTTTTGAGGATTCCTCGCTGCCACAGGCTTCTGCCGTCTTTTGCCAGAAAGCTACCATGATCGCAAACTTCACCGCCATCCCCACGTTATCAAACCTTATCTTTTGTCTTCGTAGCCGAGGATCCATTTCAGTTCACATTTCAGTTCACATTTCAGTTCAATAGCTGACAGAAGTTCTCCCTGTTTTCAAAGCCATTGAGCGGACCTTTTTAGGATACCTTCGTACTTCAGTAGCCACAGCTATCCTAGGAACAGTGGTAGCGCAGCTCTTCGCTTTGCAGGCGTCAGACACGGGGTTTGGATTCACGCTCGTAGGCAAACCTCTTGCCACTTTGTGTTACAGCTTCTCGATATGTATCGTATTGCTTGGGGCGTTCCGTGCCTGGAGGCTCCAGCATGCCATGTTTGCCGGGAAGGCATTGACCGGAGGATTCGAGATCACGACGCTTGCGTTGGGACTCTTGGCTGTATGTTTCTCTCACACTCTTAGGCACTTCTAGTGGCCCACCAATACGAATAAAATCTGTTACTGACGTTGTTACAGCTATCGGTTGTTTTCTTCGGCTTTCTTATAGCTCTTGATATCGTTGAAGAACCATCAGGATAGATGACGTCTTTGGACTGCCTGCCGCCGTCCGAAGGCTGCAGGCACTGGTAACGACTGGCCCAATGTGGTGCCGAATGAAATCGGTTGTCGTTTGTTTATTTTTATAAAAAAACGAAGATTTTCCGAGGATATTCTGTCTTTGATTGATCAGTACGTCCAAGCTAGGTATTCAGTGGCAACCGCTCTTGTTTCTCGTGGCTGTAATGTCAAGCCGCTGATTACAACAAGCGCAGAAGCTACTATTACCGCATAAACCCGTACTTTTTCACTAAAGACACAATTTTTCTTCGCGTCAGTTCAATATGAGCCGAGATCCAGACGCGCTCAATTTGAAGAGCGGGACGAGGGCAGACAAGTCGAACTTGGAGCCGTCGTGCCGTGTCTCGGCGAAGATGAAGCGCCGGTCGCCGCAGATTGATCCACGAATCGACATCCCATCAACTATTTATGAAAGAGTATTCCTATGAAGAGGCTGTGGGCTATACTTCTGACATACAATACATGAATGATCATTCACGAGTACCTGACTAGTTCGGATCAAAACAGGTTCTTGAACTCTGGTCCGGAGCGAAAACCAAGATGCTCGCGCGCGTATTACAGCCGGCGGCAATCCCATTTGAGAAAGCCTGTAGAGCCCGGATGCGTTTGTGAAGCCAGGACGTATCGGTCCAATGGGTGGGTCACCGCCGACGCCTCCCGGGACCGAGTCGGACCTGAGTGGATACTTCTTCTTCGGCACCTAGTCCGAGCTGCCGCGCTCTAGGCAGAAGCTCACGTGTCGACCAAGCGCACTTCGTGTCTTCCTGATATTGTGTCATCATACCTCATTCTTACATTGCTTTCATTCGGCATTGATTTGACCACTTCCTCGTCCGCCAGTCACCCGCACCTCGTAGCCTTTGGAACTTTTTTTTCGTTCACACCCAAAACGCACCGCATCCGGGTTTGACCTCTCAAAAGTCACTCCCCTGGACCGTGTTCCGTGATGGTGGGTACTATATGCATACTTAGGCTCAATTATCAAAAGCACAACATCCTGCAGACGCTAATACTGAAATCTTCAGTCTCCTGTGATTTACTCGAATCTCGATTGTAAACCCCGGCCCGTTCTCCCCATCTCGACTGCAGCATGAACTCCGCCCGTTCAGGCGAGGAGGTAGATGCGGGTCATCGCGCGCCTCCTCCTCCTCCTTCTCCTCCTGCCGGTGAAGACACGGGTCTTACACCGACGACTCAGAGTTCTGAGAGGCGCCAGGCAGCAGAAAGTATGTCGTAAAAACTCTAAACTCCCACCGCACAAAGAAATATCCTGTCTGGTCATGTGTCGCAAGCTAATGCATAGGGGCTGGCTGGCGTATAGGACCCATCGACGTCGAGCGCCAATGTGGGGTCCCACTGCCCGCGGGCCGTCACTGTGGAGGGTCTTTGGCTTGCAAGAGGCACTCGATGAGCTCGAAACGCTCCGTGGCTGGGCGATCTGCCCCGTACGACCAGTTACTCGCTGCCCTTATAGAGAGGAATCGATCTGAGAAGAGGGCCTTGGAAGAGACTAGTTAAAGGCTTCACGTATTCGTTTGTCGTCGATATACGCAGTCACTTGCATGGATTCGAGCGGTCAGTGGCATCTTTACGGTCGAGTCGAGCCGGTGAAAGATGGATATAGTGTTGAAGATCAATCAAGTGGATATATCAAGTCTTGTTCCAGCCCTCCGGGAGGAGATGGGTTCCTGTCCAAAGGGGTAATGTTGGCCCTTCTTTCCGGGCCGAACGGTTTTCTCATACTTTGAGGATGACTTGCGAGCAACGACCAAGGCTGGTGAGCAGGGCGCCATAATTGCATATGAGGCTTGCATCGGCATACTGCCTCCGCGCTCCATACAATCTGGCAGGGAATTGTAAGGAAGGATTACTGTGTCACGCAGTCTATAGTCTCCTCGGTGGCGATGTACCACAATCTCGTACCAGAACCTTTGTTGTCTAGGACCGCTGCGAAATCGGCCGACTACACTCACACCGGTATCCTGCACCCAATAACCGACGTTGATGTGGTGGCTGGAGCAGACAGAGTTCCGCCGGCAGATGTCAGGAAGTACAAGATAATTACGAGACGCCACCTCTGTACTATTTTCAAAGTTACCAGGCAGGGGAAAGAGCTCGCATCCTTGTTTTCTCTAGTCTAGCGTTGCATCAACTTAATAGACTTTAATAAACAGAGTATCCGGAGATGGCATGTTGAATCCAGTATCCGTGCCGACTCCCTGTCAAGCTGTATACTTTACAAGCAACTAACCATTCCTTGCGCGCAAATTTTAAGAGACCTGTAGACCTGTGTCCCTACTCTTCAGCACCATCCCCTCCGTTGTTCCTGGCCCTACTGCTCATACTGCCATTGCGCATACGAGTGTGCAGAGCGCACTGCCCAGATATACTAGGAAATATATTAGTTAGCCCCTAGCCCGCTCTTCTCGCCGTCTCAAGCCAAGCTAACTAGGCGAAGCCTGAAAGCCCATCGTCTGCTCTTGCTCGTCGCCATGTGTATGCCTCATGTCGGCGTGCGTAGTCACCGGCGACGTGCTACCTACCGATGAAAAAAAGCAGCAACGTGGAGTTGTTGACGCCTCAGACGAAGTTCTTCCCATTTGCTCTGCCTCTCAAATCCGGCCCTCTAGGCAACTTCTCAATTGTCAGGATACAGCGCGTCGACCGGCTCATTGACAACGGTGACGACGATTGAGTACAGACAGTACTCGCTGGTGGCTGAAGACACGCGCAAAGCTACTGCGAGCCAGGCCTGTCATTAGTGGATCCAATCTCTAGCGGAGGAGATTACAATCAATGCCAGAAGCATCCGCAGGCCGTGGCGCCTCGAACCGTCGTTACCCTTCGGGCCGGGGAGCAACGACTCTGGATAGTCCTCGCTGTATCACAGCTCCAACAGGAACTCAGATTGAGTGGAACCCACGTTATGCCCAGACAGTAAGTCTGTGTTGCGGAAGATGGCCGTAGAAAATATTCAAGAGCATAAAAGTCACATTGGAGGTATTGTAGACACGCAGCGAATGCCCAGTCTACCCCGCGGGCTACGACTGTGCATAAGTGGAACTTCAGAGCCCAGCTAGAGTATATCAAGATCAAGAAGATGCTCAAGGCTTCATTTAACGTTCAAACCGTGAAATATTGCATGTGCCTCAGACATGACGATGGCGTCTGATCCTGTGTCTGGTAGGGCTTCGATAGGCTTGGCATCGATGAGACCATAAAGATGCCGCCTCTCGTTTTCAAGGAAGCGTAAACCGAGTCGCCTGTTGACTTGAAAAATGGTAGTGACAGTCCGGTTTTGGTACGTCTTCACTGGCCCTGTGGTATGATGGAAGGGAGCTGAGAGTCAGGTCATAAGCACGACGCTGGAGACTGGGGCGTTTCAGATCCGATACTTTCTCTATCCCCTCTGGAACTGAAGAGTTAGCGGTGGCGGTTGGCGTGGTTAGTGATGGTGATGTAACAAACGTCCTCACGAATGCACCTCCCTCGTGCGGAATGCCTGACCATGGACACATCAAGATATTTGCAGCAGCGGCAACAAAAGAGGCACAATCGTATCGAGACACGCTGCCGCCGTGGTTGTGTTTGTCAGTCACGGAGACCTATCAGGAAATCAATGCTGTCAATCGTGGTGAGCAGAAGCCGCCGCCCGCCGTGTTTTCCATCATCGCCCTCATCGGTACAAGAGTACGGAGAGCGATTGCAAAAGGATTGACCAGCTAGATTAGTCTTGTCCGCATCTCGAAGACAAATCGTGGAAAGGCAGCGTCTCTAACACTGAATAAAATAGCCTAGCCCTGGGAGGTGTCGTGAAAAGGTTTAGTCGCCGGGGCCGAGCTGGGGAGTCCACAACGGCTCCCGGCCTGGGCGACCGGACTCGACGGGCGGGTATCGCAGCCGGGGATGACAGGGATGAGTGGCGGATGCTTGAGAAACTCGCAAGGCGGCGACGAGGGCGGAAGACGACGACAACTTGGGGGCGAAACCACGTTTTTTGGCATGGCACCGAAATCGGAGCTGACTGGGATGGCTGGACAAGTGCGCCAATGATTCCTGAAAAGGAGTGATCAACCCATGACGAACGTATCCCTGGGTGTTGGGAAATGGTCGGGTGTACCACAGTAACACTGAAATGATGGAAAAGCTCCGAGCCGAAATTTCCCACCGCAACGGTACTCCGACCCGAGCTGGTGAACACTGGGCTTCGGTTACAGTTGCACGCTTTCGAAGGAGCCGTGGTGCTGTTGCAGGAAGTGTCGGGACTCGGAAGGGAGTGCAAGACAAGTGCTGGAGAGAGACGGGCTGACTGGTGGCTGGCACGGCTGGCCAGGGTGCCTCAGTGAGAGAGCAGGAGCTAAATACCAGAAATACGTATCCTGACCGTGGAACTTACCTAAGGTACATTAGCACGCTTAGGTTCGGATACCGCCATGCCACCTCAATCAACCAGTACGAAGAAGCCGCGATGCAGGTCTGGTGGGGGTGGTTCTTGTCTCTATTCGGCCAATGAGAGGCCGATCGCAAGCGGCCCCCGCAGCCCATCGGCCAAGAATGCGCGCAGAGAGACGGGACGTTGATACTGTTGGACAGAAAGCCGGAAGCTTTGATAATACTGCATCATCACGGTCTAGTCTGCAGTGTGGCTTCTCCCAAGGTACCTTATCACCTTACCATAGGGAGGGAAGGTACTCGGTAGATCCGCCTGATCTCTGGCTGTAAGGTTCACGGGCATACATGCCCGAAGCTCGGGCTTTTTGTCACTGAGGTGCGGTAGCGGCAGCGGCGATGGGGCCGGTGCTGAAGCGGAGGACCGATGCATTTCCGAAGCACTCGGGCTTCGCTGGCTCTTTCACCAGTTCTTGCCCAGCTCGGGTACCTTACCTTGCGTTTGAAATTAGGTTCCTCTAGTCGATAGTGAAAGCTGAACCATCTAGGTACGGAGACGTCAGGTTCCCTTCGCTTTGCTTCCATCTTTCATCCCTCCACCCGGATTACATCTTACATCCCCTTTCTAAAGCTGATCTCTGTCTGAGTTGACGGTGCCCTGAGATGCCACTTGCCCCCCTTTGCCCCCCCTTGCCCCGTGCCCTTTCCCCTTCCCGTACAGTTGGAGCCGGCCCCTGGTTCCTATGCATCCATCTCATTTGTTTGTTTTTGCGTGCTGCGAGCAGCCAACAGTGAGCACGTGTTATTCGCCCGCAGAGGGGGAAATAGTAAAATAGTTTCCAAGTTCGTACGCTAATTAATGAGGCGAGGAAGAGGAGAGACAGCCTACGGCAAGAGGGTAAGAAAAAGAAAAGACAGGCCCATTCCGTCTAAATACCCACCCACGAATATCAGTACATTTCTGCAAACCGTTCGCTGTTGGATTGCGCATTGCGCCGTCTCTGCGTCTGACCGCGTTCCGGCTCTTTTTCTCCAGTTCTTTAACCCCCCCGACTCTTATCCATCCCAAGTAATTGTCGGTATCCGTACAACATCTGAGAAAGGAGAGAGCGTGAGAGAGACCGGCTGCAGCAAGAGCAGTAGGCACCGGGCACCGGGCACCGACAACTCACAAACCAAACAAGCAAGCAAGCAAGCAAGCAATGCAGAACGAGAGCGATATTATTCCCACCCCGTAAAGTCAAGATACAGCGTAGCGCCAAACCCAACTCGCGTCGTCACTCTGCCACACTCCACTACCGCACCGCACCCTCCCCCAAAACTCAGTCTTGTTTTTTAACCCTCCAACTTCCAGATTCCGCGCAGCAGCAGCACTCAAATATCATCCCGACAACGCCCCTCCTCCCTCTCTCCTTACGCTCTTTTCCCCCTCCCCCATCCCCCTGTATCCGATCCGCGTATCCTCAACCACCAACGGGCAACAACGCCAGCGACGGTGACAGCGACGTTACCTCTTTCCACAACTTGCTCACTGGCCCAACCCAACACAACCCAGGGCTCCTAGAGCTCTTTTCTTCCTCTTCTCATCGTCCGCAGTCAATCGACATTTGCCCATCATGGCGTGGTCAAAGTCGACGCGGATCAGCATCATGCTGGCCATCGATGTCGTCTTCTTTCTGGTCGAGCTGATTGTTGGTTTGATTGTCAAGTCGCTGGCCCTGACTGCCGATGCCTTCCACATGGTGCGTTTTACCCGATACTACCCTGCCGCGCCGCGTGCGACGTATCGCTAACTGAAGTAGCTCAACGACATCATTTCCCTCTGTGTCGGACTCTGGGCTGTCGCCGTGGCAAGGAAGGCCACCACCGATAAATATTCGTATGGCGTACGTCATTCCCCTTTCCCTCGATTGACGACGTTATTAATCTGATTCGAACGTACAGTGGTTGCGAGCTGAGATCCTCGGCGCCTTTTTCAACGCCGTCTTCCTCATCGCCCTCTGCGTCTCCATCATCCTCGAGGCCATTACCCGATTTTTTGACCCTCCCGAAATCGACAACCCCGTTCTCATTCTCGTTGTCGGTGCATTTGGCCTTGCCTCCAACCTCGTCGGCTTCTTCGTCCTCGGCGGCCACGGCCACTCCCATGGCGGCGGTGGCCACGATCACGATCACGGTGATGGCGAGCACGACCACGGACATGATCACCCCCACTCTGCAGAGCACGCCGCCGAGGAAGGCCGCGCCCACGTCTCACACGCTACCGATAACGACGGCGGCAATATCGGCGATATCCTCCCCGAAGCCATCGTAGCCAGAGCCAGCGCCGGTGCCAACCCCGAGACGCCTCGTCGTATTCGCTTCGACGGAGAGTCCGATCCTTCGGGCCGCGCCCAGAGCCGCACATCGGCCACTTCCAAGAGCCAAAGCCGGAGAAACAGCTCGCGAAATCACTCGCGTCTCACTAGCATTGAGGACATCAGCATCTACCCTTCCAGCTTCCGCCAGGAAATCATCGACGCCAGCCGGCCTCAGCTTGACGGACAGGAATCGACCACAAGCGAGAGCGAAGTTGAGGAGACTGTCATCGACGACGACGAACCCAACGAGGAGTCCCCTCTGCTGAAGTCCAAGGCCAATGATCACTCCTACGTGATTGAGAACTCCCGCGGCCGATCCGCCCACAAGCACTCGAGACGCGAATCCAGTCTTCACGTCGATCACAACCATAACAAGGAGCGCAAGAAGGCCAGTGGCGGCCACGGTCATGATCACGGCGACATGGGAATGAACGCCATGGTTCTCCACGTCATTGGTGACGCTCTTGGCAACGTCGGTGTGATTGTCACCGCTCTCATCATCTGGCTGACCGATTGGGAGGGCCGTTTCTACGCCGATCCCGCAGTTTCTCTGTTCATCACTCTCATTATCTTAAAGTCCGCCATACCCCTCACCAAGGCGACCTCCAAGGTCCTTCTCCAGGCTACCCCCGACAACATTGATCTCCAAGAGATCCGCGAGGATATCGAGCAACTGGAAGGTGTCCTGAGCTGCCACCACGTTCACGTCTGGCAACTCTCCGACACCAAGATCGTCGCCTCCCTACACGTCCATGTCAACTTCCCGATCTCCGCCGAGGGTGGTGAGAGATACATGCAGCTTGCAAAGTCGGCCCGCCGGTGTCTCCACGGCTTTGGCATCCACGCAGCCACCATCCAACCCGAATTCCGCGGCGACGACGAGCACCACAATGTCACCGAGGACGACCACATTGCTCAGTATGATGGCACTGCTACTGTCGGCTCGCCGAAGCAGGCTTGCCTGCTGCAGTGCGTGGACGATTGCGAAGCCGGCGGCTGCTGCACCGAGTCGACGGCTGCCGGCAGTCTGCGCAGCCAGTCTACCCACAGCCATGATGGCCACGGACACGATCACGACCACAGCAACGGCCACAGCAACGGCCATAGCAACGGCCATAGCCACGACCATGGACATTCCCATTAATTCGATCCGCAGCCCAGCTCCCTCTTGCACCATCTTTCTCAATAGAGCGCGGCACATCTTGAGTAGGGTCCAAGGGGTTTTCATTTTTTCACCATCGCAAGGGCGAGGCTTTTTGCTTTCTAATTTCGCTACTTGAACCATCAAAAAGACTGGCGTTTCGGGCTGGGTTAAGACATAGGACAGGGTGAAAATGACTTTAGTTCGAGGTTCAATAGAGGCAACCTGGCCACTATTTCCACGTCTCGGCGACTCGACTCGCCTCTTTACCCCCTACATTTCCTTTCTGTTATTTTTTATTTTTGGAGCGGCTTGCGTCTTCCTTTTGTAGAATATCCCACAAGCTCTAGGGTCATCCGTGACGGCGCGATTCAGTCAGGATGTGGAGCGCGTACAATCAGTTACAGTAATTGCAAAAACAAAATACAGCTTTTTTCTTGCACACTTCTAGATTTTTTTTCACGTCGAAAGCAAGGTGAGAAATTTCCGTGTGTATTCGTAGCATCTGTCGGTTGACTGTCTGTCTCGGGTGTACTAGTATTGCCCGTGGCGCTGGTCTGGGGTCTACCCGGTTCCATGACACCACACCACCGTGATGGAGGAAAACGTTCTGCTGGCCTCCGGTCCTTCAGCCTAGGTACTATTCCTTGGCCACTGTCCAAGGAGAGAGATGTGCTGGCCTTTTGCAACTTTTGACTTTGACTCTCTGCCTTGGCGACGGGGAAAACACTTCCCTCCCAAGGGCATCCTCGTAGCTCCGCCGCCACGCTGCCGCCACCAACCCCGTTTCTCGAGCATTGATGGACACAAAAGACAAGAAAGCTACGCTTGTCACATGCGTCGTCTTGAACATTCAAGAAAAGATACGAACGGGGCAAAAAGAGGTCTGTCAGCCTGGTGGCGTTCGCCCACGGAAATTAAATTATGCAGCCTCGAGCTTTAACCACGTCAAAAGGACCGATGAGAAAAGAGAAATTACTGGACCGAGGGAGGTATCATTACGATTTTGGGAGGGTGAAGGGGGGGGGCCAACTCTTCCTCTCCTGCTCCCTCTCCCCCCTCATGTCTGAATGGGGTTTTTGAACTAATACACTAACAGCATGACACGCTAGAGCCGCTCGCCGCGAGGGGAGAACGACATGCCTCACGTAAATCCTTCGTCGTACCCCTTACTCTTTTTACCCCCTCGCTTTGGTTTGCCACGTTTCGCTTCCCCTTGGACCTATTGTAATGATGATGTATAATCCCGCCGTGCCTCCGCTTTCTCGGACCCGAAAAGAACGCCTGGGAAGTATTTTGATTTCACGCTGCCGTGGTTCGAAAGCATGGTAAGATGACTGAAGAAGAAAAGAAGGAGCAATTTGCGAGATCCTTGTAGGAAACGTATTGGCATGATGACGGTTTCCTGGCGTTGACTCACAGATCTCCCGCCACTTTTTATGAAGAAGCGGCTTGGGGATGTTTACTTGGGCAGCGAGCTGGAAGGTTTCTTGATGACAAGCTTCACCTTCTTGGGAGCAGACTGACCCTCAACCGGAGGTGGCGATGACTGCGGCGGAGGCCTCGGCGGCAGTGACGCTGGGACTGGTGGAGGACTGGCCGCAGACGGAGCGCCAGGGAGAGGCTTCCGAGCCGGCTTCGCATTGATGCTCTCAGATGGGGGAGGAGCCGGCGATCCAGCGGGAGAGGCTCGAACACTCAACGGTGTCCCAGGTCTCCGAATCTTGGATGGATCTCTGATGGGCATCTGACTCTTGACGCCAGCCTTCTTGAGAATCTTCTTGAGGTTCGGGTGCCGGAACTTGAACATCCTGCGCTTCCTCACCACAGTGCCGTCAGGCCGGACACTCAGCTTCGCCTTCTTGAGAGCTGGCGATGCGTCGTCAACCCCCGGGACCTTGTCGGGCCGGGGTCGCTTCTGCGATTTGCTGCTGCCGGGCTCAGGGGTAGGTTGGGGAGTTGAACGCCCGTTTTGCTGCATAGACGACGACGACGACGATCCCGAAGATACCACAGATTTCGCAACTCCTGGCTTGACGATACCGGGCTTCACATTTGGCGGCCTAGACCCGGGGAGCTTCGAGAATGACGGCTTTGGGGTGGACACCTTGGCATTCGAGTGCGCGACAATAGAGTCTGCTTCCCGCGGAGCGGGTGATGGTGCCGCGCTTGGAACGGGAGACTGTGTGGCAGAGACCGGCGACGGGCGGGGAGCTGTGGAGGCAGGTCGCGGGAGAGAGACCGTAGGCTTGCTGGATTTGGCGACGCCACTCTTCATATTGACAATTAGTCGCTTGGGTTCGGGCGGCCGGGATGGTGCAATCACGGGAGCAGGTGCAGGTGCAGATACTGGTGCTGGTGCTGGTGCTGGTGCTGGTGCTGGTACTGGTACTGCTGCTGGTACTGGTGGTTCAGGCTCTTTGATCTTTTGCGGCATGGCCGTCTTGAAGAAGGCCTTGAAGTTGACAATATTCTATGCGTGCGTTAGCAACAGTGAACAAGGGAATACTAGCCACGCCGAGGGAGAAACTGACCCTGCCAGGTTGACGCTGAACTGGACGGTTGACTCTCCATCGCTTGGGATACTTCAGAGTGATCGTCCATCGGTCCGCAGCGTCGACTATGGTGCCGCAAAGCTCCAGCAGTGTGATCTTCTCGGAACGCCCAATCAAATTGGAGTTAATCGCCTTCCAAAATGCTCGCTCCAATGCCGCCTCTTGCTCCGAAAACTGCTCTTCCATTTCCGTCCTCAAAGCCTCGAGTGCGACATCAATGTCCTGCTTCCGTGCGAATTCTTTCCGCCTTTTCTGCGTCTCCGCCTCAGTGTTGTCCACGATCATGAGCCCACCGTCAGGAACAGCAGGCGCAACCTTAGCCCGCGACTGCTCGCCAAATGCAAGACTTGCCAGACCTGTACAGAATATCTTCACAAGCTTATCCCGCACGAATGGAGATCGGTCAGTGCTCATAACGGAAAGAATTAGGCGGAAGACAGGCAGATCCATCATATAACCGAGATCCACCAGAGCCTCGAAAGCCTTGATTCGAACAAGGTCGCACGTGTCATCCTGCAGGTACTGGACAAAGGCCACAGCGCTTCTTGGAATGACTCCTGCCTTCATGAGCTTGCGTCTGCACTCGAGCGCGGTCGTTGTCCAGATGTTCTGGTAAGAGTTGGCCCATTCATCCATCCTGCGGAAGCGGTCAATCTCGATAATGGCCTCCCTGAGGAAACCTTTCTCCTCGGCTGACATGTCCACATCCATGGCATCGTCCGACTCCCGTTTCTTCTCTGGAACCAAGCTATGGGCAAGAGCCTCTAGAAGCTTGGCAACGTAGAAATGATCCGAATACGGGTTATTGGCATTGTTGTTGAACTGAACTTGATTCAGGAGGAAGCGTCGTGCAGCTTCGGGACATCTGCCGCTAGCGTCGCGAATCTTTGCAATGGCCATAGGTAGTGTGCTCTGCACGATGTATTGTTTCTTGTCTGAAAAGTCGTTTGGCCGAGGCATGGAGGTATCAGGGTAGCAAAACATCTCTGTAAAGGCTTTCAGCAGATGGGTCATACCAGCCATCGAGACCTTATCTGCGGCGTGGTGAAATAACATCTCTGCAGCCATGGTCCTGATGCCATGAAAGTATCGCCGGTCGACAAGGGTCCTGGTAAGGAACGTCGACACCAGTGGATGGGGCGGACTCTTCTTCAAGTATAGCATCGAATCCTGCTGCGCCACGACATCCCTATCTTGCTGGAGCTGAGACACGTACATGTAGCTTTGGAGATTTGTCTTCATCTCGCAGGCCCATTCAAAGTCAGCGTCCATTCGAATCCACTCGTACGACTCTTGGTCCATAGCTTTTTCGATCTCGGGCTCCCATTCGGAGAAGTCCCACTTCCTCATGTCTTCGGGATTGGTTAGAACGTCACCCAGGCAATACAAGAGCGCATCTTCGTTATTGTCAGGGTCTGCAGCAGACTGTGCACTGAGCTTTTCCGTTGCTCTCCTCTTTCTCTTTAATCGCTTGTACTTGGTGTTGTAAGGAATCTCGAACTTAGCGGCCTTAGCAGCATCCTCGCGAATTTCCACTATGTGTTCATAAGGCGTTCCATCAGCTTCGTGAATCCTGATAGTCATGGGGCCTGTAAAGAGGCTGGCTTTCTCGTCTGTCTTGACACCATGCGCTTTTTCCTTAATAGCGCGAAGGAATTCCGACTTTTTCAGGAGCTCTGCTTCGCTCATAACTTTATCCTGAACTTGGCGAATAGTCATCTCCACGCAGAGTCTTTTCTTGTTGAACCGTTGGAAAACGTCGAACCTCGGACAGCCCGAACCGTAAACCCATTGGTTCCAGAAAGCCTCGAGTTTGTTTCTGGCGTTCTTTTCACAAACTCTCTGAAACGACTCCGTGTTGATAATCCATTCGCTCTGCCTATCTCCGATGTTGGCCTTGTAGAGAATCCGGGAAATGATGCGTGTGAGATTGGTCTGGGCAGGCGCCTTCATCAACCGCTTGTCGAGAATGAAGAGCACCAGGGGCGCCTTGAGTGCCATGAAGTCCATCTCAAAATCTCCAATATGCAGGAGATGGCCAAGTTCGTGCAGTGATGGCCGCTTGATATCGACTGTCACCAGCTTGTCTGACATGGTTTTCATTCGGAATCTGTAGTCGTTGTTGCCGCACAGCTTCTTCAGGAAGAGGTCAGTCATGTAGTAGGCGATGCCGATGACGACCCAGAGATCTCTGCGTGTATTTGGGAAAAGGTTGATTCCACTCCACTGCGAGGCCAGGCTGTATACCAATTGCCTTGTGACGTCCACTTCTAGGTCGATTATGTCCTCGGGGAACAATAGGCGGGTGCTGACGAACGATAGCGATTGAAGGGCTACCGTATCATCCATCATGTCATCGAGGAAGCACATCTTGTAGTTGTCGAATGGGTATCGGGCAAATGTGAGGGTGAAAAAGTCGGCAGCCGCGGCGAGCGCTGCGCAGCTGTTTTGGACCTCTGCAGCTCTTCCGGGAAGGCAGTAGCCGTGGATCTTGAGCGCACTAGCGCCGAGTTTCTCATCATTTTCTTCTGTACGGAAATCTGAGAACAGGTCGACATGCTCGAACGGACCGACCGCGAAGCCGATTTTCTGTACGGCGACCCGCTTCTCCATCTCAAAAGTCATGATCTTCTTCTGCTCGTCTTCAGGATCGACGATCTCGTCTGACAGAATGCCGGAGCACACGACTGTCATCTCAAGAAGCTTGTCTTCCTCAGTGAGAGCGAAATCTCTGTCAGCCTTGGACTGATTTGCCCCACGATCCCGGTTGCCATTCGCATTGCCATTCCGGTGTTGGGTGGCCAGAGGTTGCCAAAGTGCGTCGCCCAGCGTCCTTGGGCATTTGACGGCCATCGTCCACGTTGGAAGCGTGCCGGGGTCGTCAACGCACGGGAAAATACAGGAAGCAGTCCCCGGCTCGATGGAATGTCGAGTGTAGGCGTGCGGGTATCGAAGATCTCCGGGATCAACGCCAACAAACTGAACGCCATCCCGCACAAGCTTGGTCTTGAAAGGTATCGTGACACGATATTCCCTTGAGCCAGTTAGCTCGCTTTCGGGAAGCTCCGCAGAGTTTGGCGTCACGCTCGAAACGCGAATCTTGAGGGTCGGCCGTTTGGTGACTCCCACTCCAGACACCGGTTCCTCCTTGACAACTCCCTTCGTCTTCTTGAGATCTCTCAGACTGACTCGCAAGGCACCATCAGCGGGTGTACAGCCTACCAGCTCTCTATTCTCGGCAGGCACGTCACTCTTTCGGTTGTGCATGAGGGGGCGCATCCGAATCTTCCTCAGGTCGTGATGCGAGGCATTCCAGTCATAGTATTTCGGATAGTCCAGTAACTTATACGGGTCCGTGTACGTAGCTGACACCTTTTTGGGCGGGCCGAGGGGGTTCTGATCCTTGAGGGCGGTGACCGTGATGTTCTTGACATCGATCTCGGACTGTCGCGCATCAATGGCGAGCTCATCGAGCTGGGCATTCCCCACTATGCCAAACGTGATGTGGGATTTTCCTTCGATTCGTTTCGCCCTAAAGTTGATCTCGAGCTCGACATCTTGTTTCAGGACGAAATACGGGTAGGGCGGCTCGTCCTTCATTGGGGGTAGATCATCTTCGGAATCGCTGCCGATGACCTCGTCGACGGCGGGGGCGGCCGCAGCGGCCTCGATGGCGCTCATGGTTGGCTCAGTTTGCGCTCGAGAATATGACGTCGCAGTTTGGCATCAAGCAAAAAGCTCGAGTCGCTCGAGCCGCCGGTTGCTCGTTTGATGAGGTGAGGTCCGGCGGATACGATTCAAGAAGGTGCGCCGGCGCGATATTCTCAGGTGCTGGATTCAACGATGGCCTCAATCATCCTGTCGCTGCAGTCGGCGTCGCGAAGTTGGGAAATCGGTCGTGAGAGAGCGTAGGACGAATTAAATAGGATAGTCAAAAGGACCAGTGGCACTGAGAATATTAAAATGCCTTTCACCGGTGGTACGGCGGTACGACCAGCTGAGAAGTAGGAGGTTGAGAGAAGTTCTGCTGCGACCAAACACGAAATCTGAGGTCGGCAGCAGCTGGTGCAGTTCAGGCCTGCCAAGGTCAGCGCGTCCCACGGTTCGCCGCGACTGAGATGGAGCTGCCGGAGCCACCTTGGCTCTTGCGCCTGCCTGTTGGGCGGGTCACACCTCGACCTCGGTTATGTAAGCAGATCAAGTTCCAAGGTGCGCTCGTTGGTTGAGCCACCAACCGTGAAGCTCCTTCCCAAGTGACCAGCCGACAGGTCCTCCAAACAGAGCCGCCATTCAACCGCCAATTTTCTTCCTCCCTCTTTTGGGAAGGAACTCATGATTTATTTCACGATCCGAATGCGCGTTCTCGGCGGAGCTCATTTCGACTGTTTCCTTATCCACCTGATTTACAGTCACAAAGCGACATGATTTACTCAGTATGGACAACTTAGGGCAAATCAAACGCTTGTTCTTGAGCCGTGCCAACCCAGCAGTCTACAGATGATAATGTTACAACCAGACATCGCGCCAACCCGATGCAATACAAGAAGCAGACACGGCACACCAGGTATTCCACAAGCATCGCCTGGTGATCCTGCAGCCGAGTACCTCTGATCAGGTTCGGCCGCGGCGATCACGGCGCTTTTTCCTCGCATGTACCCTCAGCGTCTCCTCATCACGCAACTCTTCGGGGAGATCGAAGTCGATCTCGGGTATCTCTGGTAACGGATGTCCCCATGCTACCACCTTGCGGCCGGCGCGCCTGTGCCGGTGCAAAGCGCTCTCACGCTCGTATCTCTTCTTGAAGAAGGATTTGAATTCCCTCGGGGGTTCAGGCTTTGGAGGAGGCCGTGGCTGTGGTGTCGCACGTTGGCGCTTCTTGCTGTTCTTGGACCCTCTTGACCTTTCCATGGCTTCTTCACGAAGCTGCTGGGTCACAGAATCGTCATCGTCATCGTCAGAACCTGGAGGATCACCGTCACTGATATCGCCAGTCTGGTCATCTCCTTCGACACCATCCTCGCTGCTTTCGGAGTCTGCAGATGTATTCTCGTCCCCGCTTGATGACTCCTCTGCTTCTTCTGCTTTCTCTGCAAGAACGCGATCCTTCTCCGCCTTGCGGCGTTTCTCCTCCAAGCTCCACTGACGGAACTTGTCGAGGATGGCTTGGCAACCCTTGACAAAGTGCTGCCGTGCTGGCTCGAACTGCTTTTTTCGCGTTTCGGTTATACCACTAACACCCATGACTCGCAGCCAGTCATGACCCTGAAGACCGTCCAGGAGCCGTGCAATCTGGTCTTTTTCATGCTGGGCCCGCCCCCTTTCGGTATTACGAATGGACCTTTCCAGCCTTTCCGCCCTCTTGTGGGACGATACAAAGGATGCATCGGGAAGAGGGTCTTCTACGGGTTCTCGCTTGTGCGAAATACCCAAGAAATCAAAGTCTATCCGCTGGGCGTCGACAAGCTCATCAAACAGAGCATCGCCGTATCCACGCACGGGAACTTGATGTCCGGCCGGCGAGTGTGCTGAGCCATCGAATACTATGCTGGGATTTGGAGTCGCTCCTAGATTTCGGTGCCACGGGACTGGATGGTGGCGTGTGGGGTTCGAGTCAAAAATGACTATCGGGGTATCGAGATTGAAAAGCTCTAAAAGGACAGTCCTTAGTAAGTGTACAACGATGAGTTTGCTCGGCCTTGCAGGCAGAAACAAGTTAAGGGTACTGGGGGCGTACGCTGTTCTTTCGGTTCATTGCCGATGACCTCGTCATACTCGGGAAAATACGCCGACAGCTCGCTCTTGAAACGAGTGGCCTCTTGAGAGCGCAGTTTGCGCCCCCCCTCCTTTGTGTGGGTATCGGCTTCGCGGGGCTGTAGGCGATCCAACTCGTGTTTGATCCCATTAATGACCTTTTCCTGATGCTTGGTCAACTGGGCAGCATTGTTATTTGCAGCAGCCGTGGCTAGATTCGGGGGATGCACCGTCGCGACGTGTTGCAGTGCGGGTTTCGGCGTGGGCTTTGCTAGGGGTGCGGCCGCCTGAGGCTTCGTGGCCGCGGTCGTGGTCGGGTGCGGAGTCGGGGTGACGTTTGCCGTGGGTGTCGCGTTGGCGACAGCAGGCTTGCTCGACAACAAGGCAGGGCGAATGAGGATTTCGATGCTCGTCCGCGGTCGCTTGGGCTTTTGGTGGTCGAAATCGACGAGATGATCGGTCGGGTCGAGCTGGCGCTTGGTGCGACCGGGCAGCGAGTGATGGTAGCTGGAGATGTTTTGGGGGGTGACAGCGGCGCGCGTCACAGTGTTCGTGTTGGCGGCTGCGAAGGCCTGAACGGGATGGTGAAGGGGATGGGGGTGAAGCTGCTGCTGGACGAGGCCTTCAGTGTTGGTCCTCCGGGTGGAGCGCGTGACGGAGGCCATTGGCGACGATTGAATAGCCATTCATTGTTCGCCGGTCGGGTCGTCGCAAGGGCGATTGATGGTGTCGATTGATGAATTTTTTTTTTCCCGCTTGGTCTCTCTCGGTCGCAGAGTCACGGTCGGGTGTCGTCGTCGTCGATTGCGATGCGGGAAGTCCAGGCAGGCAGTGAGTGGTCTTCTGGCCCAGATTTGGGGGTGTGGCACGGTTGGTTTTGCTCAGAGGTGCTTTGCTCTGTCTGGCACCTGTCTGGTCGCCTACTTCTGCACTGTCCTTTACTGGGCGCTACTGCCGCTGGCAGGTGCCTGCCCAGTGTTTGCGTCCTCCACGGGAATGCTTGCCTCTACTGAATGCAGTGGCCGGCCGCCGTGGCCGCTGTGGTGGGCTCCCTATCGGCTGTCCCGAAGAAGGAGGGAAGAACCTAAGGGTTTTGGTAGAGGTACATATGAACTCACAAAACTGTTCGTTACAAGTCATGTACCATCCACTGCCCTCAGTCAGTTCCTTCCCCCTGTCCCACTTTCCTCCCACCTAGAAATCGCCCCTAAGTCTCCCTTGCCGTAATAAGATACATGTCAACCTGAATGCATTGAGCGATTGTCAATAATCATCAGCCAAGGACCACTAGTTCATTCACCACACAACCATCGCCGGCATGCGAATACGGAGCGTGCGCGTTCCCATCGATTTCTTAATTCTCTGAGTATCCGTACCTTTCAGTATAAGTAGTGTCGCCATTACATCATACCTGTAGAGCGCGTTCGTCAGGGTACGGTGTCCGGCCGCACGCGACCACCCAAACAAACCTTGTTAGGCCCCATACAACTGCACATCAGAGACGGTAAGATACATCCTTGATCGTAGAAGGTGCATAGAAGAGATGGGGCCTCTTTCTATACCTGTCACAAAATAAACGCCATCATGCTTAACGTCCACCATACCTTGTAATATTACATGCTTTACTACTCTACTTAAAATGTGGAGGGCGCCATCACTGAAGCAGGCTGTCGTGGCACGAATCCAATGCCTTGGTCGTTTTCTTATAATATTCGTATTAGTAGTAACCATATGGGAGCTTTCAACAAAGGAATAGAATAAACGACAGCAAACCGAAAGTCTTAGTTTGTTAACCCTGAAGTTCAAGCTCGCAGACGAGGAACTCTGGCATTCCGATAGTGTACCATTAGCTACCTAAGATACCTAGTAATCTGCGGAGTAGGGGTAGGGAGGTGATTTGAAACAACGTTTTGGTGTCCTGAGGTGTTCAATCACAGGGTTTATAATAGGTACGAAGTCATGAGCCAGAGGCTTTTGCCTCTTTTCCGTCTGTCATTATCGCATAAATGAGACCAAAAGGTTTGTGTCCTGAGGAGCCTAACATAGAACAGCCAGAGTTATAGCGGGATGTCGGCTACCTATAAAAAGCTGTCCTGACTGATGGACGGCTCCGATTGTGTAAATGTTTAGAGGAAGACGCCCAGAATCTTCACACAGAAGCAAGACATACGATTCATCTGGAAACAATTCGAACGTTGACGAATGACTGAGCTTGTTTAAGGCCATTGAACGCATCTAATTAATAGAAAGCTATAGAAGTTTTCGTGAAACCCATTCATTTTCTATCTCCTGAAGTCGTAAATCTAATGAAATGAAGAAAAACGAATGATGAAGAAAATAGAGATAACTTAAATTGGGGGG